TGTAAGATAGCTTTACATGTCCGCGCAAGCGCGTTATAGGCTGGCTGCAAAGAGGGAATCTCAAGGTCGCTGAATCACATATCATCACTGAAATGAACTATGAACACATCATCCTAAGCTTAGGACCCATTCTCATCATAAAGCTTAGGACTAAGGAGCATAAGCTTAGGCTTGAATCATATAAACACTTACATAGGATAAAGGAAACCATTTCCAGATACTCAGCATTTCTTAATCCGCGGGCCGCGGATTTTAACATCAAGACCCATTGTTTAGAATGGAAACCAGCCATTTCTGATCAAAGCTCAAGCTCAGGGGGTTTGGTTTACTGGGAACCAATGCTAGCTGTCCAAATAGAGCTTTGCAAACGCCCGCAGCGCAGCCATTAAAACCCCCTGTCCCAGCACATGTTCGATATCAACGGCTGAGATAACCAACCATGAGGATCATGATAGTTTTCATCTGAAACAACCAAATTTACGTTATCGTGTTTCCGAATATAATCATCCCTTATTCCTTGTCACCGCTTACATCTATCGAGATTGCATTGCTATATATGCTGCTCGGTAGAAGTTTAATTCTTGTGGTGAGTGGCAACTAAGCTCCACTGAATTTCAATCGTCGATGCAGACCCCGTTGGGGCTCCCTTGGAATCAAGCAACTCACAGGTCGGGCCAAGTCAGGGTCTTCATGTTGGTGTCGCGAAGGGAGACTAATCATATGCAGGAAGCGTGAATATGCGCAAGAAACAGCTGTCACAGTCGATCATTACTTCATCTTGTTTGGTCTCGGGCTTGGTATTCCCAACCTCATCCGTCCCAAGCTTGTGAAATTTGCGGCTCAGTCATCATAACCTAGAAGTTCAGGATAGTCTTAGGGAATCATTTACCCTAAGTTCAGGATAGACTTATGATATCCTTTAGGGAACTGGTCTATGATTCTAGTGATGCTTAGGGATTTTGCCGAATGAGATTTTTATTTATCACGCATAACAAAAAATAAGCATAGTTTATAATCGGGATCAGAAAAATAAGTGACTTGATCACGATTATCAGCCTAAACATTCTTATGATGATTAGCCTCATAGTTAACGAATATTAGGAGCATAGGTCGCCTAACAAACGTTACATCGACTCATCTGTACGAAGCATATCATAACTCAATTCCCAGTTATCTCGAAGCGAGCAAATCTCGTTTCGATCGTGCTTCTCCATAATCTTCACCCCAGTTGATCGAAGCAAATTTCCATGCACCTCGTCGGCTTCTGATGCACAGATCAGCTTACATGTCGTGCATATCCAATTGTTATCCGACTATCTTCAAGAGTTGTGCGTTGTCATGATGCTCATGATCCGACTCTGAATCATCGAAGGCACCGACGTCACTGATGCTGTACTCTATCCCTTGAGGCATTCCGTTTCGTAATTGCTCTAATCATGCTTATTTTCAACCCTGGCCTTGACTTCAATGCATCTCCACTCACTCGGCCGTTCTGAAATCGTCCGTATTTCCGTGACGCGCCATCACTGTCGATACTTGCCTGATTAGTAGTACTTGATACTGTATCCCTTTGTCGATGGTGACAGTCTAGTACACACCATAGTCAATTCTTGCGGATGCTGCCGTCCATAGCCCACTCGTGAATCAATTTAATGTCCAAAATTGTGTCTATTCTTAGTTGCACTCCACCTCTAATCAAACTAAAGTCATGTCTTTTAAGCAAGCTTAATGCTCCAATCCTCGCCAACTTTGGCTCCAACTCGGCCCACAACCGCAAAGGCTGCGCGGCTGCCCTTGGCTGCATGATATTGAACCCTGGCCGTCCATGTTCGTCCCTCAGACTCAACCTGCACCTCCTTCTGGTCCCAGGTCTTGGGCGCACCGACAATGATGATCTTGTCGACGTGCACCTTCTCCATGGCCTTCAGCCAAGGGCCAGACTTGATAGACTTGGTGTCACGTCCCTCGGCCTCAATAGAGGTCAGGGTGTTTCCACTAAGCGTAAACTTGCGGTGAATGTATTGACCTTGCTCGTAATCAAACGAGTCGCCATCATCCACATAGAGCTCACCCTCAGCTGCGCCAGACTTGGAGGCTGAGACAACAAGTGTGTAGTCATCAAATCGCATCAGAGCGCTTGATCGTCGGGGAATATCTCGTCGAGGGATGATATGACCACCTCGCAATAGAACAGGGACCTTGTCAAGGGGCGCGCTCACTGTGAGATACTTGCCCTTGCTTGTCTTTTGAACATTGTAGGTAAAGTAATCATAGTAGACCTCATCATCGGGAATCCAGATATCGACGGACTCCTTGTTCTGTTCTGTGACTGGCTTCACCAAGAGACCAGTGGAGCCGACGAAGAACTGATCCTCAAGAGCAAAACCAGCCTCCTCAGAGGGATGGGTCCAGAACATGGGTCGAATAATGGGGCTTCCGTCCTGGGCAGCATTGTAGAATGCAGTATACCAAGCAGGGAGAAGCGAGTATCGGAGTCGGATTGCGGCGGTTGCAATTGGCGTGTAATGCTCACCTAGGAGGTAAGGCTCGCGACGGCGAGCATCAATATGGGCATGAGCTCGGAAAAAGGGATACCAGATACCAGTCTGATACCAGCGGACGAGAAGATCTTTCTCGGGGTTACCAAAGAAGCCCCCGACATCAGCACCAGCAAAGGGGAAGCCGGAAATTCCTTGGTTGATGGTCATGGGAATAGATGTAGCCAAGTGTCCCCAATCAGCCTGGTTATCTCCGGTCCACATAGCACCAAGCTTTTGCGATCCGGCGTAGAAGGCTCGGGTCAGGATGAATGGCCGTCGAAGCTCGCCCTTCTCACGGTGAAGGAGAGCCTGGAACGTCGCATTCTGAAAGGTCAAGCCGTTCAGGTTATGGACATCACGGTGCTCCCATCCTCCGTGGTGAATGTTGTCCTTGGGCATAGTCACCTCGGGTCCGTTGAAGACTGAGGGTTCGCTCATATCGTTCCACATCCAAGTATTGGACATGGTTCCCTTGAACTTGTCAAACTTGAGCATAGTCTTCCACCATTCAATGGCCTTAGGGTTAAAGCAGTCGATCCAGTTGGAAGCTCCAGGCCAGCACCATCCTTCATAGAGCTTCTGCTCCTTGTCATGAACACCAAGGTCCTGAGCGACCAACTCCTCGGAAGCAGCATAGTTATCGGTTTTCTTGATATGAGGATCAAGGAGAACAACTAGTTGCCGACCATGAGCGTCGAGGTGCTCACCCATGTCGATGGGATCGGGGAACGAGTGAGGCTCCCAGGTAAAATACTTGCGATCATCTGTATACTCAAGGTCGAGCCAGATGACGTCGTATGGAATCTTGTGCTTGTCCATGTTGCGATCAACGTTTCGAACATCGTCGCTGGAGATGTAGTTCCATCGGCATTGGTGGTAGGCAATTGCAAATTCTTGAGGCATAGCAGTATAGCCAGTCAACTCGCCGTAAGTCTTGGTGAGGTCCTGGGGGGTAGGGCCAAGAAGAACAAAGACATCCAGAAGACCAGCCTCAGAGATCCAATGAGTATGAGTGCTAGTCTTACCACCAACTCCAAGGCTTAATGGGTTCGCTTGGTTCTTGGCCTTGGTAATGTCGACCCAGGTCTCGGCAACGTTGAACCAAAAAACACCAACTGATGAACCTTTGCGATGCGCCTGCATGAAGGGAATGGAGCCGTAAAGCGTCATTGGGCTATCGAGAATGTACTCGAAAACGTCGGCGTTGTACATACGATAAGGCTCGTCATAGTTGCCGTCTCCGCCACGCGTCTGCTTCAGTGATAGAGGACCAGTATGTTCAGGAATGCCAAACACATGCTCATACCCGTGAAAAGTGATGTCCAAGGCAACGCTTTCGGGTCCTCGGGGTTTGGTGTCAGTGTTTCCACCGAAGGATTCGTCCCACCATGTACTCTCATCTTCAGCGGCTTCCTCGCCTTCCTTGTTCTCAATCTTGGGTCTCCAGTGCTCCATGTTGAGCAAACCGCGGTCGTTGAACTTGACATGCGAGTTGCCATCACGTCGGAAGTCGATTTCGAAAGGCGAAAACTTGATGATGGCTTCCTGCTTGGCCTCGGGTCCGTACTTGATGTTGATCTGAGACTTATCTTGGAAAGCAAGCTGCGCCTCCTTGTCAAGATCCAAACCACCGACAAGAACCCAATCGTCCGCCTCGTCGTATCTTTCCTTTCGAACAGGGCTATCGTCTCGCAAAACCACGTCCTTGTTGCGTCGCTTCTCTTCGTCCATAGTGACTCGGGCGGCACCAGACTTGAGGAATGAAATTGTAAGGGGTAGACGGACGGTCTCTCCATGGCTATTGATGGTCTTGACAACCACGGCCTGCAATTTTCCATCCTCAAAAACTGTCGAATCGGCCGAGATCTCATATGGGGCTTTCCAGTTCGAACCTTGGGCAACAGCGTTGTCGGCATAGGCGCGATTTCGTTTGCAGAAGCCGGATTGGTCGCATTTCTTGAAGTCCTTGTCTTTCACGGCAACTGGGAAGATTGTGAGCAGAGACTTTCGTCAGTACACTCATGAAAACTTACTAGCTGACTGGAAAAGGCACGTCAAGGTGCCTAGCAGCAGCAATAGCGCCGTCCAGCGAAAGGACGACGCCGTATTCGACCTCATGATATTGAGACGGTCAGGAACCAGAGCTCAAACACGGTGAAATAAATGAACAGGAAACTGGTCAATTAAATTCAGAAAACACATAGACATAAGATATGGTCCCCTGGCCTATATCCTCTGTCCCGTCGCTGGTTGAAAGGAATGTTATTGTTGTTTATGCTGGGATAACCTCAGCTTTGATGATGTCGAAGTCAAGTCAAGCTGTCCCTAAGCTCCCCCTGTGAAACTCCATTCCGGATTGGGGTTGGTTTCAGACGCAGGGGAGTGGATACCGACATGGCGGGGCAGCTTCGATAGAAGATTAGACCCGTTAATCAAACATTTCAGTTCTCGATTTCTGAGCTCAGCTTTTGCGCTGGATGCACTGTAAGAAGCTCTTTTTGATGCAGGTATAGTTCATTTACACGCTCTGAGTTTTGTAAGTAGAGAAGTTTCGATACTCTTTAAGTTCTTTTTATATTAGCCTTGTCTTACTTTGAACTGTACTAACTCTCATAGTATCGTTCATTTGTCTTTTTCTCTAGTCCTCTCCTTACTCCTGTTCTCTTATTCAGTAACTTCTATCTGCCCTCGACAACTAATTACATCACGTGTCCGTGTGAATTCTCCGGATCTCGCACCCAAGACCCCTCAACGCCAGCTCATCATGGCTGCAGAGGAGCCCCGCCAGCAGGAAGACCCCGCCGCCAGCGGCAAGAATTGGAAGCAGCAGCAGGTACGGAGAAGTGCGGAAAATCTGGCCCCGCGATTTTTTGCTCTTCTCTTCGCCCTCCTCGCCCTTTATATCCTCTTTTCACCGCCTTCTTCAAGCCTTTCCCCTCCAGTCGATCTCTCCTCTACCTCTACTTCTTACTCTGTTCCTACATCTCAAGTCATACCAGACAAGAATATCGCCAAAATGTCCTCCTCCGAGCAGACGTAAGCTACCCCGCCATCAAGCTTCACTCCATCATGGTTGATGCTCCTGTTTGGATGGTTTGCTAACTTGATTGTAGCTTCATCGCTATCAAGCCCGACGGTGTCCAGGTAAACAAACCTCGACGGTTATACAATTGATTTGATAAGAGCTAACAAGGCTCCCGTAGCGTGGCCTCGTTGGTCCCATTATCTCTCGATTCGAGAACCGAGGGTGAGTAGTTTTGTATGTCGTTGTTGCTATAGCTATTAACTTTTTACAGCTTCAAGCTTGCTGCCATCAAGCTCGTCAGCCCCGGCAAGGAGCACCTCGAGAAGCACTGTGCGTCATTCCCAAAAGTCGTTCGATATATCAATTCGCCCTAACATCGTTATAGATGCCGATCTCGCTGGCAAGCCTTTCTTCCCCGGTCTGATTGAGTGTATGGCTCCCAAATCCAATTGATACAACCAAATCTAACTTCATGTAGACATGTCCTCTGGCCCCATCTGCGCCATGGTCTGGGAGGGCCGTGATGCTGTCAAGACTGGCCGTGGTAAGTTTCCAATCGTTTGAATATTGCTCATCATTTTCTAATTGCATATTCAGCCATCCTCGGTGCCACCAACCCCCTTGCCTCTTCCCCCGGTACCATCCGTGGTGACTACGCCATCGATGTCGGCCGCAACGTCTGCCACGGCTCCGACTCCGTCGAGAACGCCCAGAAGGAGATTGCTCTCTGGTTCAAGGAGGGTGAGGTCCTCTCCTGGAAGTCCGCCCAGTTCAACTGGGTCTACGAGAAGGCTTAAATTGTCAATGTTGTAACGCCCTGAATGACGGAATGGAAAAAGCACATACAAGTGGGATGACTTCATCTCTGTGGGTATAACAAAAATCAAGACAGAAAATCTTCTCAAAACCTTCGTGCTCGATTTCAAAGTGACTAAGGCTTGCTTGTGAATATTCCTTTGGCTCTCATGAGTACCCCTGCAAACCATGGCGTAGCCCATACACTGCCGATGATACGAACCGGCAGTAAAGCTTTAGTGATTGCGTACGCGAGAGCAACTTCAACTACCACTTTGTACCGCCCATCTCCACTATGCCAGCGCTCCACTGCGTCTTCGGATTTGGAGTCCGGATGTGTTGTAGCTGCATTTGGGGCCTCACCTTCTTCGTTCTGACCAAAACCAAACCACCCCTTGCGTGTGAAGTACCTCTCAAAGCGGCCAACTCCATCTTCGACATAGCTTCCAAAGTGGCCCGTTACGTATTCCACGGGCACATAATTTGTGTAATGAAAGAGGCCAAATAGTCCTAGCACGGGCACAATTGCTGTGATTTCGTGAAGGATCAAGAATGAAACAATGTGCGAGACTGGAGCGTTGCGTAAACCGCTAGTGTATCTTTGTAAACGTCGAGGAAGCTTAGATGTGATGCGGTCGATGCGGGAAGCTTGGGTTGATTCGGCGCGAGGATATGAGGTGTTGATGCGCGGGGGAGCGCGAGCACGGAGGCTAGGGCGCCAATTGAAAGATATCAAGTTGCGGCGCATCTTGAGATCAAGTATCCGGGCTTGGGGAAGGCGTTTTGTTGGTAGCGTTAAGTGAATCCAAAGTTTCAACAGTCGTTGTTGAATTCTATGTGGAGCTGCTGACGGCTTGATTTTGGCGCGCGCTCCGGCTACAGTTCAGGGTAACCAGCTTGCCAACAAAGCAATAAATTCGTTCGCTTATTGTTTGCTTCGCATTTGTCGATCCTAACATCTTTTGCGCGATACAAAGGCGCAAAGGTCAAAGATATTGGGCCTTACTACGGGAAACACCGTCGCGGTTTTCATGAAAAGAATCGGGCAACATTTGTTGTTGTTGTGACATTGTAAGATTTCGTGCTTCACATAAGTCTAAGTGTTGAACTGCAAAGGGAAAGATCACTATGAGAATCTCCGACAGGTATCGCCTTGAAAGTATTTGCCAAAAAGTCTACCGATACAAAGTGAAGCTAAACTCTGGATTTCTGATCTTGGGGCAATAAAACTCAGTCCAGGAATACATAGGCACAATTGAGTGAGGCCATCATGGTCCTTGTTCTTCTTCGAATAGGTACTACCATTGATGGCCTCTCTTTCCACTATGGGATACTGCACAAGCCAAACCCCAACGTCCTCAACATCCATGACGCTAAAGATCATGTGGAAATATCAAAATGCAAGTCCTGAAGGCAGGTAAGGAGTATTGACCGCGTCATTTGCACCTGTGCTCTTTCCTCCCCAGTCCAAATCGCCTGTTCGTGATGGACAGGCTCCTGCCCAAGACGCAAGACAATGACCTCAGAGGTCCCCAACAAGGTCCTCAGAATGAAGCCACTGTAGCTAAAAAAGAAGGAACTCAGTCAAAGTGCTTCCTCATGACAGAATCCAGTCGTTTAAGATTCTCCCTCGTCTGTTCTCTTCTCTTCTCCTTTTCATCCTCCTTCATACACATCTGCATCTCCTCAGTTCTCACAAATCCTTCAATTTGTTGCCTCAAATCACTCAATCAATCTCAAAAGCCTGCACTCAACTACCGGCACTACCTTCCTGAAGCAAACCCTTCATTCAAAAACATGGTCTCTGTCAAGTTGGCGGCCATTGGTGCCCTTCTGGCAACTGCCCAAGCCCAGATTCGTCACCCCAATGAGGACCTAGTTCTTGCCGATTGTGGCATTGGCGACAACAAAGCCCACCCTGGATGGTCTACTTCTCGCCAGGTGAACTGGTATCAGGACATTCAGTGGCCTGACGATGTCTCCAAGTTCCCCCCTCCACCTGACCTGGAGGTTGAAGTTCCTTACGCAGATGGAACCTACCCCTGGAATCCCAAGGGAACCACTGTCAAGCTGTCTAACGGTGTCGTCTGGACAGCTTACATCAACCCGAGAATTGCTGACGGTCAACCAGCTGGGTCTGCAGTCACCACCAAGGAAGGTGGTCAAGAACTTACCTGCTATGCCTACCGTGGTCGCCCTGTCAGCGCAGCCATCAACACGACTGTCAACGCTGATGCGGTCTGCTTGACCGCCTTTGTCTGCAACCGTGATAACCGCGCCCCTCCTCGTCCCAGTGGCATGGAAAATCCCACTTCTACCTTGGAAACATCTCCTGCCCCCCCTGCCACGACTACTTTTGTCTCACAGCCGCCAGCAACGCCTAGTCCTACAGGTGGTGAACCAAACCCTCCGGCTGACCCCAATGCTGGGAAGCTGTTTGTGTCTATTCTCCTCAGCCCTCGTTTCATCAACTGGCCAAACACCTGGCAAGCCTTCATTGAGAAGTTCTCCTGGGATCGGGACTCTGGAAAGTGTGTTACTGAGCCGGTGAAAGGGGACGGATACACCATCAACATCGACTGTGCTGGCATCCAGATCGATTCTGACTCTCATATGACGCTGATAATGATCAAAATTCTCCATGACATTGGCATGAGTAGCACTTTCTTCAACCAGAACCCGACCGTGCCAGGAAAGCGTAACTCCACGGCGGATCATTGGATGGTCATGCCTGAGTCCTTCAGTCTCCAGGCTATTGATGTTTCTCATCAGAAGACCATCGGCTATCTCGCATACAACACAACATACAACAACTTCCTCGCTGGTCCATGTTCATCTTGCCAATCTGAGCGATTCAACAAGGACTTCTTTGATCCGGCTCTGGAAGCCGTCAAGGGTACTTACCCGCTCTACAACAGCTACAACATTCAGGCCCAGTGCAGCCCCTGGATGGCATGCTGGTAAAATGGGGACTGAAGGATCTTTTTTCTGTATTAAGTGCAAAAATTTTTTTACGGCGCGTAGGTCATGTCGGTTATGAGGAATGAACAAGGGGATGATCAATTTTGGTGGTTTATATGGTATTACTTCCTTCGCTTCTCGACATGTATTTCAAAGAGTTAACTCGACTCTATGATGGGCCATAATTAAATCATTCACTACAAGCACAACCGAACTTCGGTCAAGATATTTGTGACGAACCGAATGAGGCCACTTCTCAAACTAGATGAACATCTCTCCAGGAGGACTCGCCAGTGCCAGTGATGTGCTCTCCAAACATAGCGCCATGAACATAAGCGTCACCGACAAGCTGAAAGCGGCTCTCTGAAGGGCCTGATCTTCTAAGGACCAAGGGGGCTGCACAGCCAGCGACGATCATGATTTTATCCCCGGCCTTGGCCTGAAGAGGAACTAGACATAAGTAGCCTCGAATGGTTCTCGCAATACGTCTGCTTGCAGCAAGATTGACACGTAATAAGGCTTCGAAGGGAGCGGATATCTCGGCCCAAGAAGCGAACTTGGCAGCCTTCTCTGATTCAGTGTCAACTCGAACACTGGGGTCGTGGCGTAAGCCAAGCTCAAACAATAATGGGATCATATCGCCAGATTTGGGGAGGGTATTGGTAGAGTCTCGAGTATTAGCCAGGGTCCAAAGTGGCTCCAAGGCATCGAATTGATCGTACATAGATGGGTTCTTGTGTTGATAAGCGATCAGGGCTTGGATAGTGACAAGAAGCATCCACTTAGAGAAGGACATGGCTAGATGTGATGGTGCGGGCCGCTGGGATAAGTCGCAGTCCATAATAAGAGTCCGCCAGAAAGCTTCAACTATTGGTTGGCCCGTAGGTATATAGGTTGTGCCGCAGTGAAGAAGCATCTTCATCGTATCGTTAAACTTCCCTTGAATAACATCAGACCAGCTCTCACCGAGCTCTTCGATTGTACCAAGATGAGGACTAAAGATTTTAATGTTTAGATGGAGGAGAGACCTGTCGATTGTAAAGTCTGCTTCTTCCCCCGCGGCGGCATCGAATGGAAGCATTCTGGTATAGTTGGGGCCAAGAACGGGGACGTGAACTGTCTCGAAAGAGGGGATCCAGGTTGGTAAGTCAGCTGGCACGGCACGGCTGGTGATACCGGCGAGGGATAGGAGATGTAGGGATTTTGTTTCTCTAAAGAAGCTCATGCCCAGATCTATAAGGATGTCATTGTTAGGAGATTTGTAGTCTACAATGACGTCGAGCCGAGGTCTCCCTTTCGCACGCTCCATGAAGTTTACGATTCCAAGCAGAGAGTAAACACGATCTCTGGGAATAGTCGCCTTGAAGCCGATGCTACTTAGCAATAGCTCGAGCAGCAGCTTTTTAGGATGGTCTTGGCGTATCCCAACAGAATAATCAATGCTTCTCAGAATCTCCTTGTACCGACTATTCTTGTCCTGGGCCCATTGGCGAGTAACATGAAGGCCAGCAGCGTGAACAAGAGAGAAGATTAAAGGCGCGGTTTCTGATCCGGAGCCCACAGTAAACAAACCGATAAGGGCACCGGACATGTTGATCAGCCCAGCTGTGTCGCCAACCGAATCCCATGCTGTCTCGTGATGGCCGATGAGAACTCTTGGATTGCGAGAGAGGGCAACTTCTTGAAGCATCCAGACACGTCCGAACCACGGCCTTGTGTAGATATCTCGAAGAGTCAGCCAGTCGTTCTCGGTAAGATTTGGAAGGCCATTCCTTTTTAAGAGCTCAGGATCATTCATGATATAAGCATCGCCATATGACTGAACCCTTCCCCATTCTATGATCTTAGACTCAGCGCCTTTCGCAATCTTTTGAACGAGTTCGATAGCCCTAGCTGTTTGATCTGTGGCGAGACCAAGCCATATTATTGTCTCGGCGGCTCCGTTGTATATGAGATCCATTATTGCTACTTGAGCAGAGCGCTCGGGGAGACTTCTCTGGTTGATGCAGATTCCATCGACCCAGAGGTACTGGCCTGATCTTGAGATGCGTAATTGCTTGATTGCATGGTGCAAATTTGGTAATACGGGAAATGGCCTTGCATTCAGAAGAATTGAACTTTGGTCAAAGATTGTGTTCTGTGTAACCGGACCCCAGGTGTAAGAAAGGGCGATGTATGGCGGACATTCATCGAGTTTGAAGGTATGGAGAGTGAGATTAGGTGATGAGTTGGATGCTGAATCTGACAGATGAATCAGGCGTATATGCTGATCGAAAATGCTGTCGTCGTAGCTGAACCCGAAAAGCGTCTGAGAGACGTTAAAGAGAGCCTTCAAAAGCGAGTCATATATATATTGCGATGTGGCTTCGAGAATGCTTCGGAGATGTTGAGCGTTGACGATGAGCGCTATTATGGTGGCACCAGCAGCTAGATGAAATGGCTGGATTTGAGCTAGTAACTGAGTACTGGATCTCAATCCGACCCTCATTTTGGCAGGAAGTCGCAAAGTTGACGACACATCTCCGAAAGCCTCACGGCTTTGTTGCAAGTGTTAAGATGTGAGCTGTTGAATGTGCTTAGCCGCATTTGGTGACAGCATTGGGCCAGCCTTAAAGCCGAAAAGATTAAATCCCAGAACAGGGATTGGGCAAGCGTCATCATAACTTCTATGTAGTTGGCATAGATATATCTTGTCCTGAAATGTATGAAGAAAATCGTGCAGAGATTGACGGAATTTGTAAAAGAAGAGTAGCACCATCCTTTGTACAAGCGATGATACGACCTTGTTCGCAAGTGGACTGCCTCTATAACACAGGTCTATTCGTTTTATCGTAGTGAACTGCGAAGGGCTATATAGTCGCTATCGCTCGCAAATGTGAAAGCCATCTGTCCCTGGGCCAGGTTGCTTTCTATGTCTAATCATCAAGCCCATCCGAGTAGTACTCAAACTGTTTTGGCACTGGTGCATCTTGTCCACCAGGTCCATCTGGATCAACGTCTTCGTTCTTTGCTTTTGAACCACTTTCTACCGCCGCCGGTGGTACTGGTTGTGTAGCCTGTGCAGGCGCCGACAACAAATGCCCTCTCAACAACTTGGTCATCTCCCTGGCCCACTCCCATGGCCGTTCCTTTCCTCCAGGCAAACTGTTGAAGTACTCCCAGCCCATGATTCCTCCAAACGATCCATATCGGCCCCGCAACGTTGTGAGCACCATATTGAGAGGGTTCATCGGCACATAGCCGCTTCCATTCTCAGGATTGGTGACAAGTCCTATGACGATCTTCTCTGGTGGCCAGCCCTTGCGGACCATGAGATCGTACATAAGGGGATTACTGCAATCTCCCCAGCCGCAGTAGAATTGCGTGTTGTACCAGGCGATATCACGTCCGCGCATCACTTCAAGAGCCTCGTAGTCAAAGCCGCTGAGATTCTTGGTGAAGTCAAGAAGAGACATGGCGACTGGTGCCAGAGTGATGATGAAAGCTGGCCCAAAGTCGCTGCGTAGACGGTCTATCAGCCGCACAATTCCTCCCAGGGTCATCTCCTCTTCGACATCCAGATCCAGGCCGTCCAGACCGCGCTCTCGAATCATGTCTTTCACGGGACCATAGTACCGATCAAATGTCTCTTGGTCGGCATCCAGGCGTGCATAGCTGCCCTTACAAGCACCACCCAGCATGCCCATCACCTTCACACCTGAGGCTTGCAGTACACGTAGTTCAGCCCACATAGTCTGAAAAATGGGGTGAGATGGGTGATAATCATTGAGCGTGATCTTTTGAGGATCATCGTTGATGTGAATGGCGGCGACAATGACGTGGGTTATGGCGATACCGGGTTGTGTGATGAGAGAGAGGGGTGAGATGAGATTTCCCGAGGAGTCATGATGAGTTTGGTAATATGTGATCAGCCGTGGTAAAGGGTTGGCGGAAGGGGGAAGAGGGGGCATCGTGTATTTGTTCGGTGAGGTTGTTGATGATGAGGATGAGCTGGCATTCTTGGAGCTTGTTGAAGTTGTAAGCAGGCCCGAAGCTCAGGCGGAGCTCCGCCGCTGAAGGTTTCGGTTCCAGCGGGTAGACAGCCACTAAGCTTGGCAGCTACAGGGCCTAGTCCCTCACTGTCTAGCTGAAGATCATATTTCTATCCAACAGACTTGATTTAAGCTTACTGCCTATGGATTAACTGACAATGGGTATCTCTCTTCTCAAACTAGAAGTCCTGAACTCGAGTCTGTTCCTTTTCCAAATCCTGCACCCTGACCTTCTTGCCGACACATCTTCCGGGATGCCAGATAGCAAAGAGCAAGACAGCCAATGCCACAGGAGCAAACTCCAGACAAGCAAAGAAGATCTCGTTCGAATACAAATGTCCCCCAAGGCCTTCAGCTGTCTCTGCTAGACGAAAGCAGGTTCGAAGATAAATCATGATGGTAGCCACTCCGAAAGCAACGCAGAACAAGCTGAGCTTCTTGCCGCGCGAACTAACCTCCCTTCGAGCACGGAAAAGGAATGAAGCCGTGAGGATAACGAACACACCGAGGGAGAAAACCTGGTAAGCCAAACCTCCAAGAAGAATGTTATTGGCGTCAGTTGGATCATCTCGGTTCGACTGTCTTACACCAATCAGAGCAGCACCAGTGATCTGCACAACCGTAGCAATAACATCAGAAGTGATAAAGAACCAAAGAATAAACTTTGGTGGCAAGAATGAATATCGTCTTCCAAGTCGAGGGATCAGTGCGGAGAGGATAGTGTACACGCCCGCGGCAAGGAACACAGGCGCCGTGACGATGAAGAAGTAGTTGAGGATAAAGTACAGCAGATGGTACGGATCCTTCTTGGCTGAGAGCGAGCGAGCAACGTAGCCCACGATCTCAAAGAGAAGACCGATTGGGAATGTGATAAAGTACCAGCTGCGAAAGCGGATTGTTTGAACGAGATGGACGACGAGGAAGAGGGCGAACCAGGCTGCAGCGAAAACGGCGAGAGAAAACGCGGGTGTGTAACCGTAAATGATTACAGGCGTATCCCACTCGCCGTTAGGGTTGGGAAAGTTTGGGTCGACATAGCCATTAATTGGGCGTTCTCCTGAGTCTTGTTAGTATCACACGGATATGTCCAGTGCAATTGCGAACATACCAGAGCTGCTCATGATGAGGATGAGTGAAAAGTCAAAGCTAATACTTGATAATCACGAAATATTCAGATGTAACACAACATTCTTCAGCGGTTGACGTTGGATCTTTAAATCCTACGGCGGGACCCTTCACATTCAGCTTTGATATAAGCTTCTTTAGTGTATGGAGAGACGAGCGCCAAACCCCTGGTCCTGGCGCAAAGTCATGAATCATCATTTTGAAGCTATTCCCCAGAATGGAAATGGTGACCCTGGGCCACGCACCCGTCAAAATGCCCAAGGGTCTCAATAATCGTTTAAATTGGCGAAAAACGGTCCCTGACGATTTGGTTTCCTTTTTGAGAAAGGGGATATGTCTAGAAGACTCTATGTTGTGGGAATGAAAGACGCATGTCTTGGACAGTGACATTCAGAGGGAAAGCCACTTGACATAAACGAGAAGACAATTTACGAGTAGATTGGCAGCTGATACAGTAAATTGCTCGAAGTTTTTGTTTGTTTGAGGAACAGAAACAAAGTCTGCGGTCTTCTCAGATGAAATATTCCATTAAGATTAGGCATCTTGCCATGTAGAAGGGCCCTTCAGATTTGTTGAACCTCAAGGGAGCCTCACATGAAAGGCCTAGTAGTCTTCTGCACAGACACTAAGAAATTAATCAACCGCTGTCAATTCTTGGCATTGTGTCATTGACATTGGATCCATAGCTGTCAAAGGCTGGACTACTTAAGCGACCGTTGCCGAAAAGACGAATCACAAGCATTCCTTTAGACGACAACCTCAACTTTGAGGATGCTGAACAATGCTTTCTGATTGTGGGTTGAAGACCCTCTATCAACCGAGATCCGAGTTGAGTCTAATCTCCCCTGTATCTATCCCGAATACTTCGCCAGTCTATGACCCTTTGACCAAATCATCACCCATGACCTCCTCGAAAATACCCTTTCTAACCTTCTGTAACTCCGTACGGGCTTCATCCATCTCTTCACCCTTCCTCTTGAGCTCTTTACTCAAATAATACTTCCTCTCTTTCGCCTGACTCAAACAGTTGTTCAAAGCCGCTGTGCATCGCGCTACCTCCTGTCGACCACCAGTGATATCTACCTTTCCCCAGACATCGCCCAGGTTAGACGTGACCTCCATAGTGCGGGGATTGGCCTCAGGTGGCAGCTCAATCACATCCGCACCGAGCTGTACTAGCTGATCAACCGTTATCTTACTCTGTTGAACAAGTTCCCTGCCCTTGTTTAGAGCTCGAAGATGATTCATGTCTCCGGATTGTAGAGCCTTATCGACCTGTTGTAGTCCAGCTGTCATTGTCGCTGTTGCTTGCTCGAGCAGACCTAATGCTTTTTGATGTAGTTCGAAGGCCGTCTTTGTAGCGACATAAGCAGATAGTGCATTATTACTCTGCCATTCCTTTGCGTCCTCTTCCGGAAATTCTGGCGTTGGACCTGAAAAGATATCATCATAAATATCGTCGAGCTGTTTCTGAAGATCGAGGTAACCCTGCATGCTCTGGTCGAGTTCGTTCTTTTTCCGAAGCTCTTCATCCAGCTTAGCCTTGACGCTCGAATTGTGCTCTGATGCCAGATGCGCCTGTTGAAGTGTGTTGTGGTAATTTTGCTCTTCCCTCTCAGCCTGACCTGTAAATGAGTTCTCTTTACCGCTGGCTTTGTAAAGAAACTTCATTACATGGCCATCGCGGTATTTCTTATGCGACTCAAGATCAGCTAAACGCTTGCGATCTAATCCATCGAGTTCTCGGTTAGATTCTGATAATTGTGACTCGAGGTCTGAGACGATCTTTTGTTGTAGAGAAAGATCAGTGCGAATATGTTTCGTTTGTTCTAGCAGGCTTAACAACTCTGCTGTCCTTGGGAAGGCTGCTTTTATTGCGTCTTTGATGTCCGGCATTTGGATGTGAGAATTGAATGAAGGTGGTGGGTTGGGTTCCATGACTGCAGCCATGATTGAGTTGGAGAAGACTCTTTGAAACGTGAATGCACTCTCAGGCTGAGACTCATCAGATGACAATGAAATCAGATGATGCCTAAATGAACCAACAAGGCGTTTATAGCGGCAGGGCAAGAGATGCACTCGAGATACAAGTTGAAAGTATAAAAGTTTGCTTGGATCCAAGTTACTTATATTTTGCTTCGTACAAGATAATTACAATAACCGCCTCAAGCAGAGGAGATAGGCCTTCATAAACCGCGCAGAACAAGGCAAGACATGAGTCGAACGCTGCAGGAGGATTCACTATCACGACCCAAAATATATGCAATAAAAAGGCAGAACTGTGAAGCCTGTTCGCCCCAAATTATTACTGCAACCAATCATATTGCACCTTCTAGAAAAAACGACAAGCAAGAGAATTTTCGCGTGGCCTTATGCAGCAGGTAAGCCAGCGATCAAAGCCTGGGATTATTCCATGCAGCTCTCTCATCTGCGGCATGACATCAGTGTACAATTATCGGGCGATTTAGGATGAACCAGGGTGTTGCATTCATGCCAAGCTACGCGGCCCTGAGGAGTTTTTCCGGGTGACAACCTCGAATCTCCGAACTACAGTAGACTACTATTTGTTCCTCTTTCGATGCAGTCATGATAATCTCCATTATCGGGGTATAATGCGCGGCAATAGCGGCTCTCGGATGAAACTGGAGAGTTGGCTTGGCGCAGGTTGGGCTGGGGACATCGTCCTCCTCACTCTCCTTCTCTATCATCCATAAAGCGACTGTACTCCCAGCGAGGATCTCATTCTCATGCGAATTCGTGTCGCTGGACTCGAATTTCCTTGGTGTTAGAGACGAGCCGAGAGTGGTGCTGATGATAGAAGTCTCAAGCTGGCCAGACCGGGTTGAAGATGTGGTTGGATAAAATATGTTGTGCGATCGTTATGTTGGACATTATGTAAAATAAATGTTGTTCTCGCGGAACGCCAAAAGAAGTCGTAAGAAGTCGTTTTCGTCACACTTGGCTGATCGTGCTTCAGAGAGTTCAGTCTTCTCAAGGACATGCTCAATCTTGCTCCGGATGAAGCTCTTGAGAGTGGCCTTGCTAACGGGAATTCCGCATACAGACTGGTGAGCGTCTATTGTGTCTTCGCTGTCACGGAAGAACTGCAAGTCTTGCTCGCTGACTTTTTCGGGATCCATAGCCGCCCAAGTGATCCAGTTTCGCTGGCAGAGCTCCTCCGAATCAATGAAGCTCGCTCGTAGAGTCTTGTTCTTCCTCGAGAAACAGATACGTAACATGCCGTCTAGCTCCTGTATGTTGGCGGCAGGCACTTCTGGTCGTGGCTCAAGTCTCACGACAACGGATTCGACTTCGGGTGGCGGCGAGAAGTTGTTCTTGCCGACCTTGGCAATCAGGGCGACTTTGGAGGTGAATTGTGTGTTGACTGAAAGGCGAGAGTATAAGGAATCGCCAGGTCGAGCGCATAACCGTAGCCCAAATTCTCGTTGGACCATAAGAATGCTGACGCGTGGAGGCCGAGGCAGAGAGATGAGCTTGGAGATGATGATGGACGAAATCTGGTACGGGGTATTGCTAATGCAAACATCGAAGGGTGGGAGTGCTTCCGGGAGATCCAATTTGGCGAAATCACCCATGATAATTTCCAACTTTTGCTGCTCGGGCTTGCCTTGGACTCTTTTTGTTAACTCGGCTCCCATGCGTATGTCGAGCTCTACGGCCTTGACCGCTTTGGCTTGTTCTAGAATGCGTGTGGTGAGGACGCCGGTTCCAGGACCGATCTCGAGGACGGTGTCGGTGGGTTTGAGGTTTGCCTTTGCGACAATCATATCGGCGATGCCAGGGTTCTTCAAGATGTGCTGGCCAATATTCGTGTTGTATTTGAAGATTGACTTGCGAGCTTCAGGCTTATCGTATGGCCCCTTGCGGGCACCACCGCGCCTGCTATCTGACGATTTCGGCATTGCGTTCTTGACTGTGAGTGAGACGGCAGGGTTTTCCTCTTTTTTTTTTCTGGTGGTGTACTGAAGCATCTCGTAGGGTGGGGCACCCCGCGATTATCTTTTTAGTGGGTCATGATGTGCGGAATAACCACTACTCCGCATGCTTGCGATGCACATGGAGTTATCAATATCTCTACAAGATAGCATATCACCTTGTCTATATCGAAGAGACAAAGCATTGTTAGAAAGTATTTGGCTTACATCTTGAACTTGAATCCAGGTATATAGATAAGGACGTAAAGTCTGGCTCTAATCACCTGTCTGGTATCACCCATGGTTGGACAAGAAACTCAGTCATGAACTCCGTGCTAGAGATTGAACACAATCGAAATCCTGGTATGTCTGGTTAGCCGCCATAAACAATCAAAAGAACAAGTGATCGACAGTGGCCTTCCTAGGTTGTAAGGCTGTTGCTCGTTGGTGATCTTTGAGTCAAGATGCCTGTGACGACTTTTCCGTGATTTGCCGACCCTTTGCCGCCAACGGAGCTTCCCTGCTTTGGTAGCTCCATCTTCAAACCTATAGTGCAACTTGTAGTATGAGGTAGAACCTCGCATCGCCAATCATTTCTCAAAGCAAATGGCTTCACCGAGAGCCCGTCTGCCTCGTGCAGGCAAACTCGGGGTTTTGATACCGAGATCAAAGCCTCACGGTGTCTCGATATGTCCATTCTGCTGCATTACGTCAAGGCCACGAATACGACCTCGTCGCGCTATCCTCGGAAAACGTTTCTACACTGTGTCGACGAATCCTCGTGCCGAGCTTGAACAACATCTTCTCGATATTCAGAAACTCGCACCGTCTTTGGTGAATCTTTCAAGATTGCAATTGGCACTACAGGGTCTGCGGCAAATACCTGGTCAGGAAGCTGTGAGGGTTGCGATCTTGGGACTGGCACCTGGTTCGAACGCGGGACAGACTGCGAAAAATGTTCTGAGGGTTTTAGTAACGGATCCGCTGCAGGATGAGCAAGAATGGGAGCGCCAATTGAAGGATCATGACCCAAAGAACCCCCTCGTTGTTCGAATCCGGTCCACTGCAGAGCAGCAGAGTACCTTAACAGTCACCAGAACGAGTCTTTTGAGTGAGGTCAATGTATCCTCGGCGGAATGGAATAACCTCAACTTGGAGCTACTATTCATGGAGACGCATCTTCCCGAGTTCGCCAGAGATGAGCAAACACGGGCTATCGAGGTCGAAGAGTCTGTTCTGGTGCCCAAGGTCGGCATTCCATCGGCTGAAGATCGAGTAACACCAGTTACTACACCTGTGCACAGGGCGATTCTTGTCGGTGATGGGTTTGAAGGAGCTGTCAATGTCACATCGGTACCAGTTGCCAAGGAAGAGGAGTCTGTGCTAAAAGTGGTTGATTTGAGAGGTGTTGACTCGAAGCAGCTCGATACACCCTTTGCGCTTGTTGATACATCACTTGCCGAGAGGGGAGTGTCACTCTTTCGTCAGAGTTCCAGCAATGCCATTGAGTATGAGCGGCTTTGGTTCAACAGTAACTTCCCTGCCTTAACAACATGGCTTAAGTCAGGAATCAGCTCCCCCGATGGCACCACGAAACCCGCAGTGCGAGGGCTCATTACTTCTCTGTTGAACAACGTTTTGGCGCGATGCGAGGAGGAATATCGTCGTGAAATCAGGGAGACTTACCAGGCTGCTCCCACTCTGAACGGCCAGGAGCCAGACTTCTCCCCTGTACTGATTCAAGCAGCTGGTGCATGGTCACAGCAAGCTCATGCAGAGTTACAAGACGAGCTTGACTTGGCGTTCACAGGCCGAAGATGGCGAAAGCTAGGATGGTGGCAACTATTCTGGAGGGTTGATGATGTTGCCATGCTCACAAACGATATGCTCAACCAGCGGTTCCTACCAACAGCAGAGCGAGAGCTTGTTTATTTAACCGGGAAGATCGCACAAGCTGCAAATGCGGACCAAAGTTATCCTCAACCACACTCTGTGAACGATAGCGACGCAAACATTGAGCTGAAGCGGCTTGGCCCAAGAGAGTTGGAACCATTGGCACCAGTGAACAACCGACCGGCACTACCAAAATGGCCCGGTCATATTGCCTTTACCCGAAGGTATCTCCAAAACGAGACTGTCCCTGCGCTACAAGCTCTCGCACAACGCTTGGTTGTGCAGTCGTTAGGGACATCTGGACTTACAACATCCCTCGCCGCTCTTCTCTATATCTCTTCCTTCTCCTCGACAGTATACGAAGCCGGTGCTGTAGCAGCACTAGGTATAGTCTGGAGTTGCAGCCGGTTACAGAAGAAATGGGATGCAGCGCGAACATTCTGGGAGGGCGAAGTGCGAGAAGAAGGCCGTAAGGCTCTCCGAGGCGTCGAGGACAGTGTTGCAGAGGTTCTCAGCCACGAGAAGCAGCAGGAAAAGCCAGTTGTAGACCAAAAAGGTGATGAGATTAACGAGGTTCGCGAGCTGGTGGTCAAGGCCCAGGAAGCTCTTGGACGAATGAAATAAAAGGGGAACCTGTACAATATGGACTGAAAAGCATTGGACTTAGAAGGTGACGAGATACCAGGCGTAAGACACGCCTTCATTTTTGTAATCTAGTCAATCTCAAAATACCACCCTCTACTGTGAGGTCTTGCAAGCCTCACAAGGCATATCCCCCTTCTAGACTGGTATCAACCTAAGCCTGTTCCACTCATTTTCCCAAAATCGAGGCATGCCCATTGTAAAAATCCAAGCCCGAACGCCAAAAACTCGCATATTTCTATTATGTCTTGTTTATCGTCCTCCTCGTCCGCCTGCGCGCGCTCGGCTGACCGTTGCGCGACCTCTGGCAAGACCGACACCACGACCACGTACGTTACGGCTGCGGAACATAGGGGCGTTGCGAAGCATGTCGGGAACGATGAAGAAGCGTACGTGTGAGCCTCGGATGTAAACTTGGTCGAGATGGGAAACGCGGCCGTCGCGAGCGGTGACGGTGATGTCCTTCAGTTGAACGTTCATGTTGTCCTCAGCTGCGATGTGTCAGCAAAAATTCAAGCTTTCAAGACAATTGAAAAGAAAGGATAGCAAGAGAGGGGGCGTACCGTCGAGAAGCTTGCCACGGTAAGTCTGACCGGAAGTGATTTCGAGCGTCACAATATGGCCCTATGAGGCAAAGTTAGCTTGATAGCTCAATCAGGAGTGCCATCTAAAGGAGTACGGACCTGCGCCTCATTCAGGAGCTTAATAGGAATACCGATTGTGGAAGTCATGTTTGTGGTTGGGTGTGATTTTCGTGTTGTCGCGTGTACACAAGGCCGAGGCTGAGCTGGAGCTTGGTATATCGTGAAAATTGGCGAGGCTTGGTGGTGAGGGATGTTGGAGAAGTGGAGAAGAGTTGATCCGAGCCCGCAAGAGTTTGGTTTGACACTGTGTAAAGTACGTGACCTGGGCAGGAAAAGCACAGTGCCTGTATTTCACAGTTTCTGAGAGTATTACATGCTTTTTCCATGCAAATGAGATTCGACATGATCGCTGAAACATACTACTATTTCCCTAATTAACGCCATAAACTTGAAATGCCGTCCAGATAACATAAGAATGCCACACGGGATTATAGAGTGTCTAACCACTTGTTCACTTTCGCCTTATTGCTGACTTGCTTCCTCTTATCCACATCCAACTTCTTTCCATGCTTCTTCTTCTCCTTCTGTTTCTTTGATGTAGTTGATTTCCGCTTTGGTGCATTGGAGTTCGATATCACTACGACAGTTTCTGTAGTGTCTGCTTCTGCTTGCAGCGCTCCGCTCATCAACATGCTATCCTCGGTCGTCTTTGTTGAAACGACAAGTTGATCATTCTGCGGACCGTACACTTCTTGTGTAGAGACTGGAGGATCACTGGTTGTTGGTGTTGTCACGGTAGAGCAAGTTGATAGCTCTGGAGCTTGACTGGACCCTTGACTGGTCGCCTCATTGACACTCATGGATTGGTAATGAATGTATCCGCCTTGAACATTCGGCACAATCGAATTTCTCCCAGTTGGCGGTATTGATGAGATGTCCTCGAATGAGATATATCGAGCTCGATAGTAGTACAGTCCCGAGTTGTGGAGAGCCCATTCCGACCACCGAGATCGCCCGGGCAATGGCTCAATGGCTTTCGATGCAGGAGTTGAAGGTTGGGACTCATGCGCAGTGTGTCTTTTGTTCACCATATTCGTGATGCGGCGGTCGCTTAGCACTCCAGAACGGAAATAAATGCATGAGAACACGGGTACGTTAAAGAGATATAATCCAGGGATATCCCTCCAAGCAAAGGACAGCTGCGTCGGGTCGCAAACTCGAGGTTCGCAGATAATCCTAACGCATTTCCTCACCCGACAGCCTCACTCTTCTCGCTGGGTGCCGAAAGGAAGCCTGCATGCAGGAGACACACAAAAAGCGACCTCTCGTGTTTCCAGGAACCCGTGGGTCGTCGAGGTATGGTGAATGAGTCCCTGATTGGGTAAGAGATGAGCAAATTATTCATATAGTTGGCTGAGAATCGTAAAGGCGTGTTTTGTGAAAGCTATGAGCGTTGAACAGGTGTCACTGCATCTCCCAATTGAACAGCTGCGCTTTGACTAATCCTGCGAGGTACCTGATCTGGCAAGTCGAGCATGGATGGCCTCAGTCAAGTCCGCCTTGTCAGCTGCCTGTCGCGTGCGGCGGAATTTCGAACCAGAATGGACGCATGAAGTAATAATATCGTCCTTGCGAATAGGAGTTTTGTAATTGAGGTAACGGACATCACAATGATAACAATCACAATGCTGACTGAAGGCACAGCCATCGATTGGACTGCAGCAGACTGGTTTGGAGAAATTGATACGTTGAACTCACAACCGCTTATCAGCGATTCTCTTATTATTGCTTCTCTGCAGTCTCCTCGACCACTCCCTCTTTCTGGGTATCGTTCTCCTGCTTCTGTTTCTTCTTTGCTGCCAGCTTCTCCCTTGTTTGTTGCTTGCGAGCCTGCCTGTTGAGGCTCCCAATCACTCCACCCTCTTTTCCGCATGGCCACTTCGCCTCAGCTGCTGCTTCGTCTTCCTCGGTCCACTCTCGAGGCAGAACAGCGAAGGTGAGATATGACGTGTGAGTCTTGAGATCGTTCTCAGGTCTATGGTAGAGATTGCCATGCATCCATGGTTTGCTATCTTCAGCAGCCTTTCCATTGGCGTCGGTCTTGGGTGAATTTGAGGTAGGGGTATCTACATCCATTGCTGATGAGTCGTCGTCACCGTTCGTTGACTTGAAATGCACCTTATGGAATTCTTTCGTCTTTCGATTGATCTCCTTGAGCCTTTGCATGGCCTCCTTCACATTGGCTGGTGTTTGGACATTGCCCCTTTCCGCAGGAAGATTTGCTCCAACTCGCTCACGAATAGTGTTGATCCGTCGAGCTGAGATTTCCACCATGTCAATGTCCTTCCAGCCAAGAAGCCGAAGCTCCTCAATTGTTCTTGTGACTTGCTCAATACAAGGAGAGAAGGTACAAATATGGACACTTCTTTTGGGGTCCAGAGGTGAGACCCATTCAGGGGTGTCGGCATTCTCGCTTTCCTTCTTTAGCTTATCGGGCTTCTGTCTTGAAAGGTGATGAAGCGCTTCCCAAGGCGCAGGGAGATCAAGAAAGACTGATGTTGCTTGGGGAGACTTTCCGTCCACATTGAATCCTTCTCCATACACATCGCGATGTGTCAATTGCACGACACCATCTAGCTTATGCTCGTGAATTTCTTCTTGCATCTTAATATATCGAGGCTCGTGGTATTCAAAACTGAAAACCTTTCCCTTCTTATCGTTCTCGTCCTTGGGGTAGCCACTGTACACAGCACGCGCAGAGGCATGTGTAAAGCTTCCACTGCCGGCTCCAGCTTCAATGATTCGAGTACCGGGAACTGCTCGTATTCTTTGAAGGATGTAGCTATAATCGGGAGTATACACGACTTGAGTTCGATGAGGCAGACTGCTTGTCCAGAGCTCGGGAGTCGGTCGAAGGATATGGATAAAACCACTTGCAGCTGCGACAGCCTTTTTGGCAGGCTTAGACGTCACATCTGCGACATCATCGTCTGGGCCAGTCGTTGTCGGTGTGTCATCATCTGTCGCTTCGCGGCGGCGCTTTCGCCCTCTTGAGCCAGTGTCGACATTTGATGCACGAACTTGGGATCCCCAAGGAATACCAAGAAGTGTCGAGTGAGGAAAAGATCCGAATCGCGTGTTTAAAGTTGCACCTTCGAGGTATCCATCGACTGCGCCAGTCGACTGTTCCAGTGTAATCGGCTGAAGGTTATCTCTGGAAAGAAGAACAATTGCCAAGTCGCCAGTGGAAGTCGTAGTTCCTGGCTCCAGGAAAGGAGATGGTTGAACCATTGATGCGACTGCAAGCACAGGCGTGTCTTAAGAACCGAGTTGGTATAAGGTAGGTAAAGCTTAGACTAGATTTGCAAAGACGAGGCAGAAAAATATTTCCAGGATACACACGAGGCTGAACAATTAGCGTTGTCCCCACTGAAAGCCTTAGTGAGGGGCACTCAATGTGTCACTAAAAATGATCATGGACCAGGCTATTGGACAGACCTCGCGGGGACCTCAGGTGCTGGTCCCCTGTAGCTCCCCTGTAGCTCAGGGCAGGTCTCGGGTGACTCGAAAAGTGATCTATGGCGTCTTTCTCTCCCTTTGACTCGTCTGTGACTCAGGCCTCTCGTTGTTGACATTTGTCTTGTTCTAAAGGTACATTACCTTGCCTTGCATATACACCTCCTTTTCTCCTCCTACGATACCCTCCCTCTCGTCTCCTTTTCTCTCCCCTTCGTCTTACCTTTTGGCGTCTGTATGAATCTCTTTCGACAACGTCTTATTCGATCCAAAATCCCCACTCCGTTCTCAACGCCCCGACTGCGACCCCTCCATCGATTGTATTCGTCTCTATCCAGCTCCAACACGAGCACAATGGAGTCGCTAAAGCTCTATAACTCGCTCAAGCCTGGCGCTCCAGTGCCGTTTGTTCCTATTGAGAAGGGCAAAGTTACCTGGTATGCTTGCGGTCCTACTGTGTACGACAAGAGTCACTTGGGCCATGCTCGCAACTATGTCTCTACAGACATTATTCGTCGCATTCTGATGCATTACTTTGGCTTTGATGTCAAGTTTGTCATGAATATTACCGACATCGACGACAAGGTATGAAGAAGTGCTCGCTAGACACTATGCGACTTGCCTAAACCTCTACAGATCATCATCAAGGCACGACGACAACGATTGCTCGAGCTCGAGAAGAACAAGAACTACACAAAGGACGAACTTCGAGATCTGGCCCTGGCCGCTTTCCGGGCATACGCTAAGAGCAGCCTGCCTTTGCTGCTAAAGGACGGAGAGGACATCGATGCGACCAACTATGCTCAGCGCAGAGAGGCAGGATATGGACACGTGCTTGCGGGCGGCACCATTTCTGGTGAGGGAAAGCCTGGCGACGATGAGGCCAAGGTCAAAATGCACCTCAGCAATATGACTGCTGCTGCTGAAGCTATCGCTTCTGGCGAGATCTTCCCCGGCACCGACGAGATTCTATTGCCCTTCCTCGATTCGCTTTACAAGGAAACCATTGACACGAGGGATCAGACAATGTTCACAGATCTGACTCAGAGCATGGAGAAGCTATTTATGGATGACATGGATGCGCTCAACGTGCTGCGACCTGACGTTATCACTCGAGTTACCGAGTACGTTCCCCAAATTGCCGATTTCGTCAAAAGAATTGTTGACAAGGGATTCGCATACGAATCTGAGGGATCTGTCTACTTTGATATCTCTGCGTTTGAGCAGGCCGGAAATACTTATGCGCGACTGCGTCCTGACAACCGAAATGACAAGTCTCTCCAGGAGGAAGGCGAGGGTTCCCTCTCAAAAAACCTTGGTGGAAAGAAGAATCCCGGCGACTTTGCTCTGTGGAAGAAGTCCAAGGCTGGCGAGCCCTTCTGGCCTAGCCCTTGGGGAGATGGACGTCCTGGATGGCATATTGAGTAAGTTCAAATGAACCAAGGCAACTGAGTAATGAGTTAACAAGTGAATTCAAGGTGCTCGGTTATGTGCAGTGATGTTCTAGGAGCAACAATTGACATCCACTCTGGAGGTATCGACCTGGCATTCCCTCATCATGACAATGAGTTGGCACAGAGCGAGGCTTACTTCTGCGAGCATGGTAAGGGCGAGCACACATGGGTCAACTACTTTATCCACATGGGTCACTTGTCGATTTCTGGATCCAAGATGTCCAAGTCTCTCAAGAACTTCCAAACTATTCAGGATGCATTGGCTACGAACTACTCTTCAAGAGGAATGCGAATTGTGTTTTTGATGGGTCGATGGAACGATGGTGTTGAAATTTCACCGGATATGCGATTGCAAGCTGACAACTGGGAGTCAACCATCAGCGTGAGTATGACTCAGACCTTGATCTAACATGACTGACATATGGCAGAACTTCTTCATCAACGTCAAGGCATTGCTGGCGGAGGCTGGTATTTCACATGATGTCAAGTCTCTGTCTCTCAGCGCAGATGGCAAGGCCAGTGAGGGTCTCTTGGCTGAGCTCGAGCAAGCCAAGAAGGACTTCGAGGCTGCTTTGGTCAACTCAATCGACACACCAAAGGCTATGTCTGTTATCCTCAAGTTGGTCAACACTGCCAACGTGCACTTGAGAGACAACAAGGACGCTGATCTTGTGGCTCTTGAGTCTATTGCACGCTGGATCACCAAGATTGTGGGCATCTTTGGTCTCGATTCGAATGCTTCGCCGCCATATGAAGGCCTTGGCTGGGCCACAGTCATCGCCTCAGACGTTGAGCCAAAGACAGCCGTTCAGCCCTACGCCGAGGTCTTCACCAAGGTCAAGTCGGATGTTTCTGGCTTGTCTCTAGAGAGCGCCGAGATTTCTGCATTGCTTGAGCAAGACCCTACTGCTGAGTTCGAGTCGATCGCTTCTGGTGGCTCTCGCGACCCTGAGCAATTGGCTTTGCCTTATCTTCGTGCCGTCTCTAAGCTTCGATATGAGCTGCGTCGTATTGTTTCTAACCAAGCACCCGAAACGAAGAAGGCTATTCTTTCCTTGACAGATCGTATTCGCGACGAGGATCTCACAAACCTAGGCGTTTACTTGGACGACAGACCTGACGGCCAAGCCTCCCTGATCAAGTTCATCCCCGCTGCTGAACTGATTGCTGCGCGTGAAGAGAAGGCCGCCCAAGCTGCTGAAAAGGCGCGAAAGAAGGAGGAGGCTCGTCTTGCACGTGAGAAGGCCGATCAAGAAGCTCGTGAGAAGGCCAAGGTCAGACCCGAGGATCTCTTCAAGGGTGATGAGAGATACAGTGCCTGGGATGAGCAAGGACTGCCTACTAAGATGAAAGATGGCAGTGATGTGCCCAAGAGCCAATTGAAGGGTTTGAAGAAGCAATGGGACCGACAGAAGAAGGCGCACGATGATCTCAAGGCTAAGGGATTGTTGTAGAAATGGGAAGTGGTGTTGAAGTGGGTAACCTATCTAGTATCTAGAAGGAGGAGTTCGGGGGCGAAAACAAAAGCGTTTCAAGACTTGATTATTGCACATTGACATTTCTCACATGAATGGCCATGCCTGGCTGCATGTCGTCGCACGCTACTGTGATAGGAATGCAACACACATTGACTTGAGATGGGGGTTAAATGTCGTGATAGCATGGTGGCATTGAGCAAACAGATCCGGCACTTATACCCGGGATACTTGGCAGCGGAATATTAATGTCAGAATCTCGTTAGGCGGACTTCATATGATGGCAGGGGAGCAGTATATTTGTGTCTCTTGCGTGTATTTGGACTAGTTGTAAGCCATTTCTGCAACAGCATATAGACAGCTGAGTCCATGGGCATCTAGACTATTGCACAGGATGAAGACATGCACTCTAATATGACAGAATCTCGCAAACTGTAGCATTTTATGCATATCGATCAATAAATTGCCTTTCGGAAATATAGGTTGCAAGGATGAGCTCGTTGGTCAATTGCGTGATGGGCACTATAGATGGCATAAAACTCCACTATCCCACATCACACTCCAAGGTTCGGCGAACTCAAGACATCTTTACTTGTTAGGAATTGGCAATTGTTGTCTTTTACTGGTAAAGAGGCAACAGTGGAGTTCAATGGCGATGAGAAAGATCGGGTTATCGCGTGGGATGTCGCAGAAATAAAGAGGGCGATCGCCCGCGGAACTTGGCTCAACGTCTCTAGCAATTACCCTTTAACTGGCAATCTAAGTCTAAGTTTTATCTTAGTCTTAGTCTTCAAAATGGAGAAGAACTTTGATGAGACAGTTGTTGGTAGCCAAGATGGTAGTTCCAGTGATCTGGAGCACATCGAAGTTGACTGGACCGAAGAAGAGGAAGCGAAACTCATTCGCAAGTAAGTAAACCATCCAGAAACTATGAGTGTTTCCCCAACACTAACTTTTTATCTCCGTTCAGGGTCGATTTCACTATTATGCCACTCTTAGTCCTTGGCTTTTTTGCCCTTCAACTCGATCGAGGAAACATGTACGATTATACCGATACTCGACGATATACTCGACTGACACAACTCTAGTGGAAATGCTCTCACAGACTTTTTCATGGCTGATGTTGGGATTACTCAAAGTCAGTTCAACGTTGGACAGCAGCTTTTGTCTGCGGGTATTGTCCTGCTTGAGGTATGCTTCCAGAGCATGTGTGTTGATAAGGGTTGCTAATGATGATAGATTCCCAGCAACTTCATCCTCTACCGTGTTGGGCCCGCCAAGTGGATTGGATCCCAGATCATTGCATGGTAAAGTAGACCCAATGTCTCCTTTCTGATATTGTCTAACGTCTTACAGGGGCCTCGTTGCCACGTTTCAGGCCTTCCAGAAAGGTTTGGGCGCTTTTCTTTCCACTCGACTTCTTCTTGGGTATGTCTGTCTCTCGATATTTTGCGAAATATTTTCTAATACTTGATTAGTCTTTGTGAAGCTGGATTTATCCCTGCAGGTCTGTATACAATTACTCGATGGTACAAACGTGATGAGACCAGCAAGCGATTCTCCATCTACTTCCTGGGTAACATGATTGCCTCTGGAGCATCAGGTCTCATTGCATATGGGATGTAAGCATGACTTAAGCTATCTAACTCTTGATTCCCACGCTAATCATGGCAGTCTTCACATGCGAGGTGTTGGTGGACTCGGAGGTTGGCAGTGGCTTTTCATCGTAAGTCAACACAACCTTAGCCTATCTATCTAAACTAACAATACTAGCTTGAGGGTATCTTCACCATCCTCGTTGGAATTCTCTTCATTCTGTTCTTCCCCGACAGTCCCTTCAACCCCGTCTCACTCTTCAAGTTCGGTGTCTTCACTGAGAGGGAGAGAGAGATCCTAACGAAGAGAATTCTGAAGGATGATCCTTCCAAGATTCACGCAAAGCCAAATGTCACTAAAGAAGAGTTTCGCAATGTGGTATGTATCTTATTCGGTGTATCATATCGCAGTGTGCTGACGGCTGCAGATGACAAACTGGAGACTCATTCCTCATGTTCTACTTACTATCAGTGCTCTCGCACCCGCTACAACTATGAGCTCCTACTCGCCAAGCCTTGTAAAGTCATTTGGTTATGAAAGACTCAAGTCTAATGCCCTTGTGTCAATTGGATCTTGGGCCCTCGTTGTGACCAACCTGCTATGGGGTTATCTGGGGTAAGAAACACCAATTCATCATTTGAGACCTTGTGCTGACTCCTTCCAGTGACAAACTTCAAATGCGTGGCCCTCTAGTTGCATTTGGAATCTTCATGTTCTGGGCATTTACAGTAAGCAACTCTTTTCAAGACTTACTCATGCATTGCTGACTCGTCAGATCGCTGATCGTGTCATGGTGTTTTCACCCGATGGACATACGCGATTCGCTCTGTTGACATTAACACATGCTTTCGGATGGCAATGGCGTAAGTTGAACCACATATTCGATAGATTCACATGATACTAACATTCTCATAGATCCCCTTAATGGTTCTTGGATGTCTCTCAACGCTGGTTCCGCTGGAGAGAGATCCATCACCATGGCCATCCTCATCATGTCAGCCAACACATCTGGCATTATTGGAAGTCAACTCTTCCAAGAGCATGATGCTCCTCTTTACAAGACTGGCTGGACCGCTATCATGGCTCTGGCTTCAGTTGGTCTTGTTATGGCTGTCGTTGCGAACTTGCAGTACTTCTTCCTCAACGGCCGACGGATAGGTCGCAAGGGATTGAAGTATAGTCCTTAATTGGGTGAAAGAATATTCACTTGCTAGCCAGGTCACAGCGTTGGTTGGTAGTGGAAATATTGGAACTTGACTGTCTGAACTTTTGATCAATTATTAGAGAATATCATTAGGGAATCATGGACTAGAGAACAATTCTGTGTTTACTTGGTCTCCTTCTTAGCGTCCTTCTTGGCCTCACCAGCAATCTCTTGGGCCTTCTCAGACTTCTTCTCCAGCACCTGTCGCAGCTCCTCGACGGTCTCTTTGAACAGCTTCTCACCCTCTTCCTTGTGCTTGTCCGCAACCTCGCTCAACTGCTGCAACTTCTCCATGACCTCGCCACCGTTGGGGATCTCCTTGATGTACTTCTCAATATCAACCCAGCCACCGGTGAGCTCGTTACCCTTGGACTTGACCTTCTCAGTCGCATCCTTGACGTACTTCTCTAGGTCGCCTAGGTCGCCAGAGTCGACAGCAGACTTGGCGCGCTTGAACAGCTCGGCGGTGTTACCCTCCTTGAGAGCGTCGGCGTTCTTCTCGATAAGCTCCTTGACCTTGGGGTTCTTGTCAAGGTAGGGCTTAGCCTCCTCAAGACCCTTCTTCCAGGCCTCGTCGCCGAGCTTCTTGATCTGCTCCACCTTCTCCTCGATGAGCTTGCGGGCCTTGCTTATGCTGGCGGCACTGAAACCTCCGGCAAAGATGTCCTTGACCTGCTTCCAAGTCTCGTCGACCTGCTTCTTAGCCTCGGGTCCATACTTGTCACCGAGCTCCTTGAGCTGATCGACGTTGCCGCCAAGCTTCTCCTTGACTTGGGGATGGTTGTCGATGATGTCGCTGATTGCATCACCAGCGAGGTTGGCGACCTTCTTAGCGAGATCGGCAAGGACATCGTAGGCCTTTGAAGCGGTCTCGAGGCTCAGGCCAGACTTGGAAAGATCTTGGAACTGCTTGTAAGCATCGTTGACGAGCTTGTCGGCCTCATCCTTGTTGTTCTCTCGAACCTTCTCCCAGTCCTTGAAGGCAGCATCAACGTAGGCGCGACCACCGGGGATCCACCCAACGTAGGAGTAAGCAAACTCCTTGATGTAGTTCACAGCCTGGTCGGCGTCGGGAGTGTTCTTCTGGAGCTTCTTTGCGGCAGCCTCATATTTTTGCTGGGCCTCCTTGGCAGCCTTGTTGATACCTGAAGCAGCACGGCCAGCGGGTGTGTAAGAGTAGATGCCATAGAAGATAGCTGAGCCGACAAAACCACCAGCGATGCCGGAGGCGAGATGAGCGCTGCTCGATGAAGACGAGGCTGTAGATTGGAATCGAACTTGGCGAGAAGCACGAGAAGTACGTGCGGCACGAGGCACAGTTGATCGAATGAGAGGGCGAGCGGGTAGCATTGTGTCCGAATGGTTGTTATGAGATGGAGAATGGAGAATTAGATTGTAGTGAAGAGGGGAAAGATGTGAGGATGAGGGGAGGAAAAGGTCGAAGATGGCATTTCGAAATTAAGTAAATAACTTTTTGCAATTTGTCTAAGGAATGACGTATTCATACGATCACGACGCAAACAAACCACAAGCTAGAGCTTCAGGACCAAAGCTCCGGAAACGTGACGTCAATGACGCTCATATGCGGACATTGCGGGGTGAGTTTGGCGTTCCCCACATGAGGCCAAGACAGTCCAATTGGCCAATTGCGTTCCATATCTCAAAACTCAATGCATGCTCAAGATCGAGATCCTTGTGCAGTTCCTGGTTTGATCCTCGGGTCTAGAGCTGAAGATGATCAGGGGCGCTTTCGTTGGTGCTGGTTTAGACGGGGCCGGGATGGGCCGCGGATGTTACGTCACGACTACCTAAGACAACAGCTACACTAAGAAGGGGAGGCAAGAAAACTTAGGACCTCTTTTCTAAGTGAGGAAAATACTGAGGTAAGTTTAGGATATATTAGCAAGCCTCTAGACCAGTTTATTTTGGCACCCTGATTTAACGTCAGAAGTTTTCTTGCTCCCTGGGGACTAACAACCAAGCTCACCAAGCTCAGCTACCAAGGTCTAACAAGGTTAACATCGGTAGATCGGCTACACGATAAAGAGCCGCTTATTCAGGACTAATGAGTTCGAGGCTCTTTAAGGATTTCTCGCTTGATGGATAATCCCCACGTGGTAGGTATGCTCTTGGGGAAGTTGACTTTTACTTCGTTGTCATTTTAGGTTACCCTGGAGATATTTGCTCGGCATTTTCTAAGTTAAATATGCGTCTTTGTACTTCACTCGCGCACCTTTAACATCTGGAATATTGAGGTGAGGTAGTAGTGAAGACAATTCGGGTAGAGTAGTTACACATTTTTTGAGTCAAAGGCTTCAAAGGTATTGATTGATGGTTAAAGTTTATGACGTCTCAAGGAGACATATCAAGCCAACACTCTGAAAAAGTCCAATTGACTTCAGCTTTTAGAAGGCAATATGCATATAGCCTCAACAAAGATAAGTCTCTCAATTTAAACATAATAATAAGCTTCTATAATGACTTAATTAGTAACTTTATTTGCAGCTGTCTAGGGTATAAGAAGTCGTCCTGATCCTTCATTGCTAGAGACAGAAGACCAAAAACCTCTTCTCAAATTTTCAGAGTACACAACAGTGTAGAGAAATAAGTGAACAGGACAGAGCATCCAATCTAGCTTTCAGGATAAGCAGACAGACTTCAATACAAAAGCTTAATCCCCCAGACGTAGCCACTAACGAAGTCACACTTGGCATGAAAGACCACAGTCAAAATCACATCAAGTTCCCTCGAAGAGGGCTTCAAAGGTATAAGATTGTCAATTAGACCCAGCTAATACTCCCAAGACAGTAATTTGGACTTTACTAAAACATGCGCACTAACTATTGAGCTTAATTGTGGTCTGGGGTCGACTGGCTGTGTGCAGAATGCTGTGCCGATGCGGCCTCATCGGGCCAGTGTACAGGGTCTGTGACGAACGATCTGGGGTTGTTGACTTCCTGATTTTGTCTCTCCAACACTAAGTTAATCGCATCGTGCAAATTGTGAAGCCTGTCGCCGAACATCGCGACGTTGCCTGAGAGCTTATCCTAATGGGTCGCGAGGAGTTTCGTTTGTCGACCAAGTTGGTCAGGGCAAGTCAGTGGACGACTGCTGATGAAGACAGGATGATGTCTTACATCACCTAGGGAGAGGTAGGTTCGACTGCCATGATCGGTCATGCCCATCTGCGAGGGAGCAGCAGGAAGCCTGTCATCGTGGGATTCTTCGGAGCCCTTGTATTGGGAGTTTGCGCTTGGAGTCTCACTCGCCATAGAGGATATGCGATTAGGAACTGATTCACTGTTGGCGGGCGTAGGAGAGCTTGAGACCACAGAAGGGCTTGAGGACATACACATGGCCGGGCTTGAAGCAGACCCCTCACTGGGGTGGCCATTAGAAGATTGGCTCATGTTTATGGATATTTTGCCTGGAGATGTGGAGATATTGTGTTTAGTTGAACACAAATGATGATAACATGAAATTTCCTGTCCAAAAAGAAGAAAAGGAAGAGCTTGTTAATGGTGGATGAATATGGGAGAGGATATTATGATGGGGAAGAGCAGAGAAGCATGAAAAGGGAAGGCACAAGGGAAGATTATATTTTCTACTATTACTCAGAATTTCAAACCGAGTGCTTTGCTACTTGTATCAGCTTTCTAGAACGTGTGGTTTCTCCTATAGTAAGAACAGATTGGTTGATATCGGCTCTTTCTTCTCTGTAGCAGAGAATGCTCGTAAGGATGGCCGGGTCTTTCTTACGTGGCTCATTGAGCAGCAAAGGCCAAAGAGAGATCTAAGGAAGGTTGAGCAAGCGAGGTGTCACCCTAAATGCCAGCCAACGTGTAGCTCATGCTTTGTGAATTTGATATTCATTGGTTTGAGAGTCTGTACACCTTCAGAGAGGGTACACTGATGGCCTTGGGACGATAACCTTTTCTGATGCGATGGATGTCCCTTAAGTTCTCGTTTTATGTGTAAGTTGTGTCTAAAGCTGAATGGCAACCATCTCCCATGCTGCAGTTCTCTCAGGGCCATATCTAGAACCTATATAGGCCTTTTCTGCTAGATGGAGACACAAATACAATAGTAAATTTAGTGACTATCTGAAAGCAATTTGTGCGAAGTATGTCCGGTGGTACTTCGGAATAGATTGAGCCTTGACAGAATTTCTTATCGTTGGGGAGATATAGTAAGAGGATGCCAAACTTGAATGTTACATTCTCGGGAACATGGTATCGCTGTACCGATTGTGTTCCATGTGTTAATTATAGAGACTCTGAGCATAAGACGGAGCTTTAACGGCTAAGGGGGCAGGAAAACTTAGTCCGTTCATCCTAAACGATAAAATTATTTAGATGAGTTAGCTAAGCTTAGGGGACCTTTTAATAAGTTCATCTTAGCACTATATTTAAAATCTGAAGTCTTTTTGCTCCCAGGGCTAGGGTATCTTTTGTAGCATGAAAATCCGAGGGCTCTGCTCCATATGCAGTGTGCTTGACTCAGGTCCCATGTCGAAGCCTGGTTGGCTAGCTAATTTTAGAAATTCCATGTTGTTGGAATTATTTCCGGAGACTCCTTGTCAGTATAGATTTACGATATAGTATATCTATTGAACTAGAAATACAGGCCGTTTTCAACCATAACTTTATCGAAGCAGTAATAAGCTTAAGTTTTACGGCGTGTCGTCTTCTGAAAGACGTCGCCAACTCAATCCAATTTCTGACGTCACTTCAAGTGGATATCATTACTTGACCACTTTAGATTCTGCAGGCTTTCAGCTTGAGTCACGGAATCCCAGTCAAGTATTTACAATGTATAGCTAGTCTAGAAATTCCCTATGAGAATAAACATGAAAAAGATAATGCCCTTATGGAATTGATACAAGATGTTGTTGTGAAAAAGAAAATGATGTTCTGGGTGCTTCTAAATCGTGGTCTCCACACGAGATGAAGGTCCAACCGAGCCACCTACGTGGTGACATATATCTTCCACTATCCAATCGCCGACCGAGCAAATTTCTTTACCATTCACAAATCAATAACCATAAACTCTATCAACCGTCATATCATCAAATATTGCAATGGCACCTAAAGCCTTGACCCGAGAGACGACAACTGGCGCTGCGCTGGAGAAGGTCCAGGGCGCCATCCAGAGCCCAACGACAGAGGTGATTCCCAAGCCGCCTTCTGACGTAAGTGAGTCTGATACAAAATGAACACCATTATACTGATAGAATTACAGCTCGAGGAACTCAAGGCTGATTGCGATTCATTCACTTTCACATCATTCACCACAGAGGATGCTTTTGTGCTGGGTAACCTTCTCTACGCCCGTCTTTACCCATACGCTGTCGAAGGCAAGCCGACGGTGATCTCAATTGCCCTTGCAAACACCTCCCAGGTTGTCTTCCAAACCGTTACCGGACCTGGCACAGCTCCCGACAACGAGCAATGGGTTCGCCGTAAGAGGAACACAGTTCTCCGATTCGGCAATAGCACGTGGTTCATGCACAACAAGTTCAAGGGGGATGAGGTTGCTTTCGCTGCCAAATATGCCATTGCAGATTCAAACAAGGGTGACTACGCAATCCATGGTGGAGCTATCCCGATTCGCGTCCAGGGAGTTGAAGGGATCGTTGCTGTTGTCGTGGTGAGCGGGCTCAAGCAAGACGAGGACCATGGAGCTATTGCCGATGTTATCAAGAGCAATTGGAGCTGTTAGATAATTTCATAGGGTAGTCAGGCACGAATCTGTCAAGGATGCTCAAGGTATCCCTGACGCAGCGGCCGACCGGATTTCCTACTACGGAGTGCCCGTTCCCGCTATATATGCACCAAAACAAATAAAGTTTATGCAGCTAATGAAACCGAAATCCACACTAGCGTGCCGAGACAAACTAAGTTAATCACTCCATGCATGCCGAGCATTGAATTCAATAGTCTATCATACCTTTATCAATATCTAGAGTAGACACAGCTCTACGGCGACCATGAACACGACGAAATGGAGGATCTCAAAGGCTTGTCAAGAATGTCGCGCCAAGAAGATCAAGTGCAACGGGGAGACCCCCTGTCAAAACTGCAGCATGAGAAATCTCAGTTGCGTCTATCGCGAAAAGGCCCGTAATCGGACGCGCAAGGTCAAACCGCGAACTGCAGCTTATGAGACTATAATGTCTCACGATGCCATGGAGAGCACGTCTCTGGAACCCTCCGATGAAGGAACTGTGCCGCCTACGCCAAATGCCGACGACGCGGCATCTGTCGGACCTACAGGATCAGTAATGGACAGTGAACGCAGTTTGACACATAATAGTGTTGCTGCGACACATCGCGCATCACCGTCTTGTTTCCTCCAGCTTTACTATGGCCCCTCATCGAATTTCGCCCTACTCAACTCGATCTATCACCAAATAGCAGGAACATGCCCAAATGATCCTCCATCACGCTCTGGAATTGTCGAAGAAGTTGGTCCGGGTCTAGACCTATTCAGTCATCGGAGACTATTCTTCGGAGATTTGGCCGACAACCAACGGCCATCATCAGTACCAGACGACTGTTCAGCTATGTTGATTGACCCAGATACTGCTCATCGGCTACTCGAGAGATATCTTCTGACTTATTGGCACGGTCTTCCCATCATGAGTAAAGACCATTACCGCCGTCGCTTAAGTGCCCTATATCAACCGCCAGGTATCTTTGATTATGATGCACCCGAGACTATCATCATCATGCTGGCTGTAGGACTGGGAGCTTCAATGACAGGCGAAGAAGCCATTGCAGACTTTCTTTTTCAGAAAACCAAACAAGGAGTTGCCAAATTGGATGAGGTTGTGAACATGCAGATGGTTCAGATACACCTCTTAATGATAAGTCATACCTCCTGAACTTTGCTCTCATATAAGCTTACACACTCTCACGCTCACTTCCAATCTGAAAGAGCAAGGCCAAACTCAGGTTTCTTGCATGTCGGAACTGCATGCAGAAAAGCAGTAGCAGCTGGTCTACATAAGGATGGATGCTCACGCCCAGGATACACTGAAGATGATACAAATCAGCGAAGAATAACATTCTGGAGTTTGTTCTTCTGGGAAACGTATGTTTATTAATTATCCACTTTGACCACTACTGACATGGTACAGATGGCAATGCTTTGTCCTTGGCCGACCTAGCTCGCTTCCTGACCCTGGTTCGATCATACCACTACCGAAAGGCCAAAAACTACTAAAGTCTTTGGTCACTCTATCACGTATCATGGACAAGTGTGTAAAAAAAATATATAGTCCACGGCATGACTCCCTGTTGCCAGTCTGGAATGCAGCCATCGAGATCCGCCGCGAACTACATCAGTTTGCAGAGCAACAACTCAAGGACATGAAGTTTGGTCTTGTTGGAGACCCCAGCACAGGAGAGCTCGGCGTGTGCCAAGCTATGGTTTCAACAAGTAAGCCAACACAATTCATCTCATGAACCACACTAATCGAGATAGTGTACCATCATACACTCCTATTAACATTCCGCCCCTTTCTCATCTTACGAGCAAAACTAAATCACGACCGTGCTGCTGCTACTTCAGCAGAGAATCTACAGATGCCTCCGCCTTGGCTCGATAGCGCTTGCGAGTATTGCTTGGAAGCAGCGAGGAATTCCGTTGGGTTCTTAACGGGCTCATGTGCCACTAATATTCTCTGTCGTGTACGCTTACCTCCCTTGACTCGGAGTCAGAACCGGCTAACAGAAATCAGGATATCAAGTATCATGGCTTCTTTATGGAGGGAGCATGCTACGCTTTGGCTTTCGATATGCTTCAAGAAAAGAAGACAGCTCACCGCAATCTGCCCTGGATTCACTCTGGTCTAAGATGCCTTCGCTCCATGATGGGATCAGCAGGAGTAAACGCCGGCCAGCTTCCAATAACAATCGCCTCAATAGAGCAGATGGTCCGATCTGCCGGGTTTGAACTGAAAGATCCAGTAGACACGAACCAGCAGAAGCAGCCCCCGCAGTCCACCCTCCCTGGATCACCAGCACCTGTCTCTGTTGCAGGTGGTATGAGGAGCGAGCCTGCGTTCACCTTCCCTTCCATGCCATTCGGATTTGATGTCACTGGTCAGATGAATGGGAGTTCGAGCTCTCCTGCTGGCGCTGCATCAGAAGATATGGCAGATTTCACAGCTGCTGATGTTGGATGGGATATTGATTTTGGAACTATGAATATGGAGGCGTTTTTGTCTCTCGACTCGGCAGAGGCTTTCAACTTTGCTCCATGAGTACACGACTGCATTCCTGTATTTTATCTAATTGGGTTGATTTTCTTTGCTGATGTTACTGGTCAGTCCTTGGGGCGTTTTTAGACGCATTGTCGCTGTAAAAAGCGCTGGAAGGTGGAATTGCATTGGGATGGCCGGGACCACTACATAGATGGATAATGACGGGGAGGCTACTGACTGGAAGGACGTTGAGCATGGAGAGGAGCATTGAATTTCTTCAGATATACCACTAACTACGATGTACCCCTGACTCATGAGAAAGGGCATCGACTCTTGACAATATCACTCGCATAAGACTATCAAGCTATCAAGCTATCACACTATCCCTCCCCTTCGAGCTGTTACTCATTCTGAAGAGCCAAAATCGCAGACAAGCCTCCAGTGAAGGCCAGAAGCCCCCGAACGATATTCATCCATCTCCACTTCTCCAACAAAGCCACGACCTCATCACGGCCGACTTTCTCCTGCTCAACGCTACTAGTAGCAATATTGTTGAGTCGATTGTTTGTGGCCATCATCCCAAGCACCGTCCAGGGCAACTGAGACACTGTAGCGACAGCAGCAACTGCCCAGAGTGTACGTTGAGCGGGGACAAGATAAGCAACTATTCCAGAAGATGCACCTGAGAATAGAGCGAGCGGGACAAGAGTCACCGCCCCGCGGGTGTAGAAGTCCTTGAAGAAGGGTGTATTGATGGAGGTAGGCTGGTTGTAGAGAAGAGGGACTGTGAGGTGTGAGGAGCCAAGGTTTATTCCCGCGAGGACAAGGCTCGAGGTAAGGCCAAAGACTTGAAAGGTTCGTACTGTAGAGTCCATTTTGATTGTTTATTATGAGTTATTTTAACAGGTGAGTCTTAACTCTGAAGTTGAAGTGAGGAGATATCAAGGCTCTTTGGCTAGTGTGATATGTAAGGCCGGCCTCGTTAGGTGCATGTGGCTTGCTGCAATATCCATCATAGACTTGGAGACGATGTCTCAGAACTTCTCCATCTATATCCGTGATAATGCCATCTATCATATGATAGCCGGCTTCGTCGGAAAGTTTGACTTTGGCTGACAATGAGGTGTCAATGTAACCATATCATTATGATGAGAACTCAAATTCCTCGTATTCGGTTTATCATGAATTTGAAGAGCAACATGATTGATGAACGAATATATGTACACAGGCATGAAGCTGAGACCAGAGCCTAGCGGATAGGATATATCGCCTTAAACCAATTACAAAAAATTGAAGACCTCGACGTCTTCATACTGACCTATCAGACAGCTCCAAACCCGAGATCGAGTTTAAGGATGCTGATCCCGTCTAGTGCTGATACAGCGACGCTAAGATGTCGACTTAGTCGGGATAATTCCACTTGATGCAACCAATCACGTAAACTCTATTTCCCCTAATTTCAGTCAAGCGAACATGGTGTCAGCCTCCTGAACATTCTTAAACAGAGAGCTTCCCCTCAGTAAATTTGTACAAGTTTGTTGTTGAGACAATGCAGCTGTCTTCGCTTTACCAGACCGCCTCGGCGACGTTTGGCTCTTTGCCGGTGGCCTACAAGTTCTTATGCGCTGTCCTGGTGATTTTTGCATTTAGTAAAGCATTTTCTGGGGCTGAGAGGAAGGGGTGTAAGAAGAATCTGCCGAGATATGCTCCCATTGAACTTGCGATTGCGAGTTATATCCTTAGTGGAGACGGCATAGGTCGACGAATCTTGTAAATCGCATTCTCTACAACACTAAGAACTTAGCTGATTGTGATGTAGTTCAGCTTTAAGCCGCTATGGAGGCTCTCTGTTCGGTCTTACTTCAGGACATCAGATTTTTGTCGACTTGCCCGGCGTAGAACGTCTCTTAGCCCAATCTCATCACACTTTCAACTCTGATCCGGCACAGTACTCACTCTGTACCCTTGTCTTTGGCAGCACTGATACTCCAGAGCTAAGAGCCAAATTCGACACATCACTGAAGGATCTTGTTCCTCCTCTTGAGCGAACTTTTCTGAATGATGCCGCTTCGACAGCCAATGTTGAAAAGTCTCGTGTAGCGGAACGAGGTGCTTCACTTGTCACGTTCTCCTCTAATCCTAAGGATATGGCACGATGGGAGCTTTCTGCAGGAATCAAGGTCCTTCAGCCAGAGGCACTTGATAGTCCGGGGAAAGTCGAAGCAAACCTGCAAAGTTTGACTCGAGATTTTGGAGCATGTATGTCTGTTCCTCTTATCTACGGCCAAGACATACTGGATCGGAATCCTCGGCTGCTAGATGACTTCTGGACCTTCGATAATGACCTATTTCCACTACTCATGGTTGGCGTTCCTAAGTGGGCTCCATTCAGAATGATGCAAGATGGCCTCAAGGCCAGAGCCAGAATCATCGATAGTCTGGAGGCAGTATACAGACGAGTCGACCAATATGAGAAAGGAGAGCCAGTTGATCTTGGTGCCGACATGTCAGATGTTAGTATGATGCTACGAGAACGAAACAAGATCTACAACAGAGACGGATGGACGTTTCCTGAACGTGCTGCAGCGGATCTTGGTACTTTTTGGGGTCTTAACGCCAACGCTCAGCCTGTGTTGTTCTGGTTCTTGCTCTACGTTTATTCGACTCCAGGCTTGCTTAAACGAATCAGAGACGAGATCTCCCCCTATGTCACCTTATCAGATGGTGGCAAACCCGAGATCAAATCAATGGACTTTCCGAGTTTGTTCCGGAAGTGTCAGCTCTTCAAAGCTTGCATCTTTGAAACATATCGCTTGGTCAACGAGCCAACATCTATTCGCTATGTCACTCAGCCCGTCAGTCTCAACGACGGAAATATCAAACATGATCTTCAAGAAGGAACATACATCAGCGTTCCCCTCGCGCTGAAGAACAAGAACCCTTCGATATATGAGGACCCTGAAACTTTCATCCCTGATCGTTTCCTTGATACAGACCCTGAAACAGGAAAAGCCATGGCACGATACGGAAAGTTGAAGCCCTGGGGCCTTGGAGCTGCTATGTGCAAAGGCCGAACATTTGCAGAGAAAGAGATAATTTCTCTTGGGTCAGCTGTTGTTAGTCTTTGGGATATAAGTCCTGCGGAGGGAGAGTGGAAGTTGCCTGCTATGATCCCAGGAACTGGAGTTAAGAGACCGGTCAGTGACATACGTGTGGTTATAAGCCGCAGAAGCCCTCTCAAGTCATAAAAACATGCGTGAAGCCGAGAATATTCGATTTGGTACTCGGATGAATCACATGGAAGATATGTTGCCTAAACGAGACGAATGATACTCACTCCTAGCAAACTCTATATGTTCAGATATGAGATGAAAGTTTTCAGTTAGAAATTATATTATATATGAAAAGTATGGCACATTTTCGGTCACAAGTTTAATTATACAGTGACACAAAACGTAATAAATGTGTAGTAGTATGACCAAGAGTTCAAATAACTCGGCTTTCATTATTCATTAATCATTATCGTAATCCATACTGTCGTAATATCGTGAAAAACTCCTTCTAGAACCAAATTCCCGCTTCTAAACACCATACTTCATTACTCTTCGTCATCGTCTTCTAAGGTAAAGCACGCTACCTCCCTAGAAAGGAGCAAGTTTTCGACCTTCTTGAAGATGGCCGTTCTCCTTTTCTCAAACTTCTTGCAGGCTTCTTGCATTTCTTGCTGCTCATGCGCCCAGAGTTCCATGCGTGTCATGGAGGTCTCGTGGCTAACCGTGCTAAGTCCTTGTTCGATGTTCTTTTTGCAGTCCGCAAGCTTTTGGATTTGAGTTTCCGCAGAATCTCGAATCTTGCGGATCATGTCCAAGGCCTTTGGGACGTCAAGGCAAATGCAGAAGTTGATGGCATGACTCAACATGGACAGGTGGTCCGTTGTGATGGGCTGTCGGCGAACAGCAATATGTCGAATTTGTTTGGCTGAGTAGAGAAAAGAGGTGAGGATGAGGCCACTTCCTTGACAACGACTGAGCTGCTGGAGTATTTCCCAGCGCTTCTTAAAGTAGAATGCCCAAGCACTTCGTTCTCCTGCTTCTGGGCATGACCACTGTGTCTTTTCAAGGATGTCTGGCATAGCCTCTTGGGCGAAGCTAAAGCAGGCATGTTCCAAGATAGCCTGGATTCGTGTGAGAATGAGTGTCTGTGTTCGAATGGGAACATAGACGTGAAATCCAGGAGCTTTGACTGGCAGAAAGTTTGCGATTTGTGTGCCTGACCCGGACGTATCTGAAGTTGACGAGACACTGGAGGCATCATCGCTCTCAGAGGTTTCACAACTGGATGACCCAGAAGCTGGAAGCTTGTTCACGCGGTGGTACAGCGTAATAAAATCGTCCCATGATACTTCATTCTCGCGACCTCGGAGTTTCAAAAACCCATACTCTCCCTTGCGGGTGTTGTTGAGGTGGCTCTGGGTCTGCATGATCTCGACTGATCGAGGATGGAAGTCGTAGATGGAATAAAATGGGATGTTTGAGAGAATACTTGGTCTTAAAAGAAGAGTAGTGATAGGCTGGTATATGATAATACCGTATAAAGTGAAGTTTGTGTGAGTGTCTTGTCGTGATTTGATGAAAACGTGAGTAAAACTTGACGAATACTGTAAGAAGTATGATGAGAATCTGAAGCGGAGAAGTTGACTGGAAAGAAAAGACGAAGGGGACGCGGCTTTTATAGACAGCATCTCATTATACTTTCTATGAGGGTATACACTCGTGCCTCGTTTGCCCTATACACATGAAAACTTCAGTCTGGAACCATACGATTCTACGAAAGTAAGTTTACGATTCTCTGAGAGCACACCGTGAAGAAAACTCTTGAATGATCATGTCCTTACAGAACTCTTAGTACTCTCCATCGACGCATGGCTGGAGGGGGGGATACTTGTTCTCCTATTAGGTCAACCCCTTTTTATACTACCATGATGCTAGGTCAATGCATTCCTTCTTCTTGGACTCGAAGAGGTGGAAACAACCCTTGCATCCTTTAGATACATCATAATGGTCTCTCATCTTTACGAGCTTCCTACAGTCTCACTCAACACACGTACTTAGATATCTTGCAGTCAGGCCAGACCCTAACCCGTCATGTTGGCCAATCCAAACTTTGACTACCGTGTGAGTTTTGTTCACGAAACCTTTGAACTTCTCAACAAAGATTCCCGAACCCCTTATTAGACTTTCGCATCTTCTTTCAACAGACATGCAGATCACAAGGCAGTTGCTAAAGGTTAACCCTATCCACACAAGAACATGCCAGCCTCAATAAGCTCAGCCTTACTGGGTATAATCATTGATCATTGCAGGTCTATCATGCTTCTCGTTTATACTTTTGCGTTACCCTATACACCGCATCCCAAAGACGTCGCACACTGCGTGTCAAACTTCAAATAACCTCCCGTCTATTCCACTCTAGTTGGTCTTCTCACTGTAGACAAAAGCATCAAGCTCCTGGTACGTCTTCTCCAAGTCATCGTTGACGAGAATCTTGTCAAACTCGGCATTCTTGGCCCACGCAAGCTCATCCTGCGCACGTGTCAAGCGCTGCTGAATGCTCTCCTCGGTCTCGGTGCCACGGCCGCGCAGTCGCTTCTCGAGCTCTTCGGTATCAGGGGGCGAGATGAATACGTAGCGTGCGTCGATGGAAGAGGCCTTGACTTGCTTGACGCCCTCCATTTCGATGTCAAGAACAACAACCTTGCCCTTGGCTGTTTGCTCCTCGATGGTCGCCTTGCTCGTTCCGTAGAGGTTGCTTCCGAATTGAGCACTGTAGGTAACCATTATTAGTACAGGTGCTGCTTGTTGATGCGCTTGACTTACTGCTCGACGAAGCCATCCTTGGCGATCAAATCCCGAAACGCATCCTTGGTGACAAAGTGGTACTCAACGCCATCGGTCTCGCCCTCACGAGGATTGCGAGTAGTATGCGACACAGAAAGAGTGAAGATATCGGGGTGACGGCTGAAGAGCATCTTGATCAGCGTGCCCTTTCCGACACCGCTAGGTCCAGAGATGACGAGGGGTCGACGATCTGAAGGAGAAGCCATTGCGAAGGAGCGTCTTGGGCAAATCGTTAACTAAACGTAACGTGAAGAGGTGAGTTGGAGGTGCTTACTTTGGAACTTGGGAGAAGGGTTTTGTACTGGGTATTAACAAGTTTGAGTTGCGCTTCGCATAACCAAGAAACCACCGCATCGTGCCCTGGGAAAATGCTAACGAATGGGGTGCTAATGCTGTAGAGCCACCAGGCACTGTGGGGGAATTCATCCAATCACGTGGTGGTAGGAGGCTTGCATCTTCACGATGAGACTCATTCCAGAACTTTGAGTATAAAAATGAGTAATGGGCAAAATATGCAGGCACCGACATTCAAGATGACTCGTCTAAAGTTGCGGACGATCAGGTATTGCCCGACCCTCAGGCGCTGCCATAACCCAAGTTAAAAACGCTGTGATCTATTTATGTTTTCGCTGTGGTCTATCATTACGACTATTACCTTTAAGCCCTGTCGTTACACATTACTTTATCCATGTCTATATCAATGCTATCCATCCACCTCATGCAAATCATGTCATCAGCTCAATCGTGGTACCTTCAATCAACCCGTTGCTTATTCTGGGAAGATGCTCTTTCGAGCTCAGGAGTCGGCACCTGACGACTCCGTTCTTCTTCTTCAGGGTCAAGCGCTTCAACAGTTGTATCCCTACGAATACGGAATCGTCTTCCTCGCCAGTTCACGGTATTCCCGAAGACGACTGCGTATGCCCAGATCGGAAGAGCCAGAGCTTCACGGACAATCCAGGCAGCTAGGAACTCCGAGAATTTGCGACTCTTGATTCCGTCTGGATTCATGGAACCTCTGGCGAAACGAGGTGTGTCTTCATCAACCTCCACAGTAACGCCAGAGTGCAAATGTCGGTAGCCTAAAAAGTCGACAAGCATCCAGACAGTAATCGTTGTAAGCCATGTAATCACCCTAGCAGGCCAAGTCGGAGGAATGCCATATATCCGCAGTGTGGTGATTGCAAAAGTAAAATACGTGGCAAACACGAAAGACTCGGTGAATGGCTCAAAGATTGTAGCTGGGAGAACCGTGAACTTTCTCGCTCTGAGCCACCGAGAGCGTCGTGCTGCATATGCCTTGACAGACATGTCCGACATCGGCTGAACAGCAATATCACCCCAGACTAACCCATGGTTCCTGTAACCGGCAAATTCAGCATTCCAAAGGACGTCGCCGATCATATGGTCTTCGCAGATATTGTGCGAAAAGTAATCCACGCCCGTTGGGAGGCTCTTGCCCCTAGGTATCTTAGGATTCAGTGCAGGGTCGGTCGCGTGATCGAGCTGAGTTTTGCAGAACATGGTGCTCTTGCCCACAGCGCAAGGCGCTAGACGAGAAGTGTTGATAGCACTGTAGAATTTGGCATGCGACGTTGCCATGAACATCTCGTCAAGTCGTCCACCGCCCTGAGCCCAAACCTTGGGGTTATCATGAGAACCCCCTTCGCCCAGGTGATCAGAGTCATCGTCTTCAACAGAGGAAGCAGCTAACAGGGGCTGACCGTCTGCTGCAACCGGTGTGGAATAGTCGATCAAGTCAACAACAATGGGAAGTTGATGAACAAATTTGTAGGGAATGTTATCACCACCAACATTGTGGCCCTTAAGCTTAGCAACCATGCGGCCCAAGACTCCCTTGGCCATCCAGACGTTGCAATCCACAATCCACACAATATCCCCTCTGGCCTCTCGGTATGCTCGGCTGAGATTACGAATTTTTGGATTCGGCCCCATATTCGGCGTCGTGCCTAACGCAAGGTCGTCTACCTCAAACAAGATGCGCGCATCAATACCGGGGAAGTCCTCAAGGACCCTCTGTAGGATCGGGTACGCCGGATCGGTGTCATTTTCGAGACAGAGACGAATCGAAATCTTGTCTTGGGGGTAGTTCTGGCGAAACGATGCGGCAATACAATCGTAGAGTCGAGGCTCGACGCCCTTGATGGGTCGAATTATGGTGACATGAGGAGTATTGTCACCCAGGTTGGGTGAAGGAGCTGGACGGCTAGCAAAGTTGCGAAAGCTTGTGGGCGTTAGGGAGAGCTCGTAGATAGTTAGTGGCTCGGTGACTTACATAGCCCGGACACCAATAGCGATAACGGTAGCAACAAGGCCAGCTACAGCCAAGAACACGCCAGCAATGACCTCTTTCAACGACCACATTATGGCCCTGATCGGTGAATGGAAATTGAACTAGATGCAAGGTATATGCATTTCCAGGAGAAGAGAGATCTTTACCGCCTTCCCAAATAGGTCACCGCCTGCCGAATTGGACTGTTGAAAGAGGCAGTATTTTCATCCAATGTGCAGGAGTGGTATAATGGGAGGAGGCGGAAGCAAAAAGATTTAGGACCTCAATCCTACATAATATAAATACTTGGGTAAACTAATATAGGTTTGGGAGAGATCTAGTGGACCTTAGACTAAATATTTCTGGCACCTACATATTTTTAAATTAAATATATATAAAAAAGTCCAAGTTCTTATCTAGGTATTTTATCCCTCGCAGACCTATATGCAGTCGCAAGGTAACTTTCCACACATACCTAACGGCGTACTGTATACCTTCCATGGTAACTCCTGTCACCTTCTCTCTGAAATCCGTTCTTTTGCCTCTTGAAGTCAGAACCCCCAAGGGGGCACAGATGATAGCGCAAGTCAATAGACACCTTCTTTCTCCCTCTAAGATGGGCAGTCGGAAATGAAAAACACGTACTGTCCTCCAGTTTGGCTTTCACATTCGACAGTGATGCAATCCCCGAACTAGGGTCTTGAAGTGATGGACCCTTCCCGGCAAGTCCGCGAGCATCAATCCACGGTAGTCCCATAATTGGCTGTCTTGTGAGAGCAGTGCACAACCATCCTCGTTAGACCGCGGGTCTCCTCTACGACGGACGTTCATGGCACGCAGAGCGCCGCTCAGAACTGGTGGGGTGGCATCTCCGAAGCACATGTCATGGTTACCAGTTACAAGACGGTCGATGAATCATAAGCAGACCTGTTTTAGATACGATTAAGAGATACCTGGACTATGGGAATTCAGCATAAGCACCGTGGTGAATCAAGTTTTGATGTGCGAGTACGGTCGGAGACAGGATTCGAGCGCCACATTGACAGGCGCAACAAATACAAAAACAAGCGGGTAAGAAACATAAGTTGTTTACGGGAGGAACTGAAATGCCATCAAATCGAGCTTTATCTTCATATCATTCGATTCTAGTGAGTAGGCTAAGGGATACCCTCAATATCCGAAGGCTGGTGCATCCCAACAACCTGTGCCGCGCCATCTATGGGTTTAGACCAAGAAGCTCGTCTCTCGATGAATTGTTCAACCTGCGGTCTCAATTTCGTATCTGCAAGGCTGAGATCATCAACAGTACCGGTCCTTAGAATCGTCAAGCCTGGAAAACGAGCGCCACGACGATACATGAGAGTACCGCATGTCTTGCAGAAATAATTGGTCATGGTCGCGTTGGCACGAATGGTCTTTTCCTCACTAAAAGTCGAGAGATTGTCCTCACCACGGACGTGCTTGAGATATGTGTCGTCTACTGTAATATTGGATTGGTAGAAGGCTGAGCCGATCTTGCGACAGTCGATGCAATGGCAGACATGGCGATTGAGCAAACCGGGCTTTTTCAGTGGCTGTTCATTATCATGTTAGGACCTTGAAGTTTTCGCTTCAGTTTATACCACTCAGGGAGACTTACAAGTACTAGCTGCACAGCTCCGCAGAAGCAGGTGGCAGTTGCTTCGTCCTCAGTTGACCAGCCATCGCTCGAAAGGTGAACTACGGGGAAGCCGTGATCATCGAAAAAAGTCATCTTTGAGACAGAGCGACGTAAACGAACTTGAACTCGGAGAGATTGTTGGGGTTAATGAGAGATCGGTGCTTATATAAAACAGCCGATGTGCTGTGATATTGTGACCGGTGTTGGCTTAGATCAAAGTCGTTGAAATCTTGAAGCTTGTTATGTTTCAATGTTACAGGAACCCGGCCTTATTTATAGCATCTTGCTAAAGTTTCCTGGTGTAGCTGCATGGTATTACAGAAGTGATGCATTTCTTATCATGTGTAGGATTATGAAGGTAACGTTAAATGATTACCTTTGTCTTAGCTTTATGGCCCTATTTGCTCAGCACTGAGAAATGCCGACAACCCAATCAAAGCTGATGGACGATAATACGGAATAGCTATTGGATCACGCATGTCGTCATCACCGGCCTATTTACGTTGTATTCCGAGCAAGAAGCACTCCAAATCTTGATCTAATAGCTGATTGATGTTATGCTTTCTCAGCAAAGCATGTATAATATGCAGCCTGTAAAAAGTTTGTAGGATAGATCGATGTGTTCCCAAGGCTTCTTCACAGGTAATTAACTGACGTTCCTGATCCTAATACGAATATGCTGGGAGTGAGTACTTCCAAAGAAAAATCCCCATCTCTCCTCTAACTCCGAAGTACCCGAAGTTGTGTTCTCAGCAAGACTGGGCTATAGGACTTCGGCCCACCGTCTAACTCGCCGTCCTTCTTCTTTCAGCCTACCTGAGCTCTCTTGAAACCACCAGCCTAACCCTTATACTGAAGAGGATGCAGTCCTGCCAGGACAACAAGCGCATTGCATGGCAAGCATGTACCCGGTTTCGTGGATGATATAGTCGGGGTCTCCACGAGTACGCAAGAACTGGAGCAGTTGAATGTCTTTAAAGTGACCACGGCATGCTCTTGTCATGGCCTATGACTTCCACAGGGACCACTATGGCAATTTAGCGAAAGGTAGCGTCAAGGCTGTCAAGAGAGTCCAGGTAACCCAAGCACTCAGCAAGGGTTAGTTTCGTCGAGAAGCTCAGAAGAAAGGCGGCGCTTTTCAATCATGATGTATACCTGGAATTGTTCTAGACCGAAGGACACGATGCAAACGATCTTCTCGCCATGCTGTGGACATAGAGCATGGTAATATTGCTGTGTTTTACCATAAAGATGGCCGAGGTATAGGTAAGGCATTTGGAAGAGTCAAGGGGAGATTGTTGAATCCGCCTTGAATTCTCCCTGCACTACCGATGCATTCTTCCCGCCGGTCTGGAGGTCAAGGATCTAGGAGCCGGGGAACTGGCAGTTCTGGTTCAACTATAGGGACATCTCGCTGGCCGTGGGTTTGGACCCAGGGAAGACGTGACATTTATTAATACCTAGGCCGTCAAACCAAGAGGCTTCTGAGCGGTGAGATGCCGCACAGAAAATGGCAATAGAAAACAGCAGTTTGTCATCTCACATATTGTGCTTTACTTCCAAACCTCGTACGCCAACATCCAATTGCAGTGGAGTTGTTTGTCAAATCTCCGGAGCGGAGCCAGTGAGTGAAATGGCCTTGCGCACAAGGCATCAAAGTGGGGAGCTCCAATTCCAAGAAAAAGCTCGACTTTTCAGCCCCGTCAACTTTTTCCCGTCATCATCCTCACAAAAACCACGACAACAAAATCTCTCAAAGCTCGTGGAAGCTTAAGGACCTCGGTCGAGCTTCACACTTGAGCAATTGACATTGTTCAGCTCGTCGAGGTTGAGCAGTGTGTTGCTGTGGATGGCCACGAGGTTAAATACCCAGCCAGCATCGTGCCTGGGTCACGTCCTAGATAGGTAGGTTTCTTTCTCTTTTCTTCGTCATGCCTCATCCTTGAGATGCAATTACGCTGCAGCTTCTGCGTGCTTCAATTCCCCGGAGCAGCGGGGCTTCATGTTGCGGTGATGACACCATATCAAAATGCTTAGAGAATCCATTCATTTGGTCTCCCATGAAGCTCTGATATTATAGACTACAACGGTATCTGAGCAACACCAAAACCTGGTTCTTTTATTCATCATGATTATTCTGAAAACCCCACTGACATCTGTCAAGACCAAGATGACCCCGGCGAGAAATGGCTGAGATTCAATCATCAAACACAGTCTCCGTTGGTACCCCGCCTACCACGGATTCCGCCGACAAACGGCAATCCCAGCAGCGAGGGCCTCCATTGCATCAGATCTACGCCCTCCCGGCACCGATCCGCACATTCCCTTTGCCGGCCTTTTATCCGAATAACCCCATATCCTTCTTCCATGTCGCGTATGCGTGGTTAGGCCAACTGTGGTCTCCGCCTAAAGCGGAACCTTCGGTTGTGCATAATGGTGTATGGTCTGCTGCTACATCATCCGTCCACATTACGGATGATGCTTCTACCCGAGCTTTGTGGGAGCAAGGCTTCTACGGGAAGGGTAGTCTAAGTCGTAGTGAGCCAGCTTGGCTAAAGCGTGAACAAGTTCGCCAAGGACTAGCTGATGCACACGTCAGCGAGATTATGACTGTGCAGAGAAGAGAGGAGCGTATGCGTGCCAAGTGGGAACGAGCACGTCTCGAGCAAGAGGCGATCCGAGAGACCCGCCGTAAGGAAGCGGAAGAAACCAAAGCGAGAGAGATCAAAGCACGAGAAGCCAAAGCCTTTGAAGCCAAGGAACGAGAGCTACGTGCCAGAGAGTCGAAAGACATCGCAGAGCCCAGGTCTATCAAACCTCTTTCGCTGTCGGCTGCCCTTCCAACTTACGAGTCACCTGTCAGCCCTGCTGCACTTTTGGCTCTGCCAAATTCACTGGTGGACATTGTTAAGCCAACGCCTATCAAGCCTGTCAACCTGTCTGTGTCCACTCCCACGCATGCTTCGCCAGTGTGCCCTGCGACTATCCTAGGCATGCCGAACTCTGTCGCAGAAATTGTCGAAGAGTCTGCCATCGAGACAGCTGAAGAGATCGACGGTCTTGGAATATCCGGTGTTCATCCAACGGCGATGGGTCTGTCTGTGGATACCCTCCTCAATGGTCATGTCATGGAACCAGTTGCGAACGGCATCCTTCACCATGATGCGAATGGCACTTCCGTGGTTGCATCTTCGTCAGACGAGGAAGACAACACTAAGCCCAAGAAGCGACGGAAGAGTGTACGATTCTCGCCAACAGTGGAATCAACCACTTTCCACTTTGGTGATCCCCCTAGCCCCAAGCATTCGACGTCGAATGGCACGCCTAACGGGCTTGCCGATATTCGCGCTGCGTCACCCGTGGCTTTAAACGGACAAAATGAAGAGAACTCTTTGGAGCGTACTAGCAAGCCAGTGCTGAAGAACATGGAACACCTCCAGCTGACGCCAGAGGAGGCTTTCTTTCTGAGCTTCGGTTTGGGTGTTCTGACGGTCACCGATCCTTCCTCGGGTGCCCAGCTCTCATCTTCGGACCTGTTGAGACTCTTCAGACAACATTCGTACTTCCCACCTCGAGTTGAACCTGCGGATCCCGCGCTTCAGCCTGACGACAACTTCCTCATTCACTATGCAGTGTATCATTACTTCAGATCGCTCGGTTGGGTACCTCGTGCAGGCATCAAGTTTGGCGTGGACTGGCTGCTTTATGCTAAGGGTCCGGTCTTTGACCACGCCGAGTTCGGTCTGATCGTCGTTCCATCTTATTCTCATGCCCTTTGGAAAGAGGCTGGAAAACAGGACCCTCAGAAGACATGGCAGTGGCTCCATGGCACGGTGCGCGTTCTGTCACACGTCACCAAGAGTCTTGTTCTGGTGTACGTTGATGTACCACCACCGTCGAAATTTGAGAAGGCTTTGGAGCAGGGAGTCGCTGAAGCATTGAAGCTATACAAAGTCAGAGAAGTGATGGTGAAGCGATGGTCTGCTAACCGCAACAGAGGCTGATCGCTGGACGCTTCACTATGAACTGATGATACAACGGAAGTGTAATGGTATACGGTGGATTATATGCTCTTTGGCGTAGGAACAGGCTGTCAGGCGTTTGCGATCTACTGTACACAATATGTATTACGCCATCAAATCAATGTCAATGCCCTCTTCGAGGCCTCATGAACATACATCATCTGGGACTTCATCATCTGCTCGTATAACGTAATATGTGAAAATGTCAGCCTCGTTGGTGGCACACTGCATCACCACATGAGGCCATTTTTGCTTCTGACTGAAGCCATCGCTGGGTCCAGCTCCAAACAACGCGGGGTTTAGAGCCGAGAAACCCCACATGAAGCAATGTCTCCCTTTTGGCCGAGGTACGAGGATGGCCGCCATTGTTATTATATAGATATAGATCCTTGCTCAACTTCAATCTTGACTTGTCACATAGAGTTCTTTCGTTTCTTGATAGTACGTTTTGTTTGTGTTAATAGAAGGCCGACGCTATCATGTTCTCCTGCAGGTTGACAGCTTACAGCTGTAGAGCTCTCCCTCGTGGACTCTCATCAACTCGAGCAAGTGCTCAGAGAATCAGCCTCAAACCAACAAATTCACAATGTCGTACACATCGACGGACTCTCACAACAAAGAACTTTGGGATTCCGCCGCTGTTTGAGCCAACAACAACCCTCTCAGCCAAAGACAACAACCTCACCATCTCCAGCGGAGACCGCTTCATCCAAATTCAAGATGAGAAGCATGGCGGCTGGACACGCCTTGATGCCACCATTCTTCGCGATAGCTGTACCTGCACAACATGCGTCGATCCAGCCTCTGGTCAAAAGAGCTTTGCGACAACAGCAATTCCCTCAGACATCGCCATTGACAGCATCCACACGACTTCAACCGGCGTGGGCATCTCGTTTAAAAACGACATGTACAAAGATCACGAGATGATTCTTCCTTGGAGTTCTGTCGACAAGGCACTTGGCCATGCACCAGTTGAGAGAATGCCATATCCAAGACAAGACGCAGTGTATCCCAAAACAGGGCGTACGTTCTGGGACAAAGCGACTATTCAGCAACGTGTGCGAAAGATTGACTATCATGAGTTCATGAAGGGCGATGATGCATTCTGGCATACTCTTCTCGATCTATCGAATCTCGGTCTTGTATTTCTGAAGAACGTACCGCATGATGAGAACTCCATCGTCAACATTACAACACGCATCGCAAATATTAAAGAAACCTTCTATGGTCGCACTTTCGACGTTCGTGCTAAGCCAGACGCCGAGAATGTAGCGTACACAAGCGGATATCTTGGTCTTCATCAGGATTTACTATACCTCGAGAGTCCACCCGCAATCCAACTTCTTCACTGCATGGAAAACTCGTGCAACGGCGGAGAGTCTCTATTTAGTGATGGATTGTTCGCTGGAAAGCTACTGTGGCTACAAAACTCCCCAACAGTCAAGAATCTCGCTCGTGTCAAGATTCCATATCACTATGAGAAGCACGGATACTTCTATCGTCAGCAGCGATCACTGTTTGACGTTGGACCAGATGGAGATCTCGCAGCTGTATACTGGAGTCCGCCTTTTCAGAATCAATTCCAGGTTCCCGCCGTTGATGCAAGAGCCTGGCTTGAACCAGCGCAGTTATTCGATGGGTTGATCAATGACCCCGATGCCATGTTCGAGATGAAGATGAAGCCAGGAGAGTGTGTGCTTTTCGATAACATGAGGGTCATGCATGGAAGGAATCAGTTTGACGTTGGTGGAGGATCGAGATGGTTGAGAGGAGCGTATATTGCACGAGAGGATCTTGTGAGCCGTGTGCTACATGTGCCTGAAGCTTTGGCAGCGGAGTATCGCAGTGGCAAGGAATGGAGTCGCACGTTGGAGGATGAGGAGTTGAAGGCGTCGAAGTGGTTTGACAAGGTCGGGGGACAGGTTGAGAGCGCTGTTGACGGCTTAAAGAGAAAAGGAGCTGCGGAGTTGGGAGAAAGGGATTATGAGGTGTTGAACTTGGGATAGCATATAGAACACGCACGGCATAGCGAAAATTACGAACTGGTTCAATTGATGGCTCAGTTTGAGCTGCTTTTCCATTACCTTTCCGATACGCCGAAATAGCCCACCAAACACCATAGATCATGAATCATTGATCAGTAGTCATAACATAATATCTCCCATCCTTGGCTCATAAACGATTGCCATCTACCACTTCTTGGCCTCGACACCCTCAGGGGGCACCGTCTCAACAGTTCTATTCTTGACGTCATCCCAGTCAGTGCTGAGACTTGTACCATTGCTCTCGGTGAAACTCTTCATCATGGCTCGTTGCTGCTCAGGAGAGGCGTCCTTGAAAAGCTTCTTGAAGAACACGTTGACGTCTTTTTCCTCATCAGAGTCAATGTCGTCGCCAATGGTGTCCCAGTTCTTGGGTCCAGTACGAGACGATGAGGGGTATGCCGGCTTGGAAGAGTCTTGCGCGGCAGGGGTCTTTTCTTTCGCCTCAGTAGAATCTGTTGGCTTCTCTTGAGCAGGAGCCTCTGCCGCGGCGTTGTCCATGGCCTTCTTTCTGGCATCTTTGAGCACCTTGAGTTTTCTTGAGTGAAGTTAGTAGGGTGTGCCGGCTGAGAACTCGTGAAACTTACTCTGCCTCCGCAGCGGCTGCAGCATCTGGAGCAGAATCTCCTGCCTCTCCCTTGAGCTGCGCCCACTTTCCAGGTGCCTTTTTCTTGAGTGCGAGCTCAACCTTGTTGGGTGTAACCCTGTATGTTGATGCCTCTGTGTCAATCTCACCCCACAGATCAAGTGTGAATGGCTTCTCGTCGCCGCTGGGCCAAATGATAGAGTCAAGGTGAGCTGATTTGGGGCTGAACTGGACCTGGAGCTTGTCCTTATTGACGCCCTTGGAGAAGATGGATACTGTCATAGTGGTGTCGTTCTGGAATTCCTGGAGTCGTACTGGGGTATCAGCGGGCACAGTAGGCTTTGGGGCGGTTTGGGTGGCAGCAGCTGATTCCTTAGTCTCAGCCTTCTTGCTTCCCACATCCGATAGCTCCTTCAACTCGGGCTTGTTGGCCGTGGTGAGCTTGCGTGCAGGGTCATCCTCTGGAAGCTTGTCCATAGCGAACAGGATCTGCATTCGCAAAGTGCTCGCAATGCGCCACTCTTTAGCATTAGCAACATCATTGCCTTGTGCTCCCAGCGCACCTGCCGCCCCTCCCTGTGACTTGTTGATATCGTCGGTCTTTGACTCTTCCTGAGCATCCTTCAAGGTCACTTTATAGAATCCATTCTCGTCTGTGTTCTTCTTCGCCGGATCTTCCTTCTCCACCGCAGGAAACCCTTTGACTAAGCGCATAGCATAAACGCAGCATGCATCGGCGTTGGCATATTGTCCAAGCCGAAAGTAGGCGACAGCACGACGGTAGTGGGCATCGATGAGGAGCGGTCGCTTGTTTCGTTGGTATGCGGTATGCCAAGCAAGGTTGGCGTCGTCGAGGGCCTCTTGGAAGCGCTTCTTGTTGATAAGGGCTTTCGATCGGGCGACCAGCCATGCAGGGTTCTGCGAGGCCTTCAAGGCGGTTGAGAGCTTCTCGATAGCTTCATCCCAGTTGCGTGCTTCGGCGGCGGCGAGGCCTTGCTGGGCCAGTGTGATGTGCGACATGGTAGACTGCAATGGATGGGTTTAAAAAGAATTTTTGAGGAAAAGGAAGTTTGCAGTGTGACGATGACGTGAGTTGGTATTGTTAAGAGTTGGTGTGAAGGCGGCAGTGGAAGGTTTAAAGTTGAAGTTGGATGTGACGAATGGTTGGTTCTGGAAGCTTTGGTGGGGCATGATGCAGGCAGCTCATGTTAGCCCCCGCGCTGTGTAAGTGGAAGCTTTTGGTGCCTAAGTTGCCTTTACCCTGAGCAGTATAAACTTCAGGATCTATTGATGAGTACCTTATTTACCTTCAGAGACAACCCTGTTGTGGTTCCTTGAGCGAATCATTTTAATGGGCGTCACATTCCAACAATCTGCAAAGTCAGGCTCTACCAAGCTGCTGTAGCCGAGAGGCAATACAAGTATTTCCCATACTTTGAATCAACACAACTCCCCAAGCATTCTGTTTCGTTGCCTATAGGCAACACGCCCGTCACTCAATTTTAACCATGGCCGAGATTTCTGGTCGTTTTATCCTTGGTGGTCGAACAGATGCCTACCACAACTTTATCAACTTGACTAAGTTGAGTATAAGCCACTGGGGTACCAAGCAGATTCTAGTAGTATTGAGGTTTCCCCATCATTCTTTTTGAACGAAGTTTTAGGAATTCATTCTCACTCTACCCTCCCATATGCACCATGACCTATCTGATGCTGAAGACCTGGGACTGCTGTCTTGGGGCTATGCCGGCCACTACCTAATTCCGCATGAAGCAGTTATTCTGCGGGCATTTGACACTGGCCATACTCTAGCCGGCCTTTCTTCAATGACAACTTGTTCAGCTTCAGTGATAACGCCCTCTCTGTATCGTCCCTGTTAATCTGCAGTTGCGAGTGAATAAAACTCCTGCCGCATATTAGGCGAGTCACCTTCGGGGTTCTCTATCAACTTTCCGTTTCTCCGGGCCTGTTATGGGGAGATTGTACGACAAATATCTGATCTTCTGTGGCGTGCTTTCTTTGTTGCTCGACATGCCGCGGAGTATGAGTTTTCCCTTTCCCAATCTTCGTCAACGCTGCGCCAGAGTCGCACTTGCGGGCAGTTCTTTTTCTCACAGCTAGATAGGTAGGCAGGAAAACATAACAAACCTACCTATAGCTTATCCAAGATGGAAGGAAGTTTCTCAAAGGTGAGCCAGCACTATAAGGAATCATCAGGGCACGGACTAGCATAATTAGCCTTGATGTACCATCCAGCAATCCAATATCCGCCCCAGAGCATTTCTTTGACTTCTGTATACAATAAAATGGAAGATACTGTCAGGTGGCATCCCGCTTCGAATAGTTACCTGGTAACAAGAGGCAATACATTGACTGAATTTGAGAAGACTCGGCCATTGCCCACTGCTTGCCTCATTGGCCCTGACATCTGGAAGGCCAGTGTTCACATGATGAGATTTTGGCAATCGGTGCTCCTGCCATTCTGTTAAGTAACCCCTCTGAGCATCGGACCATCCTCCCAAAGGGTTTTGACGGGCATTCCTGCCTCGTTACGTTCCTGTCACCGGAGTGAACAGCATTCGTTCGTTCCTGGGCGAGGAGTTGCTGTATGCTGTCACGGTACAAAAAGATGTCACACCATCCAGGACTGGATCTTTTCTTCTCTTATTCGTCATGCTGCGGCGTTTCTCGCCCGCAGCTGGATATTGGCTATCCCGTGAGTTGCTCGCGACCCTGGCGACCAACAGTCAATTACCCACTCTGATGTTCAAGGTATCGGAGTGGAAGGGCACAATTTTTGGACTCTCAGTGTGCCTCTGGCGTGCGAGCTATCTTTTTCATTGCATTCATCGGCTGGCCTGATGGTGCGAAGAAGAAGCTGTTTGTATCTCTGTAGATTTGTCGGGGTATGTGTTGCACACACGAGTGGGATCGTCACACGCTGAATGGAGGCTGATCAAACGACGGTTGTTGCAGGAGGATAATGAATGGAGATGGGCAAAACGGGAAATGAGGTCGAGGCGACACTTGGTATAGCTTTAGATTTGGGAGTGAGAGAGGTGAGAACAAATGAAAATGAAGATGAAGTTTGGAGAGCAGAAAAACGGTCGGCAACCATTGGACTACTTATATACAAGTCAATGCGGAGGGCAGAATCCTAGGGCCAGACAGTAGGTAGTCATACAGGCGTCTGATATGCATGTGCTTGATGTATTCGTGATTAAAATTACTTTCGAGGGCTTGAATTTGACAGCCGCCTTCTCGTTGTATCCTAGGTACCTTAGTATTCATGCATCATGTGTATCTATCCGTCTAGTTTTTAGATACCCTTGCCCTTGACACCGTTGGTCTTGACACCGTTTGGCTTTACGCCATTCACCTTTACCTCTACTGTCTTGACACCATTCGTCTTCACTCCGTTCGCTCCATTCTGCGCCACAGCCCAGCTTGGTACAAGCTTCTCCTCAGGAAACCTTTTCGCAAACATGCCCAGGGCCTTGATGGTGAAAGTGAACTTATAATTGGGGTACGAGATCATGCATGACTTGTTGAAGACACCCTCGATGGCCTCCTGCAACCACTCTCCGTTGGGCTTCTGACGGTCCATGATGAACTGGATGCCTCGTCTCAAGGGTTCCACATGAGGATACTCAGCTTCCATCAGTCCGATCAGAGCCCAGGCTGTTTGGACAACGAGGGAGCCTGAAGGATGTTCGACGTATTCCATCGTTTCGCAGGCCTGCGATTGTTAGTAAGAGCTGTGAAGCAAAGTCTGTGTAACGTACCTTGTAGCTTTCTGACCATCCGCCATCAGCTCTCTGCTTGGAGATGAAGAAATCGCAACCACGTCTAGAGTTCTCGCCTGTTGCGTATGTCTGGCCGATGTGTTTCATGCTTTCAAGTGCAAACATACCAGCGTATGTGAAGCAGATACCCCAGCTTCCGTACCAGCTGCCATCAGGTCCTTGGTTGGACTTGATCCATTCGGCGGCCGTCCGGATAAGTGTCCTGACCTCGTCTGTTCGATAGTCTGGCCAGTGCTTGTTGAACATGGATAGAGCTGTCACGCAAGCTGTTGTGCATTCAGGGTAGTCGTATTCAATCATGATACGACCAAATACCTCAGCGGCATTGAGCATCTCCAACCACTCGCCTCCTCGTCGCTTCTCGTATGAGGACATGCCACCATTGTCGTTCTGGTACAGGAGCAAAGTGTCGACAGCGTCGAAAAGACGTCGATCTTCAAGAACCTCAGGAAGGCCACCCACCTTCTGTAGAAGGATAATAGCCTTGAGTGCTTCCGAAATGCAATCACTGACACCGTAGCCCTGATCCCTGTTGCTGAATGGCCAGCCACCCTTTCGGGGTTGACGATAGCACACTTCCTGATCGACACAGTCCTCTCGAATCTGCTGACGTTCCAAGTAGTGTAGTGACTTCATGAGCATGGGTCGGTACTTTTCGTTCTTGTGAAGGCCAGCCTCAAAAACAGCCTGAATCAAGAATGCCGTGTCCCAGCATTGTACACCATTGGTGCCGTTGGCCAACATGCCCTCGTCCTTGACCCATAGATACTCTTCAAGTCGCTCGATATGCCTCTTGACGCCATAGTCATCAGGGCCATCGCGAGCATAGCACAGAACGGTGTTCATAGAAGCATTGACGGGGGCTAAGCAGGCATAGCCCGTATTGGCATCCTCCATATCGACTTGCTTGCTGGCCCATGCTTCAGCTTTCTCTTTTAGAAAATTGGGTCGCAGATAGGGCATCCAGATATTGGCAAGCACCCAGTTGGCCGCATTGAGCAACCATGATTTGGGGTGATAATTGTCCACAACGCCAATGCTGTTGCGATGGCTTGACCAGTTTATCTTGGCGTAATCCTCAAGGAATACTTCTTTCTTCAGTGATCGAATCACATCGGTCTCTTCGCAGCTCCATCGTTTCGAGTATAGCCAGCCCATTGGCAGGAACACCATTCGAATGTGAATCCACCATCTCCATGGCGCAAAAGGAACCCAATCAGGAAGCAGCCAAAACTCTGGTGGCACAGGGTTGACGATATCCCAGCTCATGACTCCCAAAATAGCCATCCAGAACTTGGCCCAGTGTGGCGCATACAATGCTCCTCCCATCTTGTGTAGAGTTCCTCTAGCCTTAACCAGAACTGGGTCCTCAGGGTCGACACCGACAAGTCGAAGGGCCACATAATTCATCAGTGTTCCGAAGACGCTGCTCTCGCCTTCAATATGTAGACCCCAGCCACCGTCCTCTGGGTGCGCTCGTGCGGATACGTAGTTATAGATCGCGGTCGCCTTGGCGGAGGAAATTGGCGTCCTGGTGACATACCAGGTCATGACGATACCGGGGAGGAGGAACATAGGACCGCCATATTCGCAACCCCAATGCCCGCTGGGAAGTTGAAGCTTTTCGAAAAAGTCGAGACCGTTCTCCGCGGCTGCCAATGGGTTATCGGGGGTGGGAAGGTCAGGGAGATCCTGTGTCCAACATGTTAGTTGCGATGGATAGGGGATCAGGCAAAGAACGTACCATAGGCAAATTCAGATACCATTTCTCAGCATAGCTCTGTGGCCACTCCTTCGCATCATCGTCGTTCTCAAGGTAGTGCCATGTGTGACGGCTGTCATCGTCCTTGAGCCTCCATCTTGTCGTGTCCAACTGTGAGCTGATGCGAGGCTGCTTAGGGAATGGCTGACCCTGTTTCAACAGCGGTTCCGACTCGGAGTCAGCAGCGCGCTTACGCGACTTTAGCGCGCTACCCTCACGTCCAGTAGAATTTGCGACCATGTTTGGGGGAGTTTGATGGTCTCAACGGCAAATTTCGTGGGTCAATTGAGAGAAGAGCAGTGGAGTGATCATGAACAAAACCCCAGTCACAAGTTGATGAGCAGCACATGCTTTAAAACTAAACTATAACACGGGGGCGGATTGAATTACCAACCCGCTGTACGCCCGACGTACGGGAGGGCCCGCCGTCTCCTGGTGGCACCTGCAGCATGTCATGTCCCCCATGTCTAGCGGTCAAGCCCCTGAAAATCAATTGACTCTCGGCATTGGACAATCTTGAAAACCTCCACAGAACCACATCTCGCATTGCGACTCTACTGCGTATTCGGACAAGATCTTGAACTTTACTTACGAAAATCATCGAAGTTATAAGCTTGTTTCAACAAGCGCCAAGAAACCATGGATGAAGAGGCAGAAATTGCTCAATCAATTGCTATACCAGAACTAACCCAGAATCCCCAAGCTAATCGCACATCATCAACGACAGCGAACGAGAATACTGATACGAATACGACAATCAACAACCCCAGTGCTGGAACGGTTGTCACTCGCATTGAGGACATTCTTGCGCAAATCATCAGCGCTTTAGCTACGGGACAAGAGCTGTCAATTCCATTTTCTGCACGGAGGTCAACACGTCGTGCCGCAAATGTACAGCCAGAGCAGGTTCACTTCCCTGGTCGTAACCAGCAGGAAGCAGTCAAGTTTGGTCAGATTTCGGCAGAGTTGTCTCTGTTAATCTGACTAACATGTCGCAGCGCGCATACTTCTCATTCTTCAACTATCACATGATGCTCTTGTATCTGGCACCGTTCTGACCAAGCGGTTAGTGCATTGGCCCCAGATGCAAGAGATGTACTAATGGGCCCATATGCAGCCACATATTTTACCAACACCAGCATCTCTTTGAGAAGCAAGGCCAAGTGGATGACCTTGTTGATGATATTGCTTTCAGTCTTGGTATCAGTCGTGGGGACTTGAATATTGTGCGAGTTGTTAAAAGCGCCCACGGTACTTCAACTAACTGGAGCAGGTTGCAGCATCAAAGGGTGCCCTGGCTGGACCGTTGCTAATACGCTTCCGCGATGGGAGTACGCTGAACCCTTGTTCGGGAGATTTGGTAAGATCTCAAGTTATGACTCTCTGCTTGATTCTGAGTGATGTAGGGAGTTGCTATCCCGACTGTTCAGTCAATCTCAAGCGTCGACGTTCAAAACATCAAATGGATTCTTGTTGTTGAGAAAGATGTAAGACGTACAAATTCTTCGTCGCTTTAACGAAGCTGACTCCTGCAGGCCGTTTTTCGATCTCTCTGCTCGTCCCAATTTTGGAGAACCTGCATCTTCGGTCCTGGAGTGCTTGTCACAGTATGCTTGGACAATGTGAATCGTGAAGCCCGCGCTGACTCAAATAGGCCAAAGGATATCCTGACTTGTCCACGCGCTCGTTCCTGAACTTTGTTCATACACAGTACCCCCAACTGCCACTCCTGGGGCTGTTTGACTACGATCCCGACGGCATCAAGATCTTGCGATGCTACCGACACGGATCCGAAAGACTGAGCCACGAAGCTGATCTCGGTATAGAAGCATTGCGGTGGCTCGGTATCAGATCAGTGCATCTCTCCCGAGGTCATACCAACACCTCACTCAGCAACTATGGACAGCCAAGCCATGTGTCTATCACATCGATCCAGTGCCGTGATCCCGTCACCTATTTGAATGGCAGAGAGCGGGCTGCAGCTATCTCAACACTCAAGAAGATCAGCCTGCACTCTCCAAATGAGCTCGAAGGCTCAGAACTACGACTCGAGTTGCAATTGATGATAATGCTCGGCGTCAAAGCAGAAATTGAGTGGCTCGATGAATCTGGGGACTTGTGTTCATGGCTTGATGGTGAAATTGGAGAAGCACTCATTAGCGAGAGAATCTGACTTGCATGGACTTGTTGAAGGGAAATCTGCTATGGTCTTTGGTGAAGGAGTCTATGTTCAAGGAAAAAGAGGGAAATGATGTATGTATCATAGCGACTAGCTGGTAGTTTCCTCATCCTTTCCATGAAATCGAGGATGAAAATTGAACTTGACTACCCTGCAGCGATCTACACCCCACACTGTGCGAAAATAGCGGGGTATCTAACCACACAGTCCCCTCATCTTCATAAAATTTTACATTCTTGACATGAAAACATCACCAAGCGCATCATCATGGCACCCAAACTCACAGAAGAAGAGATCGATGATCTCATTTACTTTGCACGAGCAGGAGAGCAGGAGGATCTGACAGAGACTATTAGGAGCCTGGCAGAGCGAGAGAATGTCAGCCCTGCTGAGATTGTAGCGGCTGCTCAAGATGCTTCCAACAAGTCAACATGTTTACACATGGCGACAGGAAATGGTCACCTAGGTATGTCCAACCCTGAAGGGATGAAATTTTGCGAGGCCTAGGACCTAGATTTCAATCCAATTGTGAAACAATACCAGGCTGACATCTTGTAGAAATCGTCAGGGAACTCATCCAATATTTCGATACCCAGCCAAAGGAGCAGAAGCAGGCCTTCTTAGACGAGGCAAACGAAGCTGGAAACACAGGTCTTCACTGGGCAGCATTAGGCGGTCACCTCGATGTCATCAAGCTGCTCTTGGAGCAAGGTGCTTCTCCCGCGCTGGCAAACGAGCAGAATTACGTTCCTCTCGATCTGGCGTACTTCAACCACAAGAACGATGTTGCTGAGTACTTCTTGTCAACTGCTAAGAAGCTTGAGGAAAAGAACCAAGAAGAGGGTGGTTTGAGCGCTGCTGTTGGGTCAGTTGAGATCGAGGAGGGAGATGAGAAGGCTGAGGAGAAGAAGGAGACTTCATAGAGGGGTCAATCAAAATGAAAATTGGATTAGGAGGAATGGATCTTGATAGAGGATTCTTGTGATGGTGGAAGCTTCGGAAAAGGATAGGGAGTTTAGGACTATATGAGAATAACGAAAATACTTTTTAAACGAAAAGTTCAATCCTTGGTAGATATGGTTTGAGTTGGATTCGCGACTTTGACGAATGTGACAGTAAGTAGTCAGCTAAAGAAGCTGTGACAGGCTATCTAGGATGATATATGTTCCTGAAGGCTTTGTAGGTGACTACTATAAACTCCATTATCTCTATTAGATATTAAGTATTACTCTATAAATGCTTTGCAACAACCAAATGATTAAGGTAAGGCAATTTCCAACCTACCAGTAACGGAAGGGAAATTAGTTTAAGTGTGTTGATCAGTGAAGAGCATGTGCTATATGAAAGCTATATATATAGTAAGAAAACCCGCCTCCTCTCGTTATTTGCCCCCGACCGGGATATATATAAATATGAAATTCCGACCCCCAAGCCCTTGGTTGATCCGCCCGTCTCCTATAAATACGAAGCCATCATTCCTTTCCGCTGACAGGCCTTTTCGTTTGCGACGTGCTGGAGTGTCATACTTTCGAGGTGGCGTATAGTATTTTTTGGTGGGTTATTTCGAAGCCAGGCATACCTTGCTGAGATATCATAGGCTTCTCAAACAAACCAGTAACTCTCAGCGAAGAGCAGAAATAGCCAATTCAAGCTCATCGTGATGCCTCTTGCAGACAATAGTATCTTGATCCATAATCTGAAGCCCACAGCCAATCCTACTGCAAGTATGTAGAGGGCAGTATATAGAGTATTGGGGACCGTTCCTTGTAGTAGAAACATCTGAAAGGTAATCAAACTCTTAGCCAGCGCAAGTATGTTTCCTACAGAACATTCCTTTACGGCCATCATGAGAAACATGAACCTGATTCTGGCAAGACCCTGAAGAACAAGTATCGTTCGGTTGATATTCGCGTCTAACACGACTCACCGTCCGCCTCCTGTTAGAAATCTCGCCACAACGCATGACCATGGCGTTGAGTTCCCTTTCCGTTCTGTCAACTACAGAATTCATTTCAACAAAGAACTTATCCTCCTCCTCAATTTTCCTGGTCTTTTTATTGGCACATGTCTCGCAGTCACCTCCAATCTTCACAATGGTATATTCCCTTTCGATAGGGGAGCCTGGGGGAGTCGTGTCTGATCCTGGCTTCAGAGCTAAAGCTTCTTCTATGAAACAGCCGTGTCTGTCATTGCAAGGGATGTATGCACCCTGAACGTTCTCCATGTAATGGGGTTTGCCATTGCTAGAGCAAGCATACTGGAGCTTAAGAAGACGACACATGCTGAAATGTAATTCGAGCGAGCCTTTCCTTTTTTTCCTTGCTTTGGGCTTTGTCTCTTTGTGATTTTGGTTGCTGTAATTGGTGGAGCCGGAGGTGTAGGTGAAGGGGGATTAAGAATACTGAATAGATTTATTACTGGAACTGAATAATAACAATGCGTTTGAGGGGCTGCATTATATATGGCTTTTAAAATGTACTTGCCCAACTTAACTGAAAGACCGAGTTGTCCAATATCAATCTGCTACTAAGTGTTCTTCCAGGAGGAAATACACTGCCATCAGATCCTTCGAACAAAGACATAGTAGCCCGAACAATGACGGATTTCAAGTCTAACTTATTTGTTCAGTACAGGCTCTTCTACCAGTTCAATCCTTGAACTCAGTGATTGAAACTTTGAAATATTTGAACACCGAAGAGGTTCTCGAGTCCCCAATAATGGTATAATACCTTCCCAGTTTTCCACAGTAGTCTATGATGTAACTCTGGGGACCGTTGACTCAAAGTCCGCGTGCAACATTCTTATTAGAGAATACAACCTTGAATTCCCAGCCTTTTCAAGTTATTGAAATTACACATGCCTGTGCAGCTAACCAAGCCCAGGCTCTTCTTTACTTGTTCCAAACCTAAATCTGCTTCTCTAGTGATTCTGCCACTAGCGAAAGTGTTTCTCCGACGACATGGACGATCTCGTAGACCTGTATGCCTTTACAAGTTTCTGCCCAAAGTTTCACTGCTGCAATAGCCAAACGTCTTATCCTGTCAGGAAAATCGGATTTGGGGCCTAGCGAAGCCTCTAGATGAGTTTCTTCGACTAGACGGTCGACCATAGAAAGCAGGCGCTTTTCCTCCTCTCTGAGAGCTGACGCACCATCCGACAGAACTAGCTGATAAATGTTTTCAAGCCAGTGGGTAAGTAGAAGGGCGCATCCAAAGTGACTGATAGCATGTTGGACACTCCAATGACCTGTACGGCCACGTGCCACGAATGCAATACCGACTCTCACAGGTATCCTCAAAGCGTAGATAGCATGAAGAACAGCTTGATCAAGGTGCGGAGCACGCAGGGGCAATGGGTTCTGATACGGTTCGAACACTTGAGCTTTGGCGATAGGATCCCGAGATAGCAACTCGCATTGACTGTAGAGGCCAAAGCCAAGATGAATATGAGCTAGTCGGAGCATCGCAGTCGAGTTGAAAGGTAGCGGCGAATTCCTAGAGGAAGGATCGGGGGCAGATTCGATAGCAGAGTCCCAGCAAGATTGCCAGGCACCGAGTGCAGCAGCATAAGTCGCAATGGTACTCTCCGACAGACTTGGCGATGGAGTCAACAGGGCAGACGATACTTGACGCTCAAAGTAGATCTGTATCAGCAAACTCTGGATAAGCATATAATTGCCAAACTCAGTTGCCGAGACCTCCTTGACTAGTGGTTCTCCAGACAGTAATTGCTTAAAGCATGACTGAAAGTTGAGCTTGCGTGGGTCGACCTTTCGTCGTACACGATTCCATGTTTCCGAGTCCGGCGCGTTGAACTCAGCTTCGGAGCAAGGAAGTTCGAAGCTAAACTCTGTAGCTGTCATCTGAGGCGGCACGTTGAAGCAGATGGTTTGAATGTTTAATGTGAAATATGCCGAGAGAAGGGTGCGTCGTCTCTCCTCATCGCGGCCCCAGTCCTCCCATGTATCATCGGAATGTCCCTCTGGTAGACGTTTCAGGATATCGCGGGTGAGAGTAGTTAACTGGCTACTCATAGCAAGTGCCTCCTCAGCGAGTGGTCCATCTAGCCATGACATAGTCATTACAGCAATCAGCAAGGATTGTAGTAGTTCGATGTCGAATTTTGTTAAGACAGCATGGTGATTTGGGGGCGGATCATAGACTTCTGTAGAGCTTGTAGGGAGCGCCGCAAAGCGAGGGAAACCATTGAGGATGTGGCGGTTTGACGCACGACGCCTTTCTTCCAGCTCATGGTTGATCATAGCTTTGGCCACGAAGTACATGGCATACCCCTGAGGGTGCTCAAATCCATAGAAGGACCCTGTAGCTGCCAGCGTCAAGAGAAGCACAGGTGACATGGATTCCAGATTCGTAGTTGGAAGGTGTACGAATGGTAAATGTGGATGATAACCTCGTATCCAGCTTGCGATATATCGAGATAGCGCATGTCTGCTGGGAAGTGTAAATGACAGGGGTATATCTGATCTGTGCTTCGAGAACTCCGTGGAAAGCCTTTCATGAGCAGCAACCGATACAGCCCAGGGATTTGTTGCTACGATATCTTCTGTGGTATCCAACAACCGGTCAACCTTGTTTCGAACTGGAGCTGCTTGGGCTTGTCGTTTCTGGCAGAAAGGTAGAGTCGACGTTGGCGCGCTGCTCAATTCTATATGGCCAGGTGCCTCTAGCTGCAAATGGCTCGAGGGAGCAGGGGCAAGAACTGGCTCGGGAATAAATGACTGAGTAAAGAAGTTTGCTGTATCCGGTGTGAATCCTTGATGTGAGTCTTCAGGGGGGAGAACCTCCCCGAGATAACTATTGATCATGGCCATCTCATCAGGGAACATATCCGCGTTGAACGACTCGAATTGCATGAAGTCAAGGCTATCCAAAGCGCCCGCTGGGGTTACATTGCTGTTGTGGATGGGATCTTCCGGTGGCTCAAAGATATGGCTTGGTGTCTGCTCTTGGTAACCCAATGGCCGATCATGAATTGAAAATCGGCTCATCATCTCTTGTTGAGAAGGCATTGTGTGGGGAGAGACTGCCATAGGCATTAAATTAGAGGGGTTTACTTGAGACTGTAGCTGGTGACTGTGATGATTGTTCTCGTCGCTAGCTTGTGAGATAGAGGGTGAAGTTGTCACAGCCCCGTCAGGCGATATCGCCAGATTTGATTTCGCTTGTTTTCCTGAGCCACTGGTAGAACACTGAGAAAGTCGGCGGTGACGATTTAGTAGATCTCTAAAATCTGATCAGCCCTGTCACCAGAGTAAGCGAATTCTGATATGTCTCACTGTCTTGTAAATGTTCGGCCGCATGGACACCCATATGGTCTTTCGCGTGTGTCTGGAGAATGATCAGCACCACTTTGAGAGTGGCCCCTAGTAAAGTGACTCACGTGTACGAATATGCCTTTCCAGGTGCTCCTGTCTCTTGAACTCCTTATTGCAGAACCTACAAAGAGGCACAGGGAGCCGAGGTCTGCCTTTCATGGTGTAAAGTGGGACGTTTAGTCTGTGATATCATCGGTGCTGTATACTGGACTGCATCATTGAATACAGAAGTGGCGACTTGAGCTAAGTCTGATGGAAAGGAATATAAACATTGGTCAGTTTCAACATCTTCATACCAACCAGGTCAGACAGGGAGTGTTCGTGGTGTGTAGTCGATAACTGACAGAAGAACTGGGGTTGGTCCCAGGGCCCTCCAAGGCCGGCCCGGTCGAGTGGAACCACGTGACGGTATCACCGCCGAACCGGTAACTACGACCGCTAGCATCCAGTGACCTCCCAGCACTATTCCCGATCGTCCAGATACAGGCACCTTAGTCGAAGTTTAATCTCAAGATTACTTAACATATTTACATGAAGCGAGAGATTGACATTCGTTGCTGATCCAATTGTTGTCTCAATTTAGTGTACACTATGATTTACTCTTGTCTTCTCCGGGCCTTTACAACGACCGTTCCCGGACTTACAACACTTCCCGGTGGCTGAGCAACCTTGACTACTTCAGCGCCGACCTGATCTTCACCAACAACCAAATTAATCTCCATCTTCATGGCTTCAAGAACCGCTACGGTCTGCCCCTCTTCCAGTACATCACCAGGCTCGACGAGGACCTTCCATACATTCGCGTTTACAGGTGACTCAATAACAGCAATCTCGTCCGAGTCAACGTCGCCATCCTCATCTGCACCACCACCAGACTGTTTTGAGATGGTCCATTCATCGAACAGCTTCTGCTCGAGTGCAGCCAACTCATCGGCCGCTTCTGATTGGCGCTCTCGCCATGCTTGATACTCTGGGTCCTTCTCTGCTGTATCAAACTTGGCGATGTACTGATCCATATCGATGGCTGTTTCGCTAATGTCAAAGGTATACTGACCAGCCTCAAAATCTCGCTCCATCTTGTCATACTCTTGTTCAGTCACCTCATAAAAACTGACGAGATCCAGGTGATTGAACAGCCAAGGCTTCTTGGGAGAGAAGCCAGGCCGGTTACCTGTCGAATCCCAGCCACCAAGTGTTCGGCCCATGAGTTGGTATCCTCCTGGTGCAGCAACAGGATATATGGCGACTGTTGATCCTCCCAGTCCTACTGAGCCACTGGGCGTATAGCCTCTACTAGGGTTATACTTCTGGCCTGTCAACACCCGCCATGGGTCGAGAGGGAATAGGATAGGTGTTCCGACGAAGAAACCAACGGCAACAGTCAACCATGGTGTTTTGAGAAGAGAGTCCAGTACGTCTCGGCGCGTCGCAAGAGCATTGTTCTTGCGGAGATATTCGACATTGTCTGGGAGATATGCAGCTGTCGGTCTGATGTTCTCCATGTACCGTTGCGCCGACTCCTTGAGTGAAGAGTGGTCAAGACAGACAGGCAGTCTTATCTGTCGAGCAGGGATCTTCACCCCGCTAGTATCGCCAATGTTCGTATCAAAGGCCAGAAGCTGTTGGAGAAGCTCAAAACGGTCTATATGGACCGGGTCGAAGTGCACAGTGAGGGTGGCAATGTTAGGATCACCTCGCACACTGGGCAGTTTCGCAGCTGCCAGCTGCTGAGTGAGCAGTTGGACACAGACTGTGTTTCGCAAGTCCGAAGTCTGGTTGCCATACTGAACGATTATGCTGGTATCACCTCCTTGACGGTATATCACCTGGGGATGTACACCCCTTGCGGGTGACTGATGCAGAATGGAGGATGGGGGCTTCGTGGCGAAGGCTGTTTGGGGAGCACTTACATCCCCAGTTTTGCCATTAGCGAAGGCTGCCAGAGCTTCAAGATAAGCGTTTTTCTCGTGAGTGATCTTCAGAGCATCCTCGTATGAAACGGATTGCAGCCGAACGGTGTCACCGGGTTTGAGTTGACCGAGCTTCCACATCTCCCCAGAGCAGATTGTCGTTGGGCAGACGAAACCACCAAGGTCAGGTCGGTCATTAGCAAATATGATGGGAGACTCTCCAGTAAAGTTGACACCGCCATTGGGATACCCGTACTCGAACACATTAGACGGATGTGATCCTCCACCTCCTCCAGATGTTCGAGCCCACTTCAATCGCGGTCCTTGCAAGCGTATACCACTTCTGCCACTGTTGTGACTGACACTCCATTCCCCTTCATACAACGTCTTCGATCCCTCCTCTGTCAGGATATCATCAGAACCGTACGGCCCATCGATACAACAGATAGTGGTGCTTCCGAATTTGGGTACGTGATGGGATGGAAGGGTGAACGTTGTCGCTTCAGCTGCTTGCACTTTGGAATCAGGACTCAGTGCGAGGATATCGTGTGTCTGGAGTTTTCGACCTTGGTAGCCACCGAACCCAAGCTCTGGGGCGGTTGACTTGGAGCCGAGGAACGCTGGGACGTCGGGAAAGCCGCCTCTAACAGCGAGATATGCTCGTGCACCACTTCCAGTGACTTTACCTAGACTCAAAATCTGACCTTGTTTGACCACAAGTCTGGACCACAGCGGCTGCGCGCCACCGTCGACCGCAATGGGAAGCTCGGCACCACAAATACTGACAATCGCGGCCTCATGAAACAGCAACTTGGGACCAGATAGGGTCACCTCCAATAACTCAACTCCTTCATCGTTGCCAACCAAAATGTTTGCTATCCGAGCACTAAGATCATCCATGGGTCCTCCTGGGGGCACGCCGTGTCCAACAGAGACGCGCCCTGGATAATCCTGGATCGTGGTGGATACACCGGGCTCAAGGACTTGCATGGAGCAACTCTTAAACTCGAAAGTCGATAGCGAATTGGTCAGGGTGTTCCCACTTGCGAATAACTCCGAGTCTAGAATTGCAGAGAGGTACTCAAGGTTAGACTGAGTCCCCTGAAGTTCTGTATCCGCCAGTGCTGCAAGCATCTTGCGTCGCGCAGCTTCTCGACCGTCGGGACTATGGACCATAACCTTACCGATTAAGGGATCGTAAAGAGGAGTGATGCGCTGGCCGCTTTGGACCCAAGTGTCAACTCGCACACCATCGCCTTGTGGCCAATGAACGTGCTGGAGAACACCAGGACTGGGTGCGAAGTTACAGAGCGGTATCTCGGCATAAACACGAACTTCGATCGCTGAGCCAAGGGGCTGAGGTCTTCCAAGGCCCTTGAGAGTCTCAGAGGGGATGCCAATTTGGCCTCGAAGTTCGTAATCTGCTTGTCTTAACATCAACTCGACCAAGTCAACTCCGTAGCACAGCTCAGAGATACCATGCTCCACTTGTAATCGAGTGTTCATCTCGAGAAAAAAGAACTGCGCAGTGTCGTCGTCAACAAGAAACTCAACTGTGCCAACGCTCTTGTACTTCAGCTGGAGTGCGTAACTGATGGCTGCGTCAAGCATTCTTTCGCGTAATCCAGCATGGCGTTCCAAGAATGGGCTCGGAGACTCCTCGACAACTTTCTGGTGGCGTCTTTGTAGCGAGCACTCGCGTTCTCCAAAGGCGACAACGATTTCCCCGTTGCCTGCAACTTGGACTTCGATGTGGCGAGAACGAGGGTAGTACTTTTCCAAGAAGACTCCCTTGTTCTTGAAGAGCGTACCAGCGCGACTCTCGACCATAGCAAAAGCTTTCGCAATCTCATCTGCTGAATTGCAAATCTGAAGACCCATACCACCGCCGCCTCCAGTAGCTTTCAGCATAACAGGGAAGCCCAACTCTGTCGCCGCTTTGGTAGCTGCTTCAGCAGACGCCAATAGTTGAGTTCCAGGGATGACTGGGACATTGGCCGATTGTGCAATACCTCTGGCCTCGTGTTTTAGGCCCATGGCTCTTATTGAAGCCGTGGAAGGGCCAGCGAAGATGATGCCAGCAGAGGAAATTGTGTCAGCGAACTCTGCGTTCTCACTGAGGAAGCCATATCCGGGAAATACGACATTTGCACCTGTGCGCTTGCAGATGTCCAATATGGCATCCCTATAAGTCATCAATGTTTAGATGCCGTAAATTCGTAAGATGAAATTTCTATACTTACCCGTCTGTATAAGCCGAGCTATCCTCGCCTGGTAAAAGGATTGCTTCGTCTGCCAACTTCACATGCAGTGAAGTTGCATCTGCATTGGTAAACACTGAGACAACTTGAAGCCCAAGTTTCCGACAGGCATTTATGCAGCGAACAGCAATCTCGCCGCGATTCGCTATTAACACCTTGCGAATGTGCTGTAGTGGGTGTAAGTCAAGTGAACCCATGACTGCGACGGAGGCGAACTGAACAGTTCACTACAAGACGAAAGATGTGATAAGACAGATATGAGAAGAAAGGTAACCTTTGGGTAAACGTCCGAAAGATTGGACTTATTATGAACTGATCAAAAGCATGGAATGAACGTATGAGTCTATGAGTAGCAGCTTGGAGGTGTTATCAAAAATGGGGATAGCCTCTCCACCTCCAGGTTAAGATGCACTATCTCGATAGCTTATCTACCCCAACGCGGGGTGATCGAAAGAGGTAAGAATTTGGGCACCCGGAATTTGTGTTCCTATTATGGTAAGCCATTGGGGTAGAAGTTGTAGGTGTAACAGGATCCCCATATCAGTGAGCTCATTGAGGCCACAAGGGATACGGATGTACAAGTGTTGCGATGATCTATAGAGGCTATTGCGGAAACATTTGGTAGCAGGCTAAAAGTTTGGAGCTGAGGGATGCTGAAATCCGTATCTCCACGGACACAGTTAAGTAATTATTGGAGAGCAAATGGAGAGTATCATGCCAGTATTTGCATAGGACTTTCAGTAACCGCTGGTACGTATCAGGATTCAAGGTTAACAATTGCGACCGGGTTGTGACGGCGCTCAATTCAAAATGCAATGATTTGATTTGATTCAAACTATCGAGAAGAAAGTGACTGCTTGGCCGAACGACACTAAATCTCTGCTTTTCTACCACTGAACCTTCAGTACCTGAGGGACGGAGGATCAATGAGCAGTCGCACCGTAATGCTCAATGAGATTCCAATAAGAATGCGCGGTCCATCTTCTCAGAGGCTTGCCAACATATATCATCATGATCGCAGTGCACCAGACAGCCCCTCCCAACACGGCGATGAGGATGAATGCATTGCGAAGTCCAAGGTTCTCAATCATTGGAACCACGGCGTACCCAAACGCGAAACCTGGATAGTGTTAGTAGTGAAGATATGGTGATTGAAGTGTGTACATACCCATCATGTTGCGAATCAAGATGGTCGATACAAGACCTTCGCCGGCGACCTCCTTGTAAGTGTCAAGGATATAAGTGAAAGCGAGATTGGAGCCCATGGGAAGAGTTACGCAGATCAATCCGAGGCCAAAGACAACTCCAAACCAGTGGATATGATACGAAGCGCCAACACCGTACAGCAGACAGCCTGCCGGATGCATGACAAGCGCGACGAGACAAGTCCAGAGACGCTGCTCGGGTTCCATGACACCTCCATTTCGACGGGCAAGGAACAAGGCCAGGGCATCTGACATCCAACCTGAAAGGAAGCACCCAACAGTGACACCGATAACAGAAGCAAGGTACGTGAGTCCAATGTTGTTGGCGCTGAAGTTGTAAGGTGGGTTTCCCAGGATCAGAGCTAGAGAGCCTCCAACGACGTTATACCAGGCGAGAATTCCACCGACGAGGAGGCCACCGAAGCCAATACCTGGGAAGGAGAAGAGCAGTCGAATGGGGAGGAAGAAGAGCTTGAAGGTGCTAGGCTGTCGCGAGTCGTGATAGCCCCAGACCTTGAGCTTCCCTAAATATGTCTTTTCGCTCTCACCTGGTGTATACGCCGCTGCCTCCATGGATCGTGATGTGGACTTCTCGTCTTGGACTGAAGGGTCTTGCTTCTCTGACGGAGCCTCGACGTCCTTTCCGACTGTCGCGGAGGCTTTGATGGTAGCTGGGTCGAGTGCAGCTGTATCAGACAGGTTTCCGACGTCGTGATGGCGGTAGAACATTGTCTCCTCAAACAGGAAGAACGTAATGATAGCGACGCTTCCTCCTATGATAGTGAGGATGTACTGGATCCATCGCCAGCCGAGCTCTTGAGCGACATAGCCAGATGCCACGGGTGCAAGGAACGCGCCGCACCATAAAGTCCAGCTATAGGCACCCATATAGAAGCCTCGGTCATGCGCGAAGAAGATGTCTCCAATAATGACTTCTATAAGAGTCTCTTGGGGTGAAGCACAAATACCAAGCAGAACTCGGTTTGTGAAGAACTCTCCTCTCGACTTGATGAAGGCGGTCCAAAGAGTAATACCCGTGGTGAGAATGACAGACACAATAAGAGTGAGGCGTCGACCATATGCCAGAGCAACGCATTGAGTAATCATCGTTCCCCATCCCAAAAAGAGGAACAGAATACCATTGCCAGTACTCAAATCAGCGATCGAAATGCCAGTGTCTTCCTCGATCAAGATGTAAGCAGGTGATAAACCTGAGATCATGGCAGCGACGAAGAAGCACCATACCATGGCGCAGACGATATTTCTTGTCTTTCGAGGGATACTCCAGCGTAAAGGATCATCGGGGTCGTCAGTGGGCTGCGGAACGAGGACGATGTCGCGTGATTGTTGGCCATGCTTCACGTTGAAGATGCCTTGGACATCAACGAGCTGGACGGTTCCAGGAATGGCGACTCCAGAAGTCATTGCACCAGTATTTGATCACGAAATAAATATCAAGAAGACAAAAGGGACAGCAACGAGAATTCTGTGGATTTTGAGAAGAAAAATATTTAAAGACTGCACCTTGTCTTAAAACATCACAGCAATGCAGATCATCAAGACATCTATATGATTTATACTACCTTATTATCACTTACTAGACGAAGTGGCTTGCGATAGGCAATCTAGACAACCTATTTCTACCCCAACCTTTCGAGTCTTATCGCGCGACCCTTGATATGATGAACAGGGGGAGCTAAGAGCTGAGCTACCATCCCCGCATTGATAGCTCGTCATGTGTGACCAGGACCGGCATTCTTTGAGGGCAGATTGAGTGGTCTGTACTTCTGGCCATCTTATTAACATTCTTAGCGAGGAACGAACCAAGTTGTCACTTGGAGGTGTGTCAGACAACCATGCTGTCGGTACGTCTCCCGTTCTGCTGCTTAAGCGCAGTAACGGTTTCAAGTATACGATGGTATAGCATTTCGACATTCATTTTGTACGAGTAATCAAGCAGTCAAAATCATGTGAGTCTAGGTTGTTACACAGTTTTCAATTTCTATGGAAAACCAGATTTCCTGCTGTATTTATCCTGTTGGGATAATGTCTACAATCTATGACCATTGGTATTCTGTGAAGGAAACTTCTTTCGGTTCGCTTCATTCACTGCTTGTCGAACCAGCTTCGCATTTTCCAGCACAGTCGGCGAATCAGAATGCAGACATATGCTGAACGGCTTCCCCTTAAATCCAAAGCTGAATGCATCCCCATTCATATCCTTCCCTGTGTCCTTCATAGCCGCACCAAACGCCCGCTCATGGCATAACTCCGGCGTTACAGGATGAGATTGCGCAAAAGGGACAAGTCTTCCCTCTGGTGAGTAGTCGATATCAACGTAGACCTCTCCTTGAAAGGGAACGCCCATCTCATTACACATAGCCTCCTGTTCTGGGTTCTGGCAGGCGTATACAGGAACTTTGAAAGTTGCACAAGCTTCTAGTACAGCTCTCATTATTCCCTTGTCTCTTTGCATGTAGAAGAAGAGTTCTCCGTGAGGTTTAATGTGAGAGAGCTCAACACCTTCGGCGTCCAGCATTGCTTTTAGAGCTCCAACTTGATACAAGACCATTGCATACATGTCCTTGGGGTCGATTTCCATTTTTCGGCGTCCAAAGCCAAAGAGGTCTTGTAAGCCGGGATGAGCACCAGCTTTGACTCCATGTTGCTTGCAGAGACGGACTGTCTTTAGCATGATAGACGGATCACCAGCGTGGAAACCACATGCAATATTTGCTGCATCTATGAGAGGCATGAGTTCCTCATCTGGACCCTATTAAACCTTGGTTAATATCTGGTAACAAACACTGTCTTTCAGAGATCTTACCATTTTCCATCGGCCGAAGCCCTCTCCCATATCAGCATTGATCTCATATCTTTGCGCTAAACCAGTCATGATGCAGGATTTCTGATAGAATGAATGATAATTCGACTTCGAGATAGGTCGACACTCGTGCTCAAGTCATGATTCGACGAGGAATTTGTGCTCATTATCTCTCCAATACACGTGATACCTCCCCCCGTTCAGTTGTCTTGTTACAATATGACGTTACTGATCGCTGAACCCCATGTAACATTGAAGTTAATCATGATTGAGGGATGACAGTTGGGGTAGAAAATGACCGTCTTGGGAAGATTGGGGTAGTAAGCCTGATAAGCAGTTGGAGCTTATCACACACCCCTGTCGGTATACAATCACCTTTAATCATATCTTGATTGGATACCCTGGAGCACTCCATATTTGATATTGTAGCAACTGGAAGGCTGGATCGATTGTTGTGTTTTCGTCAGGACTTCCGCAAGCCTTGATAGCCTTCCTTAGGGAGAAAAGCGAGCTCCAGTCGACTACAGAAGTTTGATTCCTGTTTCATTCCGATTGCTCCTCCGTACCATGAATCACATCCTTAGTTCCAAATATTGAAGGAATTTTCATTACTTAGAAGGCTAAGGCGCCCAGGAAATAATCGAGGTGCGAACAAATGATGACTCACTTAAAGCTAAGGGCTCTTTCAAAGAATATTTCAGTTATATCAAACCCATGTAACCCATAGTTGAGTTGAAGCAATACTCGTTAACTGCTCAACATTGGGGCTCCGCCTAAGCAATGAAGTCGGTTATGGCACTTCTCAGACCCGTGGCAATAAATAGAGCGGTCATGACAATGTGACCTTTTGAAAAAAAAAAAACACCAATGCTGAGTCAATTTGAAACTGGGACGCATCCTTAAGCTCGCCTCTTGTGATATGGACTCATCTGTCGTGTGTTCTGACAGACTGATGTAAGAGCCCATCAGGGTTCTCGCCTACCAACCCTTTTGGTGTCGCTAAACCAAGATACCTAGCTTTTTGCTCGCAAAATCTCATCTTTGACTATTTTGAACATCGTGGGACTTGAATGAATACATATACTATACATCTCAGAAATCCTATTGTCAAACCTCTCATCAGAATGGAGCACGAACCAGTGGAGGATATACCCCATTGCCATCATCACCACCACCATCTGCAGTACCATACTCATCATCATCACCATGGTCCATCTCATGAAGTCCCGAGGTCAATGGGAGAGCAGAACAAGGCTCACTACAAGTATGAACCTTTCAACCTACTATGGCCCTCGCAAGGACTAACTCGTGCCAGTAATGCTCCTCCAGCGCTATTTCGATGGCCTTGGATTATTGAGCTGTGCAATCAAATATCAAAAGAGCTACGCTCCAACATAGACTGGATTGGTATCAGGCCACCATCTTCAAGACCGACAAAACTGTTAGATTACGCCTGCGGTGATGGCGTGGCGTCTCGGGTAAGATCCAACGACGTTAACCGTTGAACTCTATGCTGATTTTATTAGGCGCTCGCACCCTTCATGTCTACAGTGAGAGGTATGGACATAGCATCAGGAATGGTAGAACAGTATAACAAAATGGCACTGAAAGCAGGCTATACGTCGATAAAAATGCGAGCTATTCAGGGTGATCTTATCGATCCCGAGTTGACGCCGTCTCCGGAGACCAACACGCCAAGATTCTTTGATTTTGACGTGGTAGTCATGTGCATGGCTCTCCATCATATCGAAGACCCGGATAACATGATATTACAGCTCTCAAAACGACTGAGACCTGGAGGAATCTTACTTATCATTGACTGGGTTGCAAGCTCTGCGGGCAGTAGTGCTCAGACAGGAAATCGAACGCTAGGAGCGATTAGTAGAATGGGGTTTCAAGAGAATGAAGTAAGGAGTTCGTTTGATAAAGCTGGACTTGAAGATTGGGCGTGGAAGTTGACCTCGGCGCCGTCTCAAGTACCTAGAGAGATTGGTGGTGAACAGCAATTGTTTCTTGCTCGGGGAAAGAAGCCATTTAGTTAGCACGTACAATAAACCTGATTTGAATTTGTCCAGTCATTGGATCAAGATATTGACAGTTGTCATTTCCCCACGACCACCTGGACTTCTCGCGATGAAGGTGATATCATCCATGAGTTTCTTGAGTCGTTGCTGGATAGTCTAGACACGTTGCTGTAAGGTTCAAGCGCCGGGTCATCTAATATTTTAAACTCTGCACAACAAAGGAAACTCCCGACTCTATCAAAAGCCAGATAGTCTTGAACTATCACCCATCAGCCCTACGTGACATCCAAGAGGTTCTCGTTAAATGCTTGGCTGTTGAGGGAATTCCAGTCTGCAAAGCCGTGACTGGCTACCACGACAAAGACATCCACTTTGGCCAATGGATCGATCTGTAACTTGGCAGTTTTCAGGTATTTGATCAAGTCGTTGAACCAGTCATGGGAAGGATTACTAGACTGTTGCATCCGCCAGGATTCGAGGCGCAGCAAATGATCCTTGTCGTCAGTCACACGATGACTCGTATCTTGTTAAACTTGTCTCTTTTCAAGCTTGGTGGACAACAAACTCTGCAATCTGGCCATGTCCATGAGATTTGGTGCTGATTCTCAATGAACACATATCCACTTCTGAATACCACAGTTCTCCTGCATCTTGCTCCAGGCCACATGCTCTGAAGCTGTCAGGTGGAGCATCAAGCCAAATTAGCGGCCTGCATACGCCAGAACAAAGATGATAGGCCATCAAGAGGCGCTTGTGCCGCTAGAGTTAGCTCAACTGACTGCTACAAGCGAGCTCCTGGACTCATTGAATTCAACGATATGATCTTACCTATCGTGTCAGCTCATCCCCAGAACCCGAAGCTGTGCCTCTTCTTAGCTTGCGTCAGCATAACCATTCCTTTCAGGCATCCAAACCATTTAGAGAAGCGCCACGTTTCGGAATAGGCAAGGTGACAGGCTATATACCCGAGCTTTTTTCATTTTTCGTGTTCAGTCTCACCCTCTATTTTAACCTTATTTCTTCATTATCCATAATTTCAACCAACATATCAACACAACCATTTAGATCACAAGACGTAAGCATTTTTAATGTATTTTCTGATTTTTCGCTGACATCTCACCCTAGAGCCAATATGAAGCCCCAAGTCCTTCTCACGGCTGGTCTCGCTACCGTAGCCATAGCCGATCAATGGCCCATGGCCAAGGAGAAATGCGGTCGTCTTGGACCCATGGAATGGGATCCTAATGACCTTCCTCCCGATGTTGATGTCATGCAAATTCGAATGTGCGCTGATCATCCTATGGGGGCTGGAAATTACTGGGGATGGGGCGAATATCTTCCTGACTGGTTTCCTCGCAACCCTTTTGCTGACATGGAAATCGATTGGCTTTGGTGGCCTTAGATTGGGGTGTGATGTGACATTGAAGGGGTATCCGAGAGATGAAGAATGCGATTATGCGTAGAAGCGCCAATTTCAGTGAATATAACTTGTTGCACATCTCAATCAAAGGGGTTTTGTATCCTAACGAGGTTTTTCTCCTTTGCATTTCCCAAGACCTCACTTCTAGACGAGACTGAACTATAATTTGTTATAAACTTCAGAAGAAAGAGCTCAGCAAGCCCAGTGTTGGCCATCGGAAGAAGTATGTTCAAGTATCACAAGGTATTAATCAGTATCCAGTCGTAAGTTCCCTCTTAACAGCATCCTCCAGAGTCTCCAGATCTTCCTCCTTGAGTCCAATCCTCTCATTGTCCGTCTTTTCATAAAGCGTGCCGCCCTCGGACCAAATTCGTCGGAGTGTATATGAAACAGCCTTGGGATTTCCAGCAGCCCACCCCTTCTTCTCGGCTTCCCTCAGCTCATCGAGAGTGTAGCTTGAAACTTCCCACGGTTCACCGCCAGTCTGCTTCTCAAGCTCCTTCAGAATCTGCTTAGAGTTGACGACGAAGGATTGGACGATCAGGGCGCGGTTGAAAGACTCTGCGGGGTGACGAAGAGCTGCGACTACAGCCTTTCCAACGCTATAAAACATTAGCCACAGCTCTATGAAGAGTGATCACAAGATGAAACTTACTCAGGCATAGTTGTGAAGCCAATCTTGCCCTCCCCATTATCAATCAAGACCGCCTTCTTATTCTTATGATCAAATCCTCCAGCCTCAATGACGTCAGGCGAAAGGGTAAAGTACATATCGATATACGGCCCAGTAACGACAAAAGTATACTTCAGACCATTTGCGTTTTCTCGAATATACTTTCGTACCTTGAGTTTCAGCTGATGAGGCTTCTCACTGGCGCTCTGAGGACCGTACTCGATATCTGTGCCGTATTCTGAAGGGAAAAACCACTTAACTGAACCAGACTCAGCTGCGAGTTTAAAGAGCTCAATCTGTGTCTCGATGACATTGCGTCCCACTGCACTGATGACAGTGTCGACGCCTTGGTAAGCCCTCTTTACGTCCTCAGGATTATTGACATCTCCTGTGATAATCTTGACTGCCTTTGACTTGAGCTCTTTGATCAATTCTGGTTTCCTGGTAACTGTGTCTTCCGAGGTGAAGATGGCCACATGATCGAATTCTGGCTGGGCATTTGCGATAGCATTCGTGATATATCGCCCAATGTTACCGGTAGCTCCGAAAATGAGAATGCTCTTAGGTTGAAAGTCTGCCATTTTGGTAACTCGAGCGATGTCAATAATTGTCGTATGTCGAAACGCTGCGATTATAGCAGTTTCAAGTTGGATTTATAAGCTTTGATCCAGTACCGTATTTATAAGCTGCAGGATATTAGGGTTCTTGACTTTGTCTAGATTGGAAAGTGAATGATGGTCGGAGAGGAACTAATGTCAAAGCGCGCCCTTTGTTATCACGCCCTACATGAAGAAGTTTATAATGCTCAGGCAGCTCAGCTCATAGCGGGCCGAAGCGGGGTTGAGCACGATATATTGCTATGAATTGCCTAATGTGGTTGGTAGACTAAGTTTGTCAGCCTCGATAGTTGAGTCACTTCAGTTGAATCAACTATCATGAAAATTGCAATACCCTCTATATCAATATCATGAGTTCTTTCAACTTCACCTACACTTTTGTTTTTGGGTGACTCTTGATGTTACGGGAAGCTAGATGACTGGTTGCACTATTAATCGTTGCTCTAATTTATATACTTTGTGTAAATCTTATTATTGAAGTTTATAAACCGTGGCGAGGTTCAACTGAAGCCCCAACTAATCGAGAGACTCTATTATATGAATTTTGCAAATAAACTTTTAAAAGTGATCACATTAAGGAGAAATCCTTATCTTGATTCGCTGCAGCACCATTTGAACAGACTTTTGTCTCTTATCAAGTGTGAATTCTGAGTGGTAATTTAACCCGGTTCAATCACAGGCAGTGAGTGGCATGTTTCCGAATTGAACTTGATAGGTTAAGACAATTATGTGAATTTCATCAAACAAAGACAAAAGGGTTCACTCGAGAGGGTCTACCAGGAGGCACCGTTGGGGCTATCATTTTGTGGCCTCTTCTCTGTACAACAGTTAGGCTGCCCATGATAGAACTTCTCATATTACTCAAAACATCTCGAAATAGTTTTTCCAAGCCAAAAGTGTTCTCGATAAGCTTTGTTTGAAGGTAACTCTGCAGATAGTATATACTTGTTCGTCCGATTGTTGAGGGCAGGGCGATACCTCGTAGTTCTCAAGGAATAAGCTTTCCATATAGAAGTTACTCTACAACAAGAATTCTATTTGAACCAAAATAAATTGAAGTCTCTATAAAAAGGGACTCCTGCCTTCTTATATTGTCTTTCTCAAAGTCATCCCTTCTCACGCATTCACTTACTCTTAACACAATCTCGTCTTTAAAGACTCTCGCAATAATCCCACATTTCATCAGACTCTACACATCCTCCGAGTATTCTCAAACACTGAATTTCCACACAAACCCTCAGTCTTTGCATGTTCAATATGGTAAAGCTAGATGAATTAGCCCGATTCTATCGCACCCAGCTTTACATGGACATCGAACTCGGTCTTCACAACCTCCTCATTAAGAAGAGGGATGCCCTCTCTCCACCTCACTCATCGCCCGCCCAACACTACTACGCCGCCTTCAGTCGGCCTCCCAACTGTTGCTGGGACGAGGATAGCGATACATATACGGAGGAAGGGAATGACTGTGAAACCCCATATCCTATCCTCGGCAAGGACATGAAGTTCAAGACCTGCCAACGCGACCATCCCGACGGTGAGGGGTGTGCAGATAGGGTTTGTTTCATCCCTAACGCCAGCGCTAGAAAGTACATGCTGGACTTCATGGCAAAGCGGTCGTGGCAAACACCGTCTCTCAATAGACTGGAACCCGTGGCTTACTGCCTGGTGAGGAAGTACTGCAGCAACATCCCCTCAAAGGACATTGAGACTTTCTCGAGAATAGTGCGTATGCTATTCGAGGATCTCCGTTACCCAGATCCTCGGAATTGGGATCCTGAGGTTCACGGCGTTTTAAATTGGAAGGGGAAGCCCATTCAGACGTGCGTTGATGACTTCATGTCCGAGATCCATGGGGTTAAGTGGAGGAGGGATATGAGGGAGTACCTTTAGGAGCAGGCGAAGATATTGCTGATACACACTCTGTCTTCCCGGGGAATACAATATTTTGGACTTTCGGATATGTCTGGTATGTCTTTTGTTCGAAGGTAATTAAAGTTCTTTGTCGTTATCACTTGCACTATTAGTCACGGCGGATGGCTTACGGACAGGCAACGGCTGCTTCAATGGTGTAATAAGAGTTATGTCTATTGAGAGTTCTTCAATGATATACCTTTGACCTTCAATACCCAACGCCTTATAGTGAATGACCCTCGACCCTCAACACAGTCCTCAAATGGGTAAACGCCAACTTCTCTCCCTTATGACAAGCCAAAAGATTCGCCGTCTTGAGGACATTCTTAATCTGTCGGCCATTCAGCTCCAGACCAGCCAGAGCCTTGATCTCTCCCTCTGTAATCTCATGCGCAGAGTTGCCCTCAATCTTTGCATCTACACTAATAGCGCGGCTCAAGAACCCTCGCCAAACAGACTCTCGAGCGGTGTTGTCGAGGGGAGGGTACTCGAGCGACATGTGGATTCGGCTCTGGAAGGCTTGATCCATATCTTTGACGCGGTTGGTGGTGAGGAAGAGGATACCTTCGTAGTATTCGAGCATGCGAAGGAAGATTGAAACAATGCGGTTGCGTTCGATGTCATGTGCTGAGCGAGCCTCGAGGAAGACGTCGCACTCGTCGAGAAGGAGGACAGCGTTCCAATTGGCCACCATTTCGAGAATGCGTTGAAGGTTCTCCTCGATGTCATAAGCATCGCTGCCGAGATCGCCAGCGCTCATGATGTACAGGGGAACCTTCATCTCCTCAGCCACCGACTCAGCAGTCAGTGTCTTACCGATACCGGGGCCGCCAGACAAGAGCATGATGATACCCTTACCCTTTCCAGAGATGATATCATCAAAGACATTCTTGAACTTGACCTGGCTTTGAGCGAAAGCGAGAATAAGTTCCTTTTGATCGGAAGGAAGAACAAGCGAGTCGAAGGCCTTCTCGTTGAACTTGACCTCTGTTACATCATCAATGAAGAACTCCATCCATCGCTTGTTCTTCAGGGCATAGCCGCGGACCATGGGACTCGTCATGATGAGCTGCTCTTCGCTGAGAGGAGCGCGCTGGTCATCATCAAATTCAGGCTTCTTGACACCCGAGTCGCTGTAACAATCGCTGTAACAATCCTCGTCGTCGTCACCATTGCCAGCATCACTATCCCGATCACTGCTGGCGACAGGACCGTCACCAGTCAGATAGTTAAGCCAAACGGTATGGTCGGGGTTCTGCTTCTCCCAATTCGCTCCATCGATGACAATACGTGAGTTGACAGTCTCTTTACGAGACTTGGTCGCATTGACCCACCAGATGGCAGTGCCGCTGTATGCCTTGTAGTGATAGCCCGCAAGACTCTCAAACTTGCGTCCACGCTCGAGGAGCATATTGCGTGCTTGGTCATGATTTGGGTGGTACTCTAGAGGATAGCATGAGAGACTGGAGAAGGGAGCAGTGCCGGGGAAGTCGTTAATCTGCATGGTGATGTCGCACCATCCCATACTTCTTCCGTCCCAATCAATGCCCTTGCAGTTCATCATGTAGGCAAGGCCGCCGCACTGTGTTTTTGCAAGGTATCCAGAGTCGAAGCGAACAGCAACGGGTCTTCCCTTAACAGAACCCCAAACTGTGCAACCAGGAGGGAAGAGAGTCCAAACATGCTCAAAGGCAACAGCGCGGTTCTTGAAGTAATCCTCCCGAAGCTGAATAATCTCTCCCAGCTCGTCCCTCATGATCTTATGCAACAGCGAAACATGCTCACGGGTGAATTGATCATAGTTCGGATCATCCTTTGCAGCAGTGAATTGACCCCATCGATGGACAAAACACTCAAAGGGAGCATGAAACTTGAGGCGTGAAACATCAGTGACGATACCGGGATAATCCTCAAAGACCTTTCCGAGAACGCGCTTGAGGTAGGGAGATTGAATGACGAGGGAGTCAATGTCGAGAGGCTTGTTGGAGTCAGCCTCCTTGGGCTTTCGCTTGCGGATGATGACGGCGTATTTTTGTGTCTCTTCATTCTCTGCTGCTTCCTCAAGATCATCGGGGTACTTGTCTGTCCATGATCGGTCTCCGTTCTTATCGAACTTTGCGTATAGATCTTTGCTTTCTGTGAGGAGACCGACCATGACCTTCTCCTTCTTCTCTTCGTCTTCTTTTGGTGTTTCTTCTGTCTTTGAGTCTTCTGTCTTTGAGTCTGCTGTCTTTTGTTCTGTCTTGGTCTCTGTGGTCTCCTCCTTGGGCTCCGTGTCTGCAGGTGTCAAGATAACGGTAGACTCGTCACCGCTGCTCTTGGTCGAGTCCATAGTGTCAGTAGTCATGATGTAAGTATTAGTGTTGATAGGATATTATGTGAGGGAGGAATGGCGGTTGTAGTAAAGATTGGAGAATTGGAAATGAAGAAGTGTGAAGAAATTTTATGATGATACTTTTACTTCAGCTTGTATGTTCCTCTTTATACAACACCGATTCGCCCTCAGGTAAGGCCTCCATCTGTAGGCACGACGGCATATTACTCACACGGCATCACCTAGACCCGCAAAAAGGAATGCCAAGTCAAGCTGTGAATAGCTACGCCAGCGAAAATCAATAGTAAACAGCGGGTAAAAATCCTCTCATAATCATCTGATAGGCTGAATTATGTCGTCGGCGACCATTTGCAGCAATTGCTGACCGTGCTGATCGCAGCACAGCCCGTCAATGGATCTAGATCCAGGCACCGGCCCATAAGGCTTAGGCTGCCTGTAGGCATCCAACACCGCCCCAAACTGTAAAAACCATTGTAAGTGGTATAGTTGGGTTTCGTCGAACCAAAGTTCCATCTGAAGGAAACTGAGCCTGGGATTGAATGGCCAAAAGAATCATCAGAGATGTTGTTTGAGATTGATCCAAGATCTGCAAAGAGACGAATGTTGAGCGACGTGAACCTCACATCATCACAGGCAACAAAGCTACACCAACGAATAATCAGGAATATCGTCAAAAAGACTTTTCTGTACAACCGTGAATGTGTAACTACAAATTTCCACCGTTAAGGATGCTCTCAGCAGCCTCTTTGATAGCAGCCTGCGCCAATAGAAACAGACTTGGCCCAACACTAATCCTCGCAACGCCAAGCTCACCCAATTCCTTAGTTGACAGCGCATCCTTGGTTCTATGCGCCAGCTTGACCGCAACCCGTCCATCAAGCTCTTTCACCAAGGTCTCAACCCATGCATTTCGTAGTCCCCGTCCTGATCCACCCCAGTAAAACACGGTTGTCGCACCGGCTTCAAGGTACGCTTTTCCACGTTTGATAGCTTCTTTCATCGCCTCAGCTTCTGAGAGGCCTGTGTCGACATGGAAGGTGTCGCATCGTGCATTAATGACAAAATCGGGACAACCGGCGTCAGAGGCAGCTTTGAGAGCCGTCTTAAGACGTTGAACTTGTTCGTCGATAGGATAGAATTCGCCAGTTTCAGAGCTCACATCCTCGATGTTGGCGCCAACAACACCAAGCTCAACGGCTCGCTTGACAGTAGACTCAATCTGAGACCCATATCCATCCTGCAAATCGGCAGACAACGGAATGCCAGCCGCTTTGGCGAGCGGTGCAACCTTGCTAATCGCTTCCATATTCTGCTCTAGGGTGAGCTCCTCATCCTGGATACCGTATGTCGCTGCAACAGCCCAAGACGCCGTCGCTAGAGCCTTGACTGGCTTAGAAGTCCCATTGTTGAGGGACGTAACAGTTTGGAACGAAGCAACGTCCCAGATATTCGGGAAGACAACTGGTGATGAAGGCTTGTGGAGAGCCTTGAGCTGTGTGGCGAGGTCGTTGGACATGGTCGGCCAATGTTGATGATGTATATGATGTTGGTAGTTCTTTGTTTATATCTCAATTACAATATTTCTCACGACCTTTATAAGCCAAGACAGAGGAGTCATACTACATGCCAATACTTTAGTGTTGCTTTTGATGTAAAGGGCGCGGGGGACGGGGTAATTCGGCATAAGACGGGTTAGGTGAGTTATACCGACCGCGTCAACGAGGCTTTTCAACACCAATTATTGCATTTTGTGGCATCGTTTTATGATCCTCACCAGATTCAAGAATCTTCATACACTCCAACATGGCCACTTTCCCTTCACATTGCGCAGTTGATCTTCAAGTTCTCCCGTGAAGCTGGACAAGGGTACCTCGCTAGACTTTCCGCTTGGGATTCGCTTGTGGGGATGTCCTATTGCGATTCAATGCTAGAGGACGGCTCAGCAGTGTTACAATATTTATGAATCGTGCCACCGCTTTGTCACTGAATCATCTTCAGTGTTCCCTCACACTCAGTGAATCGCTTGCTATACTATCGCAGAATGCCTCTCCAGCTGCGCCCTGCTGTCCCAGAGGACATCCCTGAGATGTGCCAGGTCTATTACTCAGCCTTTGGTGACACCTCTATCGGAAGCCGTATCTTCACGTCCGACATTGAAGCCTCAAATCGCTTCTTTCAGAAGACCTTCACGGATGATATGGCAGACCCTCTGTGTGAATTACTCGTCGTCACGCACAAATCATCCCCAGACTCAAAAGACGAAAAGGTAGTCTCGCTAGCGAAATGGACCCTGCCTGGTGCCCCAATTCAAGATCCTCCACCAGCCGAGGCATGGCCAGCAAATGGTGATCTCGCCGTCGAGTTCTTTGGCGCTATGACACGAGGCCATCGCAAGTTCATGGGCGATAGGCCTCATTATTACCTTGAAGTCATCTGCACGCACGAGACCTGGCAACGCAAAGGCGCGGGCACTTTACTTCTCCGCTGGGGCATTGAGCGTGCAGACACAGATGGTCTCCCATGCTTTCTTGAGGCTACACCCAAGGGAAAGCTGGTGTACGAGAAGCTCGGATTCAAGGTAAAAGCTGAGGAGGAGTTTAAGTGGTCGTTCGGAACGTTTGTGGAGACGTACATGGAGCGTGATGCAAAGATCGAGAAACGGACAATGACGCGGCCGAAATCCAAGGAATTCGCGTAGATCTTTGTGTCACTGAATGGAGATTTGCGCGGGTTACAAACACTGGGCTGCTTTTCTGTCTCGCGCAGGTGGGCTCCTTGCATCTTCAACTCTAACTACGAAATGATACACAATGTGCACCTGCGAATGGATACATTATGCCTGCGGGCACGAAGAAAAAGCCCGATATATCGACTGCAAGACGAGAAAAGAAATCGCCAACAGCTCAGAGTGCTCGTGCGGGAGTGTTGACTTTACCGTTATTCGATCGCTAAGACCCTGCGGAGAGGCCGGATGTGCATATAAAGAGTGCATGATGAGAGGATGGATGTGTTGCAGATGTGGAAAGGGACCTAATGAGGGTCATGTTTGCAAGCGGGATGTTAAGCCATGGCGATGGGATTACTTTGAGTGTGGGCATGATTTCTGTAAGGACTGCAGACCATGGAGAGGAGAACGACAAAATGGACATCATGGAGGGCATTCCCGAAGGGGATCCAAGGAGATGATTCGAAAGGGACTTCATGTTATCACCGGAAGAACAGAGAGGGTTTGACGATGTTACGACGTTTACGGTCCATGAGGGTAAGCTCTAGAGCAGAATCTGCATATTGAGTTTGCAAATGATACCATCGAAGCTATCACGGACGTTTAAACTCGGCCGAGAGACCGATGGACCTGACGATCATCCCCGTAATGGCTGCAAGAAAACCCACGAGAATTCTCGAACAAAAGTGCCAAGAATTACGGAATCTCCGGACTTTTTCTGCCTCGGCCTGGGACTATGACATCTTATCATGACGTCGACCCTCTCCCAACTTTTTTTTTTAGTTACAAAAATTCTTGAAGATCTTGGTAACTGTGCACAAGACACTTGCAGCCAATTCGGTCACCAAATGGGAATAGATCAATGCTTCCAAGCCTTTGCAGGTTTTTTTGTCGCGTGACTTGCCCCTTGTTTTATGATGCTGACGATGATGCTGTGAAACCTTTTTTTACTCCTTTTTAATTATTTATGTTGTTTGCCTTCCCCCTTTTTTTCTTGTCGAAATTGCTGGCTCTTTCAGCGAATAGTTTGTTCATTTTCTTGCATGTGAAAGAAGTACTGTACCCTTGTCATAGCGTCCCGTCCGTGTAAACGTCACCAAAGAGATACAGCCACAATTAGATTATTTGCATTGTACGAGCAATCCAATCGCCGACGGAGTTTCGCTGTCTTTTCTCTTCCTAAGCACAAAATTTCCATCACTATTGAACCTACATAACGATTATTATTTCTTCATTCTCTTCATCCTTGATTGATACAGAACACGCGACACTTCATTTCTGCGCGCCGTCGCATCAACCTTCACCATGAACGCCTCCAAAATGTCCTACCTCTCGCGCTTAAGCCCCATTCCCTCATTCCCTGAGTACACAGGGCCCTACAAGGTCGGCACCGTCGATGTCGAGATTCCTATCTCTGAACTTGAAGCGCCCAGCGCTGCCCCCGAGGGCGTCGATAAGATTCATACCGTCCAGTATCGCATGTTCTACCCAGCTGTTCCCGAATCGCACGAGAAGCACATCAGCTGGTTGCCCAATCCTCAGCGACAGCATCTCGTTGCATACACAAAGTTTCTTGGTATTGGGCCTATGTTGGCAGAGTTCCTTTCGTGAGTGCGCCGAATTTGCATCGTTCCCAAGACTTGCGCTGACAATCTGCAGATTCCTGCCCCGACATCTTCACTATACTACGATCCCAGCCCACAAGAATGCGAAACTCCTCGAATCGTCGACCGAGAACAAGCGATGGCCAACCATGATCTTTTCCCACGGCCTGGGAGGATGCCGAAACTCCTACTCTTACATCGCAGGCTCCCTTGCCTCTCACGGTATCGTCGTCATCTGCCCTGAGCATCGCGATGGCAGCGCCGTCGCAAGCTTCATTCGAGTTCCCGAGAAGCAAAACGGAACCATTACCTCCAACGGCCGAATTCATGTTCCCTACGAGAAAATCTCACACGATGTCAGCCCCGCAGTCTACCAAGCCCGCGAAGCCCAACTCCGAATTCGATGCTGGGAGCTCGGTATGATCCATCAAGCCATGCTCGCCGTTGACAATGGCACACAATTGACCAACCTGAACCGCTCGACCCCTAGCCTCGATCAATTCATCGGCCGATGCAATATCCACGAGCCTGGCAGCATCATCTTCGCTGGCCACAGCTTTGGAGCAGCTACTATGACACAATTCCTCAAGAGCACATACTACGCCGATGTTCCAGAAGTTGCTGCCATGGAGAAGCCCATCTTTGTCCCTGCTGAGGGCAGTGATATTCGAAAGCAGGTCACTGAGAAGACACTCGTCATGTTGCTCGACATGTGGTGCATGCCCTTGATGGCTCCCAACTCGGCACCCCTGTTCAATCTGCCGCTACCTGCATATGCCGACAAGGCCAGCGCCCCTGGTGGAAAGGCTATTCTGGCAGTCGAATCGGAGCACTTCTTCAAGTGGACCGACCATCTTCATATGAAGGCGCGTGTTCTAAGCCCAGATCCTACCGTCAAGGTTGTTACAACCCAGCTTTTCGAACGACCCAGTGGCTACAAGATGTCAGAACCAAACTTCTTCTACGTCGTCAACTCTGCGCATCTCAACCAGTCCGACTTTGGAATCTTGTTCCCATGGTTGACGCAGAAGATCTTCAAGGCTGAACAGCCCGAGCGAGCGCTTCGTCTTAACCTCCGCGCCCAGCTCCAGATGCTTCGCGAGAACAACGTCCCCGTCGGTCGTACATTCGCTGGAGACCTCGTTGACGGTACTTCGTTCGATAAGCTCGACAAGTTCAACGAAGCCAACGGCGATCCCTGCAAAGACGGCATCAACAATGATCAAGCCATCTTTGACAAGAGCGGCAACAACCCTGTCGAGTTCTGGCGATGGATCGACATCATTGGTCTTGGAGACGCCGGGGGCAAGAAGACGACCGAGAAGAAGGTCGAGGAGGGCGAGGAGGAGATGAAGGGCGAACTTGACCCCAGTGAGGAGTTGCCCGGAGCACCCCCTTCTATGACCGGAGCTGTCAGTGCTGCTGCAGCGTGAAAGGACGAACAAAATGATTATGAAAGCGATTTGATCTTTGGATGGGATTACTTGGAGATACCTCTTTTGGCGCAAGGTTGGGAAAGGCATATTGGTTTTGTAAGGATATTGGATACGAATACCAGCTAGACTTTTTTGTAAAGTACGAATACATGTTGATTCATTCTTGACTTGCGTATCCCATCTCAATGACCAAAGTTGACCCATCATTCTGCCATATTCCTCCAACGCCACCAAACACACACTTTGTCGATACGGGATTCCACATTCGTCCTGTTAGTTCATCGCTTTTGATAGTAAGATTTCCTGTGGGCGCGCACGCAACAGTTCTGCATGTTCCTTCTGTTGCGGATAGGCATTGGTCAAATGGGATGTAGATGTACTGTTCTGCATCGGCGAGGTTCGACCATGCGGCTATGGCGACTGGGCAGGCGAGTCGATCGGGACCAGGTTCCTGGTTATCGTTAGTGATGCCCGAATGTCTGACATTGGAGGTCTTGCCGTGGTGCAGGCGAGTGTCTCGGGTGTGTCGTCAGATGGAGGTTTGAGATATTGAAGCGGATCGAGGCCTGTTTTGTTGAGGAAGGAGGACCATGGGAATTGATCTATGATAGGTGATGATCCATCGTGGCGTCTCTGCAGAATTTCTTTTGCATGCGATAAGGAGGCCAATAAGATAATGACTGTCTTGATGAACATTGTGAATAGTGCCGTTTGCAGATGATGATGCTGTGTCTCAGGGTGATGTCAGCAAGAGATATAAGTCACGTTGGCCGTTCCTTACTGAAAACTCAACGTTTCAATATCAATACATTCGATGGACTGTCTGAAAGGTCGTGACTGCAGCTTCTAGGATGCCTCAAACCGAGGCTTATCACTCTGATCGAGATTCATGCTTCTTATACTTCCACACAGATACAGTTCTTCTGTCATTACTTGGCTAGATATTGGTAACTGTGGAAACACTGCTTCTTCGCTTATCTTTCGCCAGATGAAGCATGGCAGACGTCGTACGTGAGGTCTTGATCGGCTTGGTTCCGGATGCGGAGGTGGAACGGGCGGGCCGCAGGTTTGTGTTCTCGATCCGGTGAATGATCCTGAAGACACGAGGATATAAACGGGACTTTGAAAGACCAAATACAGGCTCTAGTCCAGACTCATCTTCAGACAAAGCATCACTTAGCTCTGGCAGTTTGTTGAGCAGAACATACGCGAAACGAGGCTACCCGAGACAATGAGGCATCCTACTTACATTAAAAGTACCTTGGCTTAAATTGTTAGCTTACCACTAACAGTCCTTCTTCTGTGTAATCGAGCCATGTATTTCACTGTCCCTATCGCTTCATCGGCGCCCAGTAGCCTATCTCTGCGTAGCTGCACCAATTGAGGTCATAGAAGTGAGACACCACACCCAAATTAATGTGGAGTGGCCTGTGTAACCAGCACATACGCCGGGCCGATAATGATGCTTAATGGGAGGAAAGCCACCACAGATTTAGTAGGCCCTCCAATCTACGCTTGTTCTCGCTTTTAAAGGGCTAAGAGATCAGGCAAACTCGTGCTGCTTGGCAGTGACTACATTTAGTCTGCTGAATGGTACGCTCGAACAAGGAGATCCACGACTCTTACAGGGTGTGGCAGACGTGGACCAGGACCAAGAATCAGTGAAGATTTTGATTGCCAGTCATGCGAAGTCGCAGTATCCTATCACTGTCGTGAGCATGAGTGAGGATCCGGAGGAGAGGCATATAAATGCTTTGGTTGCTGCTTACAAAGAGTTGGAATTAGACGACGCTGTTCCAGCTCAACGCAGTTGAAAATGGGGGTCAGTTTTGGACATATAACTAGGTCACAACGCCGACTAGGAAGTCAAATGTTAACCTGAACATGTCTGGTCTCTTACCATGTGACTGACCGATATTTAACCCTTAGGAATCTTTATAAACATATAGAGAACCAAATAAATCGGGGAAATGCTTTGATCGAAAATCAATCAACTATCAAATTCTACAGAGTTTGATCCACCAATAATGATATTACGCCTTTGTCTGGCCCTTCTCCCAAATTCCCTTGAACATTAAGCATCTTGGCTCAATGATATTTGCGTCTACAACTTTCATACCCTTCTTTGGTTTGTTGCCAGACTCAGGTCTCACCCCGTCTCCAAATACACCGATCTTAGAAACTTGCGCCCATCCAGGTCCATTAGTGGGATCTCTGATGAACTTACCCCAAGCCTTCTGCATCTCTCTACTCAACTTCTCTTGAAAGTCTGTAGCACCTTTCTCGGGAAATGTCCCAAAGAGAGTTGGAATCTCAGCGGAGTGGTATGCTCCACTGCCCATGAAGATCTCAGTATTGCCAAAGCTGGCATTGTAGATATATCGCCAAGTCTTGATACCAGTCTCCGCAAAGTCCTCCGCGACATACCGAATGGGACACTGCATGCCAATCTCTGTGGCCATCCTAGTGACCTGATCAAATTCGTTGTTGATGCCGGGAGATCCAATAGGGTAGAAGAACTTGAGTACCGAGACTTGAAAGTCACTTATCCCAGGGGCCAAGGTTTTCAGAGCATTCTTTACGGTGATGTTCATGAAGTCGGGGATTCTTGCCTCATCTGCTGTTGTGCCTAACATGACAGGAACTCGAGCCATGAGCTTTGGATTATCCTTGGACTCGAGTCGGATGTCGCGGGGATAGTTTGATAGAGTGACCCCGTCATCGCTGAGAGGTGCAAAATCGAGCATGCCCCTTTCGATAATATCCTTGAGCTTGGCGGCGGGGACCTCGCGCATGCACTTGAGGACTTTATCAAAGTCGCCTTTGTCACAACCAGCTAGCTTGGTTGCATTCTTCCAAGAGCCAGTGGGTGTGACGTTTGTTGAGGCAGAACCAGACTGAAGAATAGCTGCACGGAAAGGGAGAGGATCTGGTGGAGCCGTGATAAGGTCATCGACACTTCCTGCGCCGGCACTTTCACCAAAGATGGTGACTTTCTTGGGATCTCCTCCAAAGGCAGCGATATTGTCTTGGACCCAGGTAAGGGCTAGTCGTTGGTCAAGGAAGCTGTGATACGTCAGTATAAAAGTACAGTTGAAATGCTTCATCTTGCTCACCCAAGATTCCACTGTCCCTTAGGCAAATCGTAGGTTTCAGGAAATCCAAAGATATTGGTCCTGTAATTGACAGTAACGACAACAAGGTCTTCATAGCCTGCCATCTTGGATCCTTCATAATAAGGCAAAGATCCAGACCCATGACTGAAACTTCCTCCATGAATCCAGAACGCAACAGGCTTTGAACCGGCCTTTGCACCTGCAGGAGCATAAATGTTCAAGTTCAAGCAGTCTTCACTAGTCCCTGCTGGCGGTCCAGGTGTAGCAAAAATCTCAATCGTTCGATTCCGTCGTTCTTCGGGATAGTTAAACTTCATAAAACAAGCGGGCTTGTAAACGGTGGCATTGTGGGGAGTATCCCATGATTTGGCTGGTGTTGGGGGACTGAAGCGGATAGGCTTTTCAGCGAAGGGGATTCCGAGAAATTGATTGACCTTGGTCTTGGAGTTAGGAATTGATGTTGAAGTTCCTATTATGATGCCGTTGTCTATGGTAGCGGTTGGGTTACTGGGGGTTTTAGATTGCGGAAGTGCGAGCGTTGCTCCCGCACAAAGAGCGGCTGTAAGAAATTTGCAGGAAACCATGATATTTACTGATGATATTGTAACATAATCGAGATTCAGGGAGAGTCAGAGCTATTTATACAGTAGCCACCTCATCTTTGACCATGTCATCGCTATGTTAAGAAGCCAAGACGTAGTGGACAAGCTTAATTCCGCTGTCAAGATCAGCAAGCATTAAACGTCTCAGCTCCGCCTGTTCTCAGTGGCTCAGATACCGAAATACCAATAAATAGCCAATGACAAGCCCAGACTTATACCGAAACTCTGACTTTGTCAAGGCGATATTGACCTTACTGAACTTGGTAGCATGCTGCGCTTCGTCTGATTGGTCAGATGTTGAGATGTAGTTCTTGGCTTTACAAGGGTATCGCAACATGACGCCCAAATGGGTTTAGAGCAGAGCCTCAGCTCTACCTCGATGGGGCTGTAAGTTCGCACAGCCTCTGACGAAATGAAAAGCCGAGGCTGATAAGGGTCGATCCATTCTATGATGTCAGGAATTCCGCTCTATTCTCTCAGTCAGAGGAGACTGTAATTTCCGGCCTAAGAAAAGAACAACATCGGGCTATCTTCTCAGACTATCAGGTCTTTTTATCAAGCCGAATATTATGTTAAGATATCTATATAAGGCAAACGTTCTTTCTATTACTGTCCATCAGCTTCTTCAAGCTTGTCCGGCGTTTGTAATTCTTGGGCATATCAAAATCAAGCCTCCCAATACGCTCATAGTATTGGCCTGCCTTTCGCAAGAGGATCCCTTCACATGATACTATAGTATCAGGATCAACAACAGTTGACTCTTCAAACTCACTCGGACTGATATATCCCCGCAATTTATGAAGCACATGCAGTCCGAGAAAAAGCACCTCTAGCATATCAAATCTCTCGGGCATAAGTCTTTCTGCATCGTATTCAAAATTCACGACGTATTCGTCTTCACTGTCTTCTGTGAAGCTGACGTGACATGAAAACACAGGTCTTTGCACTGTTGAAACGATATCGGTTTCCGTGAAAGGTCTTCCCAGGTTTATGTTGAGCAGTGGAGCTTCGAATCGAAGAGCACGTTTCTCGGGAGTATCGAGATTTATGGGGCTACGGTTGTACGGGAAGACATTTGGTTTCGTAGACCGTATGAAAGAATGTGAGACTGGAAGAAACCAAATATTGAGGCACCTCGTAGCCCAAGACCAGGTGGGAACTCCGGCCAGTGCATTGTGAGCCTTGTCGTACGAATTCTTCCATAGCAACCCATCAGCAAGGTGTGAACAAAACACTCCGGCAAAGTACTCGCCACCGTGAAGGTCAACAAGTCGGTTAGCCAAGCCTTGAATTGCAACGAGTCGATCAGTCTCGTAGGTGAAATGCATCTTAGAGTATCGTGAGATAAGCTCCGTCCATGCAATCGCCATAGCATGGTCTGGTTCTTGAGCAAAACTGATATGAGATTGGCTGGTTCGTATATCTCGGGCGGTGTTCAAATCATATCCATAAGTAGGACTTTTCGTTGTTCCGTGACACTGCCATATCAGGGCATGCTTGGACCAATGGAGGATACGGGGTGACAGAACAGCCTCTTGTAAACACCATCCTCTTGATCTCAGCGGCTCAGCGGACCAATCTTCTGAAGGCGATGGCCTTGGTACAGAGAGACAGATATACTCTTGCTTTTCATTTCTGAAAGCCAGTGCACACGTTCTCAGAGGATACCTTCGAGCATTCTGCTTGACAAAAAGCCCCTGGCTGCTATCCGAAGCAGCGGACGCCGAGATGAGGCATTTAGAATGTAGGTAGTACGATCCAATGCGCGGTGCTTCTGTGTTCCAATCGTCAAGGTACACATCGTCAAGATCTGATTGAATGATACATATAGCATCAATCCACAAGTATCGAAACTTCAATAGCCGCGTAAGTTGTATAGCATCTTGTATAGTCTTCGGGAGGCTATGTACTGCGATCCCTTCGCGCCTTGCAGCTATTGTTGCTCGGGTAGTTTTTGCGTGTCCATTGGTAGAGCCCCAGCAATAACTGAGCGTCAGATACTTAGGGATGAAGTCTTTGTGCAAATCCTCGGCGGTTACGATGAGTCGAACAATACTGGGATCATTGGTATCAACATCTATGAGGCGTGTTGGTGGATTTGGTTTAAGATCTTGACGAAACCACCCGACGTCGCATTCTTGGTGAACGCCACGTTTGTTGATACAATCGTGAATTTGATCGCAAAGCTCTTCTTTCAAGTCCGGCTCCAAGGCCATTTCTAATGATATTGGTGCAGCCTTCTGACGTTCCGTTAATTTCTTAGAGTGCCATGTGTGATCCCCTTGACTTACTGTATTTTCTTCATCTGCTCTAATGAGATGTACGGATATCGAAAGGAGAAACAGAATATCTCCAACATAGAATCTGCAGACTACAGGCCAATTACTCGCATCGAGATTATCCCCTCTTCCTGATAACCCGACGTAACTTTTCGTGGGCAACCATAGGAAACAGGGACCTGCCGGAGGGGACTTTAAGCCTATGGTTCTGAGACTATAGTATACCGTAGCACGAAAACTACGGCAGAGACAGCAACCTCCGTCAGCGGAGATCTCAAGGGCGTCGAAAGAGTCGTGATGCTGAATAGCAGCCGACGTCTGCCATTCTTCGAGGTTCCATGGTATGCGGCGGCAAACATGGCACCTCCATTCGACGGAGGTTCTACACTCCATGGCTAGCGCCCCTTGGGCGGTTACTTTTGTGCTTCTGGGAGACTTCAAACATGGAGTCGTTAATTTAAGAAGTGAAAGTCTAGAGACGTGGCACATGATAGTCAGCAAGCCACCATGCAGCTCGGTATTCTGACCAATCAACTAGTGCTAGCAATGCTTTACTAATGGGGAACTACGCCTAGACAAGAAGTGTTTCCAATTTCAGATATTTATCCACTGCAAAGATATGTACATGTAAATATCATAAATGCGTCTCTTGGGGCGGCGAAAAATCTTAGTTCTCGTCCATGAGGTAAACATCGCGCTCGAGGGCACGAGTGTTGAGCTTGTATTTGTTAGCTAGGCTGGTCTCTGTCCTAAGAATTGACTAAACTTACCACCTTGGAAGGGATGTTGTGAAGATCAGTGATACCAATCTGAGCAGCATCCGCAAGAATCTCAGTCTTGAGAATCTGGATAAGCTTCTTAGGACCCTCGACGCCGTAGACGTTGGAGTACATGAAACTTCACGAATATCAGCAGAAGTCCTTAAGTGATTGATGAAAGTAGAACTTACGGACGTCCGAGACCAACAGCCTTGACTCCAAGAGCCAACAGCTTAATAACATCACTTCCGTAACGGACACCGCTGTCGGCGATAACTTCGGTCTTTTTGAAGATCTCAGGGGCGTTGCGTCGAAGCTCATATGCAATCTCAAGTGGAGAGGGAGAGTAGTCGACTTGACGACCACCGTGGTTTGAGAGCCAGATACCATCAGCACCAGCCTCAACAGCACGAAGGGCGTCCTCGGTGGTTGTGATACCCTTGAGGATGATGGGAAGCTTGGTGTGAGACTTGATCTCGTTGAAAAGATCCCAGCTTAGAACAGAAGTGGCACCATTACTGAAGTTTGTTAGTTATTGTTGGTATTGTGAGAATGTGAACATACGCATTGGTAGTGTCATAGCGAGCAGCTCGGTGACGAGTAGATGTAGCAGGAGCATCAATAGTCCAGACAAATGCCTTGACGCCCTGGTCCTCAGCACGCTTCATGGCATCCCAAGTAACAGAGAGGTTGGCATTAGAGTAGATCTGCTGGAAGATAGTGTTTCCACGCTTCTTGCGTTGAGCACCAATTTCTTCAATAGTCTTGGTGGCATAGAGAGCAGCAACATAGAGAATATCTTCATCAGCAGCTGCGTCAACAAAGTTGAGTTCACCACGGTCAGAGTCACCATAGCCAGCACGAGCGGCAGGTGAGATGAAGATTGGAGCACTGAAGTTATGGCCTAGGATAGTAACACCAAGAGTCTCGTTGAGGCCCTTCACGCTGGCGAGCTGATGAGGTCGAAGTCTAGCTTTCTCCCAGACCTTGAGGTTGTTGCGGTAGGCCCACTCTCCTGCAGCAGCAGTACGATAGAAAGCGTACTGCTGATCAGTCAAGACTTGACGGGCAGCAAAATCGAAGTCTGGAACGCCTCGGATATCTTTGAGAAGAGGACGGCTGCCCTCGGTCCAGTCGGTGCTGGCGAGGTAAGTGTCAAGACCAGTGTCAGGCTCGTTGAGCCAGGGCTCATAGGCGGAGACGGCAGCCGCCAGAGAGGCTATGATAGTTGAGGTACGCATAATGAATGGATTGACCTGCCGGAGGTTATAGAAAGAATGACTATAGCACCTAGGCTAAGAGAATAAAGAGTGAGGTGATGAGTGAAAGACGAGTCAAAACATCAGGACCAACAGAAAGAGGAAACACGTCTGGATAAATGGAAATACGCGGCCCAAGACACCCACAGACAAGACTTCGGTTATGGCATGTCCTTGAGTTTGCTGGTGGAGCTTCATGCCCCGAGGTTAATGAAGAGTGGGCACTGCTATGCCTTCTCGGATCTAGCCTGTGACACTCGTGGGGGTTGATGTCTTGATCAGATTGATAAGATCCATCAAACCAAGGAGAGGAAGAGGAAATATTCGCCGAGGATTTATTGTTAGTCTAGACTAGGCAACTATAGGCGTCATTAGTATGAAGATTGTGGCTGTCAGGTTTATTGTCCAACACTTGAAAATCATTTTCTTCTGCTCCTGCGATCCTTTCTGATGGTATCAACAAAACATGACTATGCCAAGCCCTGGCTCTCCAGAATAGCCGGTCGAGACGGTGAAGAGCCTCATTGATTGCATGAATGATACAATTCACTCTCTCATATCGCGAACATCCCATACTCCACTATTCATCCCGTCTTGACCGCGATGAAGTGGGATGCTGAATAACCCTCATTTTAGCCTCAACTCCACGATCCAACAGTTGTGGAGAGCATCCACATTGACAACGGCCAAGGGTCTCTAACAGGAAAGCAGAAACCTCTTGAAGACAAAGTGGGTTCTGCCATCTTAAGCAAAGACTCATACTACTGTTGATAGAGGGAACGATCGTCGTATTTTGGTTTGACAGGCTAGCTTGCAACATGGTAATTTTTCCGTCCCGCAAGGCGAAACTTTAAAAGATTAATCTGGCACGGACTATCCACTAATAGACGAAGCAGCATGAAGGAGTTGCTCCTTTAGGATTCTTTGATCGAAGTGACATTCTTGGCGCATGAGCCGATCAGCCGGAACCTTTGCGTTGGTTTCTATGAAACTCATCCTTTCAAGATGAATCTTTGCTTCTTCTGGATCATGAAACACCAGAATCTGCTTGTTGTCTATGCTGAATGTTTCATCCGCCCTATTGGTGTGATTTAAAATGACCGGCGGATAATTCAGCATAGGCATAACAGTAGCCTTATTCTTAGTCAGTATACTCGCCGAGTCTATAAATGCTCCGAGGATGAAGCTACCGAAATGCGCCGAGTTACAGGCTTTGCAAAGGAATTTTCGACAAAAGAAATTTCAACATAATTGTCTACTGGTGGTCTCTTACTCTATTAACATATCCTCGAAATCTCCATGCGTTACGTAGGCGATGCCGGCAAACTTATTCTAGCGGCCTAGCCTACCTCAAGATGTTAGAAACGCAACAACTGCTATTTTACTACCAGGTGCCTTAGATTCTTATAAGATATAGCGCAAATACATATCACGTTCGGCATCAGCTAAGAGCTGCTACGAGTGCACAAGTGAAAGTCGATACTAAAATCAAGTTCTACCTGGTTGAAAAAAACCTCACTTGAGGGCTAACTGTATTGCCTGGTAAATACTATGATAACTCATCGAGATACATAGAGTCGAGAGCATCTTGCTCAACCTTCTCACGCCATAATTCGTACTTTTCAAGGAGTTTGCTGTGCTCTTTCTTGAGAATTCTGGGGTTCTGATTTTCAAAGGCCATGCTCCAGATGGCTTGGGCTTCGTCTTTTGTTGTCTTTCTTGCTGAATCGATTCCTTGAAAGTTTTTAGCTGGTGATCTTTAATACTGTCTGGTAAACTCACCAATATGCTGTGCCTGAACTGGATATAAAGCATATCTATCAAGACCATTGCTCGAAGCAATCTCGTCGAGCATCAAGTCTATCTGCCCTTCCCTCCTTTCCTTTAGGCTACCAATCAGCAAGGGGACCTTAGCTCTTGGGAAAACCATTGCTTGCGAGCAACATCCGAAAGGTTCTTTGAATACTCCAGGGGGCGGGGGAAATAGTGATGCTTTTCCCGACTGGTACAGCAGTACTATCAGTCCCGGTACCAGTATAAAGGCTGTTACCGCGAGTGTCTCCAGGTCAAGATACTTGCGTGAACCTCGCCATTGTCGACGTACAAACCACACCGAGGCTGCGATTCCTATGTCAATGCCTAGGATAATCAAGAATTCGTTGTTTCCGCCAATCTCCCGACTCGACCACCCTGTTGATCTCTCTTGGTTGAAAAGACGCATGAAGAGCCAGTTGCCAGAGTCAGATATCTGTGACAGTCCTTGTAGAAATCTCATAAACCATCCCTCGGCAAGAATGATGTCATCCTCAAACATGCCAACATATAATGCGCCGGTGGCGTAACATCGTTCAAGGGCGTAAGTGTAATCGAAGACGCCTTTTTCTTGATATCGTCCATTTTGTTCGAGGTCGTTCAGGTGTTTCGTTTGTGTATCGTTGAGATCGTAGGTAAAGATGTCGTCGGCCGCACGGTTTAGCCATTGGTGGTTCCAGCCCGGATGGCGTCTCGGATCGGTTTCCGCTATCAGGACAGATATATGTAGATCGTCTCGTTCTTCCTTCACGAGGCTGTGTACCATACTCCCTATTGTCGTCTGTTATTCTAATGAGCCTGAGCACAGGTGTTTGTTTGGGATAGCACATACGGGGAGGTATTGTGTCTCACGCTTCACAGAGCTCAGTGCTACGCAGAGAAGTTTGTTTCCATTTCGTGCCTTGCCCAGAGCCGGCTTTTTCAGCTCCGGGTACGAGTTTATTAGCTTCTCAACTTGGGCCTTGCGATGTTCGGAGTACCGTGTCTCGTATGCTCGTGCCTTGTCGAAGAAGACACTACCAGGGTCACGATAAAAATGAGTCTGCCCATACCAAGTCAGGCATAATAGCAAAGCGATGCATGTTGTCGCTTTCACGAGTAGACTGAGCATATTGAAGAAAATGATTACTCTAAAAGTCACGGTAGAACATCCAAGGGATGATCGCAACTTCTATGCTATTGAAAGCCCCATAAGTTTCGCTCCTTCTCGGTAGTAATTACATGATCAATGCGCTTGCTCAAGCTGATCAAAGTCTAATACTGGGTAATTACTAACATTTCTAACGCCGCGGCCAATGACGCTTTTGGAAATTGCCGATTTTCGTATAATCCTACAACGCGAAGGATCTACACTTGTTTCGAAGGATGTTTAGTTTCATGTTCCAACCAATCAGAATATTCGTAGCGTTCAAAGGAAACGAAGCAGCCAGTCAGACGCGCGTCGGTGAAGATCACAACTGATGACGTTGGTGTTTTGCGGAGAGTAGTGTTACTCTTATTGGTGTGGTATTTAGTAAATTTCCGACTCAAGACCGAAGGATCAAATCGAAGCTTCGTTCTTTTCAACTGTGACTAGAAGGGTATCGTAAGGCTAGCTAGGCCACAAATCCAAGCGGTAGGATTATTTGCTATGACTTCGAGTTGGCACAGTTTTTAAATAGAAGATGATACAGTGTGTTTGCGTATTGACAAAGACCCATATTATTTTGAGCTTTGTTCACGTCCAGAGGGACTCACGTGGAATATCACGAGTTCCATTGTTGGTTTGCTAGTGAAATGCTCTCCCTCATCTGCTACAGAAATCTGACAAGAAACGAACAGTGGGACTCTGTTGTAATTCAAAAGTACCCAAGGAAATAAGATGTCTCTTTATTATCAGGGAGTCTATTGTGATTTCGTATGCTGTATCTTCTCTAGCCTTGTCGAAAGATAAAATGTCACGCCAATGAGGAAACGTCAGCTAGGAATGCGTGAAGGTGATGAGCTGAAATGGCGCTTCTGTGAGGTATCATTCTGGCAAAGACGCCTTGTGGCCATTTGAAAATTATGCAGTTCACTTCCAGCAACTTAAAAACGTCGGTTCAGTGCTGGTGAACTTCTTATTCGTGAGTTGAGTCACTTTAAGGAGTATTCTCCTCAAATCGCTTAACCTAGACCCTCAGCACAAGAAACCGACTTGAGAAATCCAAGTAGGTAACAGAGGTAGACAAGAGGACTTCAAAGGGCTTTGAAGAGAGGTAAACAAAGGTTACCACGCGGGTCTATCCTTCGAGCTATAAACTATCACATGCTGTTATGTATCTCAAGAAAAATGTAGTTGCGCTGTTCTCTCTCAGTATCAAGGCTTTGAGATACATAGACTGATCTAACGCCTTCATATCAAGTAATTCCTCACATCGTGGCACTCTCATTGTTTATCACTCTTTAATACTAACTCGCTATACAAGGGTTATCAACTTAGAGAGCTCGTTTCTACTTCAACCAAGCACTGACGCTAACTTACAGACACCTTGAATACTTGACACCATTTTCTCCTCGGACTGACTCATAGAAAACAGTCAAAGAGATAACGACAAGCCGTGTATTTACCGCCCATTTTCGTCTTGCCCGGGACGGTGGGACAGATGAGATGCCAAGGATTGTAATTCGTCGCCCGCACCGTCTTTTACCAAGCAGGTATCACGAACCGAAGCGGCGACTCAACCATACATAATTCAGTGGCTTGAAACCAGTGAAACAATTCCAATAACACCACGTGTAGTGCACTCAAGATAGTTCAGTCTAGAAGCTTCGGATGTCTCGGGACATGGTCTTCTAGACTTGTCGTCTGAATGTCAGTGGAGATAGCTGGGATGGTTTCGATCTTGCGCAACCGACCTTGCTTCGCGTCCAACCCTGCTGTTTGGTCCAGAGAGTATTACAAGGGATGACTAGTCTCCGTCACTAACTGAAGGCTCGAGCATAAACTTTAAGCCACGAGGGTGACATACCTAGCTCACAATTTAGACACTACTCCATAATGCCTCAACGATAGTCTGGAACCATTACCCCAAATCACATCACCGTCGAATCACAACAACATGACCCCAGTATCAGACTATCTCTTGCCACGGAATCCCAGTTCCGCGCGTTTACGAAGTTGGAGTCAAAGCGTCTCCAATGCACAGCTAACATCTGATCACAGCCCCATAACACAAGATTAACGAAGGATTCATCTCAGCTGTATCTCAAATCAGGTGATCTGAGGACCATATTCTGGGGAGTCTGCAGCTGTGGTATGATGGACATGGTTAACACCTGGAGAAAGATTCAGATGATGGGGTTGAGATTTAAGATCTCGGACCTACGGAAACATCTGAGCTTCTTTATGGGGAAGATCACTCAAAACAGACATCAAAACAGCTCATTCCCTTTTTCATGATAACAAAACTTCTATCATGATACCATTCTCCCACATTCCGAAATGATCCGAATAAAAAGCATACATGCTTATCAAGGTATAAGCGGAAGCATTCCACGTATTGGCAGGGGTAAGTTTGCCACAATTTGGAGAAGAAGGTTGCCAACGCGTGGAGAAGAGCTGTATGAGTTATAATTGGGAAATGTTCTCGAAAACGCTAGAGGTGCGGGCGCTTGGGATGATAGGAGATTTTCGTTTGTGTCTCCAGTCTCGATGCATCGTCGGGGTCTGGAACTGTAGCACTTTGGGCTCTGTTACATTGTGCTCCCGACATTTCCCATGCGTTGTCTCTGACACGAACCCTAATCTCCCACTGTTGAACAAGCGTAACAGCCCCAGATACCCCGGATCTCAGTACGAAGTCAATATTGCATTAACCTCGGGCATTCGAAACCCCAAGCTAGAGGCATCGTTCCCCTCAAGTGGAGGTTGGAGATATCGTACGAGCCGCCACTAGAACGTCGAGACTTTGCGGGTTAAGAACCAATCAGTGCGATGAAGAGTGCGTCGACTTTTCCAGCCAATTACTTTGTTGGGTTAATGCTGATCGGAGATTGTGACTAAAGAAGCAGATGCAGCCTAGCCCCGCGATTCAATCTCCAACCGAGGAGGGAATCCTTGTTCACTTGGGGGAAAGACGGAGGGAAGATTAACTCGGGAGACTTGACTCGTAAAGCTTTGACATTCTTATGTTGTCTCTTATCTCTAGTAGTCGTCCATAGCGTCTCGCGATAACTTGGCTGGTCTTTAGCGACAAACATGCCAGAAGATAAACCGTTGGTCAACAATGAATGAAGTCGGCTGCGATGCGACGGATTTCCTCATCGAGAAAGCGTCTCGGCGCCAAGGCGAATATTTCCCGAGTCAGCCAAGACGCACTTTGTGAGGTCATCCCGTCGAAATGATCGCCAACCAAGAAAAACAGTCGGACTGCAAAAGTGACTGGCGAAAGAGGAGCGATGTTACAGAAGTGCCACGGCGATCAACTTCCAGAACAATCCTAACTCAGACAGACGATGCATGTAAGCATGGACCAACGAGGGATTAAACCAACATCGTCATGGGTCATGGCTACACCTCCAAGTGCACCCTCAGGCCCAGTAGACTTGTAGATGTAACCAAGAAAACGCCAATACCTTTCACCTCCAACGCCAAGGTCACTTATCGAGATGGAGACTCGGCATGTATCTCCCCCAATTCTGCCTCCACTTGTTTCTGTTTTCTCCGTAGTGAGTTACAGCGTAAGCGGGGACTGTGAAAAAAGTGTTCTACCCTTCTGCCCTTGCTAGCCTGCTGGTGGTTCTAGGTGTTAGTTGTCTCTCCCCGCAGAGTCAGTGGGTGTGATGGCCCCATATTTCACAGTGCAAGGTAAGCTTAACAAGGAGCCTTAAAATGTTATGTCAAACCCTAACGTTAAAGTGGTATAAGCGTAAATTCCGGGGTGATCGGCAGTTACACTGAGAAGCACAGCGGTGCCGTATTGCCGAATAGGCCTGGCTCGGCCTCTCCGCACGTTTTGGAGGTGTCCACCTTTTGTATGTATGCGAACGGGGTTGTCATCTTGGTGATTAATCCCATGTGACCAATTGTGTTTCATGGCTTCCAACCTTCTCTTGGTGGGAGATGGAGTGATACAGCGTCATAGGATATGGCGAGAGGGGATATGTCATATAACGAGACACCCAAAAACAAGACAACACAGCAAAAGCATTGAAAAGATTGACTACGTAGTATTCTTGTCACATTATCTTGTATAAACTCGTTCATTCGTATAACTTGCGGATCCGGTGTCATCCTCTTCTCCCCCGCATACACAGACAACAAACTCTCAACCTTGATCCCAGTCAACAAACCAAAATCCTTCCTCCCTCCGTTCTCACCCGGCTCAACAAATGATAATCCCTTCTCCATCCCCATACTTCCTTCGCTCTGCGGGGAACAGACAAGGCCAGGGTGGTCACCTCACTTTCTGTTCACGGGCATGATCCGCTAGACGAGTACCCCAACTTCGAGACCCTCCCCACGTCTACTGTAACTCTAGGGTTTTGTGTTGGTGCGACATGCTGGCGCGACATGTTGGCCTGTATGTTACCATTACACTGCATGGTATGGTAGGGCAGGGGACTAGTGATGCTGTAATCGGAGATAACACATTAAGCTTGTTGCTGTGATCTGCGGTCGTGGCTGGCGTTGCGCAAAGAGGATATAAATCCCCCCTCTTCTCCTCGTAAACTCAATTCTCCCCAACCATCATCACTTCCTTACTCCCTCCTCCCCTCAAGACCTGTATAAGCATCTTTACAATGGTCAAGCAACCATCTGCAGGCGAGCCCGCTGGCCCTGTGGTCAAGGGTGTCATTCCCACAGCTAAGCAGGCTCTCAGTGACCTCTTCATCTGGAAGCAGCGTGTCGTGATCACCAACGAACATGGCGAAGAGACCACTGAATGGCGGGACCCAGATCCCATCAAGAACCCCATCAGTCTGATGGCTCAGCTTTCTGGCAAGGATTGGATCTTTTTCCTTGTAGGATTCTGTGCCTGGACTGCTGATGCTTTCGACTTCCATGCTCTGTCTATCCAGACCAAGAAGCTCTCTGTTTACTATGACACCAGCAAGACCTCCATCACCACCGCCATCACCCTCACTCTCCTCCTCCGATCTGTCGGCGCAGCCATGTTTGGTCTCGCTGGTGATAAATGGGGACGCAAGTGGCCCATGGTCTTCAACATGATCATCCTCGGTGTCCTTCAGATCGCCACCATCTACAGCACAACCTTTCAACAATTCCTCGCCGTGCGAAGTCTTTTCGGTCTTTTCATGGGCGGAGTCTACGGCAATGCTATCGCCATGGCTCTCGAGTCGTGCCCGTAAGTTAACTCTACCCCAATTGAACTTCATCATGCCAAGTTTGCCAAGTTTGGAGAATGTTTTTATTTCCGTGCTAATATCGCTCTAGCTCCAACGCTCGAGGCTTGATGTCCGGTATTTTGCAGCAGGGCTACTCTTTCGGCTACGTCTTGGCTGCATGCGCCAACCTTGGCGTTGGAGGTAGCACTGAGAGTTGGAAGACCGTTTTCTGGATTGCCGGTAAGTCAACATAGTCAAGACCTATCATTTGATCTTTACTAACATTGATCAGCTGGTATCTCAATTGCCGTCGGTATCATTCGTATCTTCTTCCCCGAGTCCCAACAATTTCTCGAAGCCCGCGCCAAGGGCAAGAAGTCTTCCACACCGGGTGCTTTCTGGGCAGACTGCAAGAAGATGCTCATCGCCGAGTGGAAGATGTGCGTTTACTGTTGTTTCCTCATGACCTGGTTCAACTACTACTCGCACACTTCTCAAGACTCCTACACTACCTTCATGTTGGAGCAGAAGGAACTAAACAACTCTGCTGCTTCTCGTGCCTCAATTCTCATGAAGACTGGCGCTTGTGTTGGTGGTACAATCATTGGTTACCTTAGCCAGTTTGTTGGTCGTCGCCGTGCCATCATCGTGTCAGCTTTCATGTCTGCCCTCATGATCCCGGCCTGGATTCTCCCCACAACCGAGAGAGGACTGAGTGCTTCTGGCTTCTTCATCCAGTTCTTCGTTCAGGGAGCCTGGGGTGTCATTCCCATTCATCTCAACGAGCTGTCGCCTCCTGCCTTCCGATCTTCATTCCCTGGTGTCACTTACCAGATCGGCAACATGATCTCATCTCCTTCAGCCCAGATTGTCAACGCCGTCGCCGAAAAGACATTCGTCACACTCAAGAACGGCGACAAGGTTGAGGCTTATGGTCCTGTGATGGGCGTCGCCACTGCTATCATTGCTCTCGGTATCATGTTCACCACTATGTTTGGTCCTGAAAAGCGCGGCCGTGCCTTTGAGCATGCTGTTGCTGGTGTCCACGACGGAGACCTTCCTCAGCACCAAAAGAAGGATATTGAGACTGCTAGTGTTGAGCAGGTCGAGATGGACGAGAGAAACAAGAACAAGGAGGAAGCTTAAAATGACTTGGTTGCCCAGAACAGCTAGCTTAGACATGACACTTCAAGTTTGCAGCAACACAATCTCGATAGCCTATGAATACAATCATCAATGGCATATTTGCTTCCCCTCCCTCGTAAAAATTATGGTCTCTTATAGTTTCTCAATATCCTAGCAATCACGTCATGGTGTTCAGCCTCTGCAAACTCTGCTGCATTACGACACCTTTCCTCAATTGTGTCAGGTTCTTCGTCATTGTCTAACAGAAGATGGACCATGTCAAGTCGACCGTGTTCTGCTGCTCCTTCAAGTGCAGTTCTTCCATCAATCTCTGCTCCTTTGGCGCTGACACGAGCCCCATTCTCGATAAGGAAAACAGCCATCTTGATGTTGCCATTGATAGCTGCAAACTGAAGAGCAGTTGCCCCTCTTTCAGTCGGGGGTGCTTCATCGGCCGTCGCTCCATTTTCAACCATCCAAATGACAATTCTGTGATTCCCCTGTTTTGCGGCGAGCTGGAGAAGTGTAGTCTTCTCTGGAGAGGAGGAAAGCACCTCTAAAGAGGCACCGCGCTCGATAAGATATATGGCCTCTTGAGTGCGATTGTACTTGACCGCAAGCTGAAGGGCTGTCGCTGCGTAGCCAGGAGCAGGTTCTGTGTTCACTGAGGCTTCATTATCGACAAGAAGCTTAACCATATCAATGCTGCCATTCATTGAGGCGTACTGAAGAGCTGTCGCACGATAATCAAACGCTTTCGCATTGACGTCTGCACCGTTGTCAATGAGGTATTTGACCAATTCCAGATTCCCAACATTGGCAGCTGTTTGAATTGCAGTCTCACCCAATGCCGAAGCATCAATATCAGCACCGTGTTGGACAATAAGCTTGGCCAGCTCCACGTTGTTCCTGGCGATAGCCAACTGAAGGGCACTGTACCCGGTCGGGGCTGTGTTTACATTGGCTCCGGCTCTGACAAGTAGCTTTGCCAACTCTGTATCACGATTACCCACGGCTGCTTGAAGTGCAGTCATCCCGGTCCCTGGAGCATTGACATTGGCGCCTGCTCCAATAAGAAGCTTCGCTAGCTTCACTCTGTAGCCAGACACTGCTACTTGAAATGTAGCCCTTCCATTTGAAGCCTTCACGTCGGCGCCAGCTGCCAGAAGTAATCGGTGTTTTTCTAGAGCGCTAGGATGCCGAAAGACCTCTCGTGCGACTTGTTGAACCGGTGTCCCCCAAGTTGAAGGCTTGTTGACATCTGCACAATATTGTATAAGTACCTGGACTGTTGAGAGCGAGACGTTTTGGTCAAGAGCAAGTCCAAGTGCAGTTAGTTTACCCGAGATGTCCATCGCATTTGGATCTGCTCCTTTGGAGAGAAAATAAACTGCTGCGCTTTCATTCCTTCCTTCGAGGGAAACAAGAAGCGGTGTTTGGGAACCATCGATCAGACAATGTATGTCTGCTCCTTTGTCAACGAGCACCTCTATAAGCCTGCTGTCAAGTTGATATATTGCCTGCTTCAGTGGCATTTCGAGTCCGGTATTACAACAACAGCCTTTGCGACATATGGCCAGTGACTGCTGGTTGGGATTGGCGCCATTGTTGACCAAGCATTGTGCCATGTAATTCTGGCCATCATGCATTGCTAGCCAGAGAGGTGTTGGATATCCAGGCTGGGCGCAGTCGAGGCTGGGATTGACGGAACGTTGCATTAACAAGTCGAACGTTCTCTTATCGCCATTCCATATCGATTCGCAGATCAAGGAGCTGGCTTATTCTTCTTGGACAGTGAATACGCCAGCGTCGAGAACCTGAATAAGGTGCTTGAAACCGCACCGGATGGCGGCTTTAAGGGCTGATGAAACAAATTCCCGCGGCCAATGCAGCGCGTGGTGATTCCATATTTCCAATAGCATTTCTAAAAGGCGTATGTTGCCTGTAGCCACGGCTTCCTCCAGATAACTCGTTCCATCGAGGAAGTCGACGGGGCGACCCTGACTCTCCAGTTCCGATCACACGTAAGTCACAAGCTCAGCGGAGCCAAGCCTTAGTGCGGCTTGAAAAACCGTCGACCCTCTCTTCTTCGAGTCAGAGGGGGAAGGATCACCACCTTTCCTCAACAGAATTTTGAAGACATCATGATCCCCAGATTCAGCGGCAGCTTCCATTGTCGTCAGCTCCCCATCTGCTCCTCCAGTCAACAAGACTTCGATCAATTCTGTCTTCTTTTGTCCTCTCCTCGGTAAGCGGCACGCCAGTTGCAATGCCGTTGGGGTTGTTGGATGTCGAACGTCGACGGCTGCACCTGCATCTAGTAAGATTTGGTGATTTTTTCCAAGCACTTCTCGGCCGATATCTGCAGCGGTGTCCACAACATCCAAGATTCCAGGGTTTGTCCCATGCTCTCGAGAACTTCTGGCTCGATATATTTGTCCAGCATTGCGCCGCCCTCAATCAGCCGATTGACAATTTCGGCATCGTCCAGAAATACTGCCAACTGGATGGGAGTAATGACTGGGCTCACTAGGGACTTGGAACTATCTCCCAGAAACTCAAGATCCGTATTCTGAAGTTCCTCAATCAGTAAGTTTAAGTTGACGCCCGCTTTAATCAACATGTCAACGAGGATCAAATCGTGATGAAAGATAGCAAAGTACATCACTGAAAAGCCTCCTGCTGGTAGCAGCCTTGGGTCTGCTCCCATTCTCAGTATGTACCTTGTGAGGTCTGGGCTCCGTATCCTGACAGCTTGAAGAAGGGGCTTCACATAACCGGAGTTGAAATTTGCTCCAGAGTCAATTAACGTTTTGGCGATTATTCCCGAAGGGCGCAATGTAGAGGGCTCCCAAGTATGTCGTCTTCCGTGCTTTGGATCTTTGCTTCTGGGTCGGCCCTAAAGATCAACAGGAGCTGAACGGCGGCCCGGTTCTCCAGTCTCACGGCTCGGTAGAGCGCAGAGCATCTGCAATCATTCGGATCGAGACTGTCGGCGCAGACCCCAGACTCGAGTAAGAAACGCAGAAAGTCCATTCCTTTGCTTCCTCCAACTCTGAGCGCCACAAACAGGAGGTGGACTGCAAAGATTTCTAGAGTAGGTCCCCTCATAGTGAGTAGATGCTTCATCTCGATGAGAAAGCCACTAGAGATGGAAAACTGAAGAATATCGTAGGTGGTCTTGTCGGTTCTGACCAAATTATTGGAGCAAAGAAACACAAGCGAGTTGAACATTTGCAACCATGGTGGTTCTTAGTGTCGGAGGCCTTTTAGAGAATTATCCACGTCTTGAATTAGTTCAAACAGTCTCTGTCTCGTCGTGTCAAGATTCTTTGAAATCAAATCGGAAATGGATTTGGGTGGCCCTTGCGGTGGCAGACTTGTAGGAGTTTCCCCGTTGGCATAGATGCCCCATGGTAACAGAGTTTCCACCTCGCAAGAACCAAGTGACCCGTCTTGTCGGTTGGGGCTGGAAAGTGGGCATCGACTACAGACTATGCGTGTGTCAGTCCGATGATATAATAAGACTGGGTCAAGGTTGAGCTCACGTAGGTTGTTGAAGCTTTCTCGGAAGTTCAACCAGGGGAAATTGCCAATGAGAACGATCTTAGAGTTGGATGATGGCGGCGTATAAGCAACTACGCCGGAGGTAGTATTACTCACGACTTGATAAACACAATTGATTAGCAGGTGTCTATATCCAAGCATGTTGCACTCACACTCTTCTTCGACTGGCGAAACATTATATCTTCTCAATTCTTTCTTTCGCCTCTTCTCCGAGATGACTTTACCATCGATGCTGAGTTCGGTTATCTTTCCCTTGGCCTCGCGCTTGGTAACTAAAGCACTCGCATGCTGCCATTTTTCTTTGGTGTAATTCTTTTGCAGTTTCCAGTTGGCATTCACTTTGCGAATATATTGGGCTTTCCTAGTTTATGATTAGGCAAATTATTTCTAAATTGGTACCAATCGGACTTAGGTAGCATGGAAACCAGATTCGGCCATGATATGGATAACATCGTCGAGAGTGTTGTCTTGATTGACGTACAGCTCAGTTATGCGACGCCTTTGGGCTTCCCACAGAGCGGGCGAAATTCTTGGTGCTTGCGGCATGTTGAATAGATTCAGTAGATTCCTCTTGGAACAAAGACTTCTTAGAAGCGGTAAGTGGTGAGGATATTGGGCTGGAAGTTGGGGGAATGGGTAGGAAGGTCGGACCTTTAAGTGCCAACCCGGGTAAGGTATTCACTACTGGCTTTCGAGTACGTGCCTGAGTACCTGGCCTGGTCCAAGCTGGCCTCTGTCCAAAGTTCGTGTTTGATCCATGCCCTGTCAGAGCCTGATTTGGAGGGCATGGTCGTCATGCAGCAGCGCTCCAGTGAGGCTGATTCCTCAGGTCCCTGATTGGCAGCCAAAATTCTCGTTTCCTCAATCACATCTGTCATGCAGCAACGTGATCCAGGGTCGTCTTTCGGGGTAACTACAGATCGAGATCAGGCTATAACCAAGACAGTCTCAAGAATGCCTCATTTTGCACTTCGGGCCCCCAGAATATGCAGCTCAAATTTATCAAAGCAACTCTGTATTTATATGGATGAAAATTTAGGTTGATTTCCTTGTTGGTTTCCTCTTGTTTTCGGTTGCAAATTCTGCACGGGTCAACTTCACGAGATGGCTTCTATGAATGAGGTAGCTGAAGTATCTTACCAGAGACTTCCGGATATGATTCTATAACATGGTCAGTGATTTCGTAATGTACCATGGCGAACGTGAGCCGTGGATCCATGATGCCTTTGTGCGAAAGAAACAACCAAAGCCACTTATAAGTATGGAAGAGCCATGATAGGTTGGCCATAATCCGCGTTTCCATCCATGTCTTACTCAAAAGCACAATACCATACGCCACCGCCGCGGACTGACAATCTCAGCCACTTGCGAGAAGACGCCGGCCTGCAGATCACTTAGACCAGAATTGTTACACCTTTTTTACTTTCAGGAACGGGGGGAACTCCACCAGCTGAGACGCATATATATCATCTCTGGCTTCCGCATGCTTCACATTTGACACGTTTATTTTCATGTTACAGAAGTCCGCTTTAACTGCTCAAGTACTCTATTTTCCTCCCAATCAAAATTACAGTACTTCAAGTGCCAAATCTCGCAGCATGGCCATGCCTGTGGAAGTCATAGTCGCCATTGTTGGCGTGTTAGTCAACGTCCCCACCTTCGTTCTCGTTTTCTGGCACTGCTTCCGCAGAAGGTCATCATCTAATTCTGGTCGAAGCCAGGGTACGTTTTACTTTCATCTACATTTTCTGTTAAGTTAATGACAATTTCTTACAGAAGAATCTGTTCTTCTTCGATCCCCTACCTTGCACCCTCGACGTCTGACATTCGACGCCCAATACGCTGTGGCCTTCCCCTGCACGATGCCTCTCATCCACGTTTCGACACCTCGTCTTTGACATGACACTACACTCAACATTCTTGATTATACAAACAGTCTATGGTATAAATCTAACGACCACTATACTCAACATAACGATCGACGTCAACGAAAGCGATTTGGTGAACTTTGGCACATCTTATATAAACAGAATACACATGTTCAGCATACTTCTACTTAACCTTCTTGAGGGTAGTCTTGAATCCCACCAGCTCAACCTCCTCCGCCCTTCCATCCTCACTCTCAAACACCATCTCATCTAATCCCAAGAACTCATACGCTGCTCTATCTATCATCGCCCAACTCATACAACTCGCATCCTCCCAGAACAACAACCCCTCCTGCATCCCAATTTGATTCGCCGTACCAATTCTAAACATTGCTCTCCACTCTGTCCTGTTCCCCGCTGTAAGATCTGTAGGATATAATCGCCCAGATAGTGAGATTTTAGGTACGTTGGGGTTGAGCACGGAGAGATAGTGAAGCCAGTGTGTCGAGACGTCTGTTCCGCGGACTATCCACTTTGTGATACTCAGACCTGGGCCATCGTCATCGACGTCGAGAACGAGAGTCGAATTTGTATCTTCATTGATGTAGGTCCCTGCAAATGTCTTCTTCGCCTGGTCTTTACCTGCTGCTTCGAGAGCGGGCACAAGAGCCTTTGTGATCAGTGAGAAGAAAACCAGAGGAAGACCTCCCGCAATCTCGGGTCCTCCCACTAATACACTTATAACTATACCATAGTCTGGAATCATTGCAAAAATGGAATGATAGGTTCCTATATCGCCTCCTTTGGTGTAGACATTGACCACCCGTTCGTCAGAGGTCAGCTTATTAGATCGCACAATCTCCCAGGGCGCGCCGATAAATTGCCCCATGCCACTGGTAAAAGTCACAGGTTTGAGCCACTTATTTGTTTCTGCCAGGTCTAAGAACTCGTGCTTGAGGATGGAAGATCCGAAAGCGAGGAGGTCCTTTGTCGATGAGTAGAACGAACCAGCCCTGTGCAAGTTAGCTAAAGACCACTACTCCCAGAATGAAGGAGACGCACGGGCTAAGGATACCGATAGAAGTATTCCAGAAAATGTCGTCAGGTCCAATAGCCCCCACAGAGTCATCAGGCTTCGCATAAGTCGTACTCTTCATCCCCGCAACATCAAGCACATTCTTTTGCACAAACTCTTCATATGACTGTCCCGAGACTCTCTCTATGACCAAGCTCATAACGAAGAAGGCGATGTTTGAGTACACGGGGTTGCCCCAAGGTGCAAAAGTCGGAGGCCGCTTGCCAAAGTTGTCCCAGAAATCTATGCCGGTCAGCTTCGGTTTTTAGTGTTGGTTTTTAACTCACCTTGAACGTCGCAGGGAGGTATGCCAACCAGGCCAGCACATCCTAAGACATCATGCGCCGCAGGGAGACCCAGGTCAGTCCAATTCCTGAAGCTCGTCAAATCCGTCACCACTACCACGCATCAGTACCTGATTTCTCATTGAACTCAAAACTCACAGTCAGCAGGCATGCCTCCCATGTGCGATGCAAGAGCCTTCAGCGATACCTTATCCCAATCGACAGTCGTGATCGCATTATTCTCACTCTGCTGCTTGTTCAACTTCCTCAATTCAGGGACATATTTCGTCACCGGATCATGCATGCCCACTCCCTTGAGTTTGAGCGCAGCGAGGGTAGTATACGCCTTCGAGATACTACCAATGCGATAAACCGAGTCGGCATCGATCTTGCTTACGCCTCGAGGATCCAAGTTCTCTGGTGTGTGATGAAAATCCAGCAAGGGTTTGTCTTCGTAGATTGACGTGACGCCAACTGATACAGCCGAGCTATGCAGAAGGCTTGAATAGGCCTTTATAGTTTCTGTGATAGCTTCAATGGCATTTTTCACATTTTGATGTGAGCTTGGGTTTGTAGGCGCAGGGAGGACTGGACCAATTGGAGGACAATGGTAGTTCTTTGCAGCGAGTGCATCGCCAGTGAGTAAAAGCAAAAGAGGCAGAGGTTGCACTTGGATCTTCATCTTGTAAGTCTCCCAAAGACTGAAGCGATGAATACAGGACTCAATCGGCTGTTTATGAATGAAATGAATGCGTCTTATATAAATAAGACGGCGCGTTGTCCTCCCGCATGGTACAGGATCCCCCGCATAACATCCTGGCCCCTATGCAGTCCTCATCATTCCTTGGCCTGGCGATCATGCTCTTTATCCCACTTACCCATTTAGGCATCATCCGGCGCCGAATAATGTTGAGAGCAGCACAGCTACAGGACAAGCAGGTGTTTATAAACAGGGATATACAGGCGAGAGGAGTTAAGGAATATGAGCTCAATCCTAAGCGGCAGAACAACCTATTAATCTAAAGATAGCTTTAGAATCATCTTGGGAGGTCTTTGGCTCACTTTCAGAAATCCTATCAAGAAGCGAGGATGGCTTCGTGGGTACATACATACTTATTTTTGGCCCCCAAGTCCGTGATTTAGTTGCTTGCCAAGGACAGGCAACAGTGAAGAGGTTCCAAGTAATCAAACCAAGAAACGAGCAAGTAAGTTATTCCCAACGCTTTTGACTAATAAAGCTCATGTTTCATGTGGTAGTGCAACTAATATTGTCGGTTTTCTTCCTAAAGAACTACATCCACCCGTAATCAATCCCCGCATCCACCGGTAGGTCACTGGGTGTATAGTTGTCTTCACTGCGTCTTCCAGTATTTTCATCGCCATTTCCATTGTCATCAATCGTCATGGCATCCATCGCTGTGCCAATGGATGAGTTGTCTTCACTGCGTCTTCCAGTATTGTCATCACCATTGCCATTGCCGTGTAAATACTAGACCATCCGGGTCTGCAATTGGTTGTTCTCCTCCCTAAGTGCTTTCAACTGCTTCTCAAACTCCTTGTTGACCCAATCCCAGTATCCTGTCCAGGTGCTGGCGGCACCAGCATTACTAGTAGCTGCTCCAGCGTTACCAGTCATGGCCTTCATCTTCTCACCTAGCAGCAAGGTCACTCTGAGGATGCTCTTGTTGGCTTCCTCTTGTTTCTCCACGTCCTGCTTCACGGCATTATCCTTCAGTTTCACCGAGAGGACAGTTCTGTAAGCCTCAGCGATCGAGTTCAAACGTCGAGTTGTCTCATCGGGGTCGATCGCGATCAGCTTGGTCACCATGAGATTGCAGAGTTGCCTAATATCATTATCATCCTTGAGACCAGCGACGACACGATCGTAGAAGTCTATGTTATTGATGCGACTGAATGCAGTCTCCATCAAGGCGTACAGTGTCTCATACGCGCTCTGCTACAAGTCAGTTCTTGTTCACAACGAGTTCACCGTAAACGCACCTTTCGGACCTCAAGGCCATCGTCCACGGTGTGCTTGAAAGGTCCCATCATGACTTCCTTTATGAGTTCCTTCTTGATAACTGATTCTTGCAGAACAAATGGCATCAGTTCTCCCAGGTGCGGGTGGATTAGGTCGGGCTTCGATCGAGCAGCTGTAGTGAGTGTAGTCATTGCCAGTCGGCGAATATCCATGTCGGAATCTTGGAGCATCGTCAGAAGCATCTGAATTAGGACGTCCCGTAGCATCACATCCAAAATCTCGTCACTTTCAGGGAGGGTATAGCGAACAGCTTGAACAGCCATGCCTCGAATACCCAGAGACTGGTCCTTCAGGAGAGCCTATGAAGAGTTAGAACATTCAGAACGGAAGGGCTTGGGCATGCATACCTGAAGGCGTGAAATGAAAACGGCAGGGTCGAGTGTGACAAGTCGTCCAACACATTCAGCAGAAACGACCTTGTTGTCAGCATTATCAGAAGCCTTGAGAAGCTCGTCCCAAATAGCTGGGGCGTAGTTGCGCAGGTCAGTAGACTGCGCAGAGATCGATTGTAGGATTTCCTTGATGGACTGAATAAGGAGGTACTGAGTGTTTCCACCTTTCTGCATGGTCTTCAAGATGACAGGAAGGAATTCTGGAACATTGCCGGAACCTGCCTGGCCAAGAGCAACGGCTGCCGAGAGAGAAACCTTGTCTGGCTCCTTGTGGAACTGATCCAAGAAAAGGTCTGGCTTCAGGGTTGAACTTGTTCCAAGCCTCTTTCCAGCTTCACCTAAAACAGCCAAGGCAAGACTGACTCGGGCTTCATCATTCGTTTTAGCACTGGTATAGAGCTCCGTGACAAAGCTATCAAGCTTGACACCAACTGAATCTCCACCCGTGACGAGCAGAGTTCCAATAACTTTACCGACGACGGGAGGGTCGCCTGCAACGCTGACATTTTTAAGAAGTCCCTGCATGAGTCCCTGGCCGGCCCCGCTCTCTCCAATGTTGCTGACTAGCACAAGAAGTTGGTCAAGAACGATTCCTGCATGGTGCTCCTTGAGCAGCTGCGAGATGGCAGCGATCATCTCATCAGTGACCACCAGCTCTGGATGCTCAGGCACCAAGTTTGCAAGGATAATTAATGTCGGTCCAAGGAGATGCGCGTCGCTGTTAACGATGATGGGCATCAAATCGGTGACAATTCCCTGAATAGTGTCGGGCTCGAGCTGACCCTTCGTAGCGGGCGACAAGACAAGGTTACGAAGAGCAATGATGCTAGAGCCACGGAGCGACCGATTTGCTTTTCGTAGCTGTGCGGACAGCTCTAAAGTAACATCTTGAACCCATGCCTTGTCCAGTTGCTCGGGGGTCCGGGCATAACGGGCTACGTTCTCCACAGCGCGGACGGCAGCAAGGCGAGTAGTCTCATTCTTCAGCCTCTCTTGGAGGACTTCCAGAGCAGTCTTTACCTTATCCTCAGAGAGAAGGGAAGATCCCTCGGAGGTTGAAGTTCGCGAGATAAGGACTCCCAATGCATGAATGGCGCGTTGGCGAACCTCGGCATCGGCATCCTGAGCGGAAGATCTGTCAATAATGACCGTATAAAGCTTTTCTAGCTCAGCCTTGTACTTGGAGGCAGCATTGCGTGACCGTGGTGGGGTAATTGTCTTGACCAACTCCTCAACGGTGCGAATAGCCTCACTCGAGATCTTATAAAAACGGTTATTGGCAGCAGATGCGACACCATCGACAATCTTCGTAAGATACGGCTGTAAAATAGTTGATGAATGAGTCTTTGCAATGTCACTTATCACGCTAAGAGCAGTGATTCTCAACGTGCTTGGGGTCGCCGAAGAGGAGCCGGAATGGGACGCCACATGAGTCGAGGCGGATACAGCACCAGTGGGCTGGATAGCCTCTATTATAGGTCCAATGACTTGGTCAAAGTACTCAGCCAATCCACCGTGTTGAACTGAAACTATGTCATTGAGAAGCTTGATGACTGCCTGCTTGGTAGGAATAGTCTTGCCCTTAAGTTGCTTAGTGATTGCCTTAACGATAGACGGTGTAAGGCGAGCCAAGTCAGCTCGTGGGCCACTAGGAGGAATTTTCTCCAAAACGGGTGAAACCAATCCAGATCCTGACATGAATTGGGACGCAGAAGCGCCTCCACCACTACTTTGACGTCTTCGTTTCCGGCTGATGGGGATGCGGGTCTCGGAGTCTGGCTCAAGATCGTCTAGGGAGAGGTCTGTTGTGGGGAGTCCTTCACCAGTCTTGCGAACTAAGAGCGAAAGTGCCGAAATGATCTCAAGGCGAACATTCTCCTCTCGCTCAGAAATACGTTTGATAAGATGAGGTGCCGTCTGGTTGTAGAGAACACCGTTCTCAAGCAGGTCACCACTACCGCGTGTTGAGATAACTGTGTAGATGGTCTTTGCAGCGCACCGTCGAACCTTCCAGCTGGCGTCGTCATCGTCGTCCTCAAAGCCATCATCGGCATCAAATTCGTCGTCCTCGTCCATTTCTTCGTCTTCCTCTTCATCCTCCATATCCTCGTCCTCGTCATCCACATTGTAGTTGGGATCATATTTGAGATATCGCAGGCAGGCTTCTATGGTTTCATCTGTGAACGGGCGCATCTCTTGAGGGCACGAGGCCAAGAAGGCATCTAGGGCTACCAAAGCAGCTTCTCGAACTTCGTTGAAATCTTGCCCAAGATCATCTCCGTCGCTAAGAGCATCGAGATGTTCTTGAAGTTCTTCCTCGCTAAGTGCCTTGATAATCAAGGGTGCAGTACCGGCAAGATGAGGTCCAAATCGTGCAGGAATCGACCGGGCCATACTACCGAGGATCGAGATGTATAATCTTCTGGTGACAGGGCTGATTTGCTTCGTTAGACCAAGGGTGATTCGCCTGACTACTTCTTCCAAGTGCTCGTCAGACAAGTAGACAGCGAGCATAGATATAGCCACAACAGCCCTCTTCTTGACAACTGATGTGCCTTTCTCGCTTTCAAGTAGCTGAATAACAACCTCTTGCATAGCCTCTACTTCAACTTGGACAAGCATAGGTCCAAAGCATCGGACAACCTCAATCAATACGTCGACAGCTTCTGCGTTGAGGTCGCCTTCATTTTGTAGGAGTCCTTCGGGGACAGGAGGAAGAGGGACCCTGGGGTTCTTTGGGACCTGGGTTTTGGGGCCGGGCCCAATAAGTCGGGGGATCAACACGCGGCTGATGGCGCTGTATGCTTCCTGCACATCGGATGCTGGTGGGATGCCTGGGACTGGTCGAGGGAGAGCGATGATGACATTTCGCAGTGCAAGTGAAGGGACAGCATTGTCCACGGAGTTCTTGAGCTTCAGGGACGAGAGCTTCTCGATCAAGGGAGCGATAACGGGTGTCGGAATCTTGCCCACAAATGGGCCCAGGCTGATTGTCGTTAGCACTTTATAGATTGAATTGTCCGCTTAACATACCACTTCACTGCAAGGTTCTGCACCTCACCATTTTGATCGTCCAACACCTTGATGAGACTATCAACAGTACGAGCGGCGATATTATAGTCGTGGTGCAGAAAGTCCGGTTTGGCGATATTCAGAAGTTGGAGTAAATCGTTGAGGGCCATGAAGCGGAAGTCGGGATCATTATCACTGAGCTTTGTGACGTGGCCCATCACCGCCTGCGGCGTGGCATTGATTTGACCAGAAGCCATACTGAGCGAGCTTCACGATGGTGTGAGCTTGGTGGTTTCAGATCATAAGCGCGGGGTAACGGATGGAGGGGTATTGGGGAAATTGGATAATGCAGAAGTAGGAGATGTGATCTCAGTAAGATAAAAGTCAAATATAATGAACTCGACGAAACACGAATGCTATTCGGATTGGTTGGTACAAAGATTGAGAGTTTGAGCTTCCTCTAGGCAGACGGAAGAAGGTCGGAGCTCTCGAGGTGGTGCCCCGCTATGACATCCGAGCTGTCACCCCAGTCGCGGGAGGGGCGATCGTCGGTGGTGGGTCGGCGTTTCTTTGATCCGTAACGGTCAACGACTGTGCTGCACGACGTCTACATACAGGGTATGCCCATTGATCTAGGATTATCACAGGTTCGATGAACTACATGTAACAAAATGTGCAGTGGTATGACCTCAAGTCAGCTAATTTTATCTCAATCAAACAATTCGTCTTATAGACTCACGATGTTGCACTAAATGAGCGCAACAGCAGCTGACCCGACTCTGATTAATTACTCACTTGTCGAATATGGTTCGCGATTGGCATTTAAACACAAGTTTACTTCATACGTGGTGTTTCTCTCGTGGCTTACCTACCAGTCCACCTTCCGTTAGGCTGTCACAAAGCTCTCCGGTGGTCAAGTTCTACGAGCTTTTAATATTTTATGGAAAAACAAAGGTTAGGGCGCTGGTTTCCCGATGGCAACTCTGATCACCATCAGTTCCAGAACTCAGTATTCAGAGCAGGTTTGTGCTCGAATGTCTGGTTACGATTCAAAGCAGTTACAACAGCTATTCGCCAAGCCATAAACAGTGATGTTGCTTTCAATAGCAGCGTTTGATGGCTGTATGGGGGCGATGGATTGCCTATAAGAAGCACGCCCTTTGAACTTGTCAGTTCTCTCATGTCTCCAAGGCCCTTCTAACTATACAGCGCCCCCCACGATTATCACTTCAAAGTACCATAAAATAGACCTACCCGGTTAAAAACATGCGCCTCCTCCTAGCTTTCGTCTCCCTCCTCTCGCTAACGACGGCGGGCCCTGTGTCTCGCAGCCCCCCAGATAAAGATGGCGAATATCTCTGGGGATGTGGTAAGGTAGGTTACTTTTTAACAATCTCGGAGTATTTTCCTTCTACTTACATAGTATAGACGGCTCCTTTCAGTATCTCAGACTGTAACGAGCTACTTGACTGGTTTAAGACTGTTTCCAAAACGGGCTGGTTCGGTATCGGAAAAGTCAATGGTCTAACCAAGTATTGGGGTTCTTGCCAGCTTTATATACAACCCGGGCCCCTCGGTCACTTTGCCCTCGAGATCCAACAAGATGAATTTGTGGATGTTGTTCATCGGGGTATGGTGTATAAATGCCCTGATAAATGGGCCCGAGCAACGGTCAAACCAGACAACAATACTTGGATAGCATTTGTAACGGAGAAGGGCTGGGAGCCTCATGATGAATTTTAGAGGAACCGATAGTGTCATTTCGGCTGGTACTGGTTTGGCCATCTAATAAAGTAACCTATTCTCTCAAGAGCTTGAGAGTCCAGGGGCTGGTTGATAGGAATATGAGTTTGACCTTGTCCATAAGTTCTTAGGCTACCTAGTTTCGAGGACGATGATTAGAATATCCATGTGACTTGTATCGTTTTCTAGGTGGCCTTCATGCTTCGGGCGGCTCATCAACAACAAAACCGCTTCAAGCCCTTTACAAGTACAAACCATCGCTTCCTCGTTACTGTTGCATTGAAAGAGTACTAAGGCCAAGTCAAATCGCACCTAGCTGCCATTCACAAAGCATAAAACGAATCCAGTGTTACAGAATGTTCAATAGCACGTACAAATCACTAAGGGAGCAGCATCATTCATTTTAAGCTTCAGTCACTAGTGAGTCAGAGCATTGATGTGCATCCATCTTCTCATACTGCGATTCACACGACTGGCTAAGCAACTATCCATAGGCAATTATACAGTGATCAAAGATATGAATGGGAGATATGAAGTGGATCAAATGGAATTATGGGGTATAGAAAGGAGACATTCTTCCCTGTGACAAGGTCAAATCTCCCATCTCAGCAAGCAGTTTCTCCTCTCACAAAACCGCCACTTTACATTCGATCTCAAGAAACACAAACTACGTTCCATCTGCCACAATGCGGTTCCTATTACCACTCATGTCTGTTCTATCTCTCGCAGGCGCCAATTTTCTGCGTCACAACATGCCAGGTTGGAGCCCATCCTACAATTCGAGCACATACTACTGGGGATGCGGAACGAACACCACAGCCGCCCGATCAGATTGTGAACACGCCCTTAATATAGCGATTCATAGTCCTAGGCTCGTTAAGATCCAGAAGAATCAATCCATGTGGTCTTGGTTCAGATCCTGCAAAGTAACCGTGGCCACCCAAGAGAATTTCGACCCTGTAAGCGGCCCTATTCAAACGGATGAGTTTCGAGATATCGCGAACTGGGGATTCGGATCATTATGTGATTTGGGAATGCAACGCACCTATTTCACTCCACAAAATCACACCTGGTATGCATATGTTACAGAAATGGCTTGGAAGTACGGTGATAACTTTTGAGATAACGGATGCATGGGTGTTTGGCCACGAAAGAAGTTGTTTCGGGACCGTCTTGGTTGTTCGTAGGTTGATTGGACATTTCAGTTACACACATGGCTAGAAGCATCCGATTGAGATGAGGAGAACTTGGAACCTCAGTACTAAAGGATGGAAGCACTGGGGCACACACCTGACTTGAAGATCAAGTGAGGACGCCTTCTTATTCATTTCTGGGCTTTGGGAACAACATCAGGACCAGTAGGTATCGAAGCAGATAATAGAGCATTTTCCAGGTACCAATTCCGCAGCTTCAGTGGAAATTCTTTTAACTCGATTAGCCAGCAGCCTAACTTCTATTTGTGGTTTCGCAACCAAACGGATCGGGTCGTTAGCAGGAAGGTTACACAAAACGACAAAGATACAACTTGACGTCAAACGTTAAGTTTCTACAGCCCAATAGCATCTCTACGATTCTATGAATAAAGCCTTGTAAGATTGTTCGTTGCTTAAAGTAGACGACGTTTGCCCAAGGCGAGCCGCTTGTCAAGGCAGCTGCAAAAAGTGGTGGCAACTGCTAAGTTACCCGCGGAATGATTCACGGACAAACACCCGACAGTACAAACAACTCCGCTAACTCCTCCTTATCCTTTGTCTCCTGTTAATCCTAACTCTTGAAACCTTCTTCATCTTCGCGCTGATCTCTCACGATGTCGGATCCTTCGAAGCCGGGCTCCTCAATGGAGTCCTCCAACGACATCGACATGGCCTCAGATACGAGCGACAACAAGATGTCCCCCATTGAGAAAACCCCCCCCGAAGTTCTCTCCTATGCCCTCTCCTTCATCCCCGACAGAGCCTCTATCCGTGCTGCCATGATCTCCGGTCCGACACTTTACAACGCTTTCAAGCAACGTCAAGCCTACATTGCATCATGCATCCTCTTCAACTCCATGGACGAACCCGTTTACCGGGAAGCCATCGTGACATTCAACATGAAAATTGCAGAATGGAAGGGTGTCAAAGCTGGCATCAAGGCTATAAATCGCGTCTATTCGAGCGAACAGCAACGTATCTACAGCCAGTTCCTCACGTTCGATCGGGTCAAGGAGATGTGGCGTCTTCATAAGGCTGTCGAATACTTCGCAGAACGCCTTCCCTCGTCTCTTATTCGAAATCATCCAGTAGTCAAGTACAAAAATGCATATTCTATCAACACTAATGTTCGGGTGCGGTTTCAGCGTGCGCTGTATCGCTTGGACGCGTGTTTGAAGATCACGGAGCTCATGATTGCCTCGCAGCTACATGATAATCATGGGAAGAACAGAGCCCCGACGGAAGAGGAGCATAAGGAGGCTCACTGGGTTCATTGCCTGAAAGATCTGGAGGAACACCGTATTCTCAAGGCTTTTCACAGCCAATACTCTGCTGTGGAGATTGAGCAGCTGACTAGCATCTGTGGTATGCTGGTTACCGAGATCGCGCCATGTAAGTCCTCTCATGAATAATGACTATGCATAATGCTAACAGTTTCTAGCTTTCAACACCTTTCTCGAACGCGATATCGAACTGGGTACCCAGCTGCCATACTACATCACTCATGCCCTGTGCCCTGGATCAATGAGTCTTATTTCTCAAGGCCTCCCCTTTCTGAAAGACTTCCTCACTGCCGGGTCGCGACCTCTGAGAGCAAAAGTCATGCGAAGGATTAATCCACCCATTGATTGGAACCCCAATCTCCCAACCAGACCCCCTTTCCCCGGTAACGACGAGCAGCTCACCTGCATTGTCCACGATTACGAGGGGACTCCCGGCAAATGGGCACGGATGGACACTCCGGACTTCATGATGCGAACTCCCTTCATCAAAGATCCCGATCCCGGACCAGAGTGTGCTTGGCACGTCCTAAGTCGCTATGCAATCTTTCTGAACGAATCCGATGAAGAAGTTACCCCTTACCAGTCACTTCCATGGGGGTACGTCTTCTGGGACATCGATATGTTCGAAAAGGCCGAGTTTACCCACATCAGAATCGAACACCACAATGAATTCGGGTTCACCCTCGAAGCAAATCACCCAATCCACGATTCCTGGCAGCCCCTAGCTAAATGGGATTCCAATATGGCTACTGACCGGTTGCTCATGTCCAGCCAGGAGAAGGTCTACCTCAAGAACCGTGGTGAAACGGGATACTTCAACTTTGACTCCTGGATTCTTGAGACTGAAGCGCATTTGTTCCAGGAGTTGAACAACATGCCACGGGAAGTGCTGGCGAATGCCATGCGTGATATGGCCACACCTGAACTACTGCAGCAGTTTTTCCAAACCATGGAGGCTCAGCACCCTGAGATTGTTCAAATGGCCATCGATCTGTCGACAGCTGGGGTCGGAAATGCTTGGGTCGCAGGCACTCTGACTGAAACTCCAGTTCCTGAGGATGAGAATGAGGATGATGCGAACTGAGGACTCAAGGATACGAGACTATTGCATGACGGTTGAAGACTGGAAGACAAGCCGTCTTTTAGGCAGCGAAACGTCGGTTTGTACCCTTTACAGCGCCTTTAAGTGCCTTTGGGTGATCTACTGACGCTGCAATTCGACGGAAATTCGGATTGGGGTTTCCTAACATCATGTTGCCAGGTCTATGGTCTCGAAACAATGCTATTTGAAACTGTCTAAAGATCTCGGATATACGAGACTAGCTCAGCCATGTACCACAAGGTCGCTACGAAAGGCATTTGAGACTGGGGGTTTGCCAAGATCGTGACGGATGGCTGGAGTGTTCGGGGAATTGTGTCTCCTAGATGATCAAAGATAATCTATCTAGTTCTTTAACCGTTCCTCTTTGCATGGGCGCGTAGATGTAGATTCCAAAATCTTCAGTAGTACCTGATCCCACTCTAAGGTCCCCAGGCATCCCACATATCTTCCACACCAATTGCACCCTCTATAAATGGATCTATATCACCTCTTTCCATTGAGTACCAAAACGCATCATCATCATCATCTTCATCTTCATCAGATCCCGAATCATCTTCCCACTCCTCCTCTCCAACAAGTTCCCAGACAGCTTTATCTTCACCTTCCATGTCTTCTCTCTTGAATGTGTAGTGATCCCAATCAATCTCCTCAAGGTTCGGTACGATTATGGACTTTTTGTTCCAGAATTGGTTGAGCCCCGCGATGAGGTTGTCCTTGGATGTCGTCTTTGCAGGGGCATTTGGCTGAAGTTCCCGGACCTTTAGGTATTTGAGTCTCGAGTGTGTGACGCCAGTGTCTAAAGCCGAAGTCGGTAGAGGATGGCCCGTCAGGCATAAGCGCTCGGGTGACCCAACGGCATGTAGGAAAGCCTTCAAAGTGAGTGAACCTTCTTCCATACGTCGTCTGTGATAGACAAAAGTTACGTCGAGGAGGTTGAGGTTAGGGAAGGCTTTGAACTGGTCCTTGTAATTATCGAGATTCTTGTCCCCTAGAAGCATTGTCGATGCCAGTTCGAAACCTGGTGGGAACGAAGTCAAGCTCTCTGGTCGCTCTGAACCAGCTACACAACGAACGCAAAGTTCTCTCACAGGTCGGTTCTCTTTGAAGCTTCCATTAAAGAGCATCAAAACAAATTCCATGTCCAAGTCGATGTCGTTGAGTTGTAGGCTGTACAGGTTCTCCCACAGGTTGATGTGCGGGGTGAAGAATTGTGCTTGCTTGCTCTCCTCAAACTCTGCCTTTTCGGTGCTGAGTTTCTGCAGCTTGGGCATGAGAGGAAGGCCATCGTGTACCGCCTTGCACATAATGTGATCCAGTATGAAGGCCTTTGGGTTGTTGTTGCAATCTCGCCAGGTAAAGCTGGTCACGTTTGGCGACAAGAAGAGAATAGACGCAAACAGCAGTTCCAGAATGCCATCATGCTTGAAATCAGGGGAAAACATGAATCGTTGCTTGGTTCGCTCCAACATACAAGCCGACCAAGCGAGTTTGTGAAGACCAGCGCCATCGAGAAGACGCATCAGAGCAGGTTTGTCAGAAGGACATCGCTTTGACCAAATCCTCTTGCATTCGGGCATTTCAAGTTTCCTCACCCGTGGTCCCGCCAAAGGAGCATAGCAAAGAATGTACTGAACATGTTGACGAAGTTCAGGTCTTTGAATGAGATTGATGAATATGTTTGTGACATCCTGGGGGGTTGTCAAGATGAGATTCCGATAGAGCAAGGGTTCCAAGACATCCCTGGTGGCTTTGGATGTATAGGTCAGTTTGTAGAGAGAGGCTGACGACTTGTCCATGCAGCAGTCGCAGGAACTGTTGCTGTCTATTTGGTGTTCATGCTCAGTGATGGACTCGGAAGCTAGAAGAGATCCGATGTGATAGAGGATGTCGAGGGGTAGTCTTGGTGTTATGAAAGGTTGTGGCACGGTTGCAGGCTGTGGCTCGCCTGAAGTCGCCATGGTGAGCGGTTTGAAATAGTGGCCTTCGGAGACAGTAGATGAATGAATGAGTCTAACAGCTAGTGAAGATTGCAAGATGAAACTTAGAGAGCGGACTGTGAAGGTCAAGCTGACACGTTTTGAAGATGATGCAGAAGCAAAGATATTCCGGCCAGTCACCCACGGTGGGCTGTAACACCTTAGTGACTTAGTACAAAGGCCGCCGAAACCGCCTGCAGGCAGCTAAGAGGACAGGAGAACCTCGTTCGGAAGCCAATGGGACGGGAAGCACAAAATAACTCACAACATAGTATTATTTCAGCTTGTCCTATCTAATATAATCGAAATTCAAATCTCTGAAACCTCATCAAGCCCTGAAGATTGATCAACTGCCGTGCTGAATATCCAACTGCCAGAGCTCTCAATACGGCCCCACACCCCGCCATCCGTCCCGCTGTGGAAACCAACGGATCCTCAACATCAACAAACAAACCATTCAAGATACCTTGACATCCTTCAAAATGGTAACTTTACCCTACTCCAAACCCTTCTTGCCCAGCTAACAGTTTCAGAACAAAGACTCATCGTTCACGTTCGTCCACATGCACCGCTCCCGCGACGCAGACCTCTTCGAGGACTTCTGCAAGGACAAGCTCCCCGATGACGAGATCTACGTTCCACCTGTTCACCAGCCCATCAACCCGGAAGACGAAGACGATGTCGTGCCTGATCAACATGCTGCTTTTGGAATTCAGCGCGCTACGCAAAAGTCAAAGGAGCCTGCTTGGAAGGACTTGGGGCTTTCGGAGCTCATGAACAAGGGTCCTAGTATTGGAACTGGTGGAAAGCCCAAGGGCTCTGGAAGTGCTCTGCCACGATGAGGCCGTGTGCACATTGTTGTTGTTTTGAGCAAGGCGTTGGGCGTAGCATGAATATAGAGAAGCAGCATGGCAGAATGGTTCAAGATTAAATCAGGCATGATATCACATCGCCAAAGACACAATTCGTCTCTATCAAACCCAGCCCATCATAAAAACTCCAAAACTCCATCCTCACCACTTAATTCTTCCCCAAGAATCCCTCCCTCTCCAAGACCTCCGGTCTAAACTTGACAAGAAAGACCGTCTTGCCAGGCCACATATCACCCTCCGCAACCGTATGCGCCGTAACTCTTGCCGGGAAATCAGCTCCATCGCAGACACCTTCAACAATACCGGCTACGTACGCAGCGCAGTTAAGCTGACTCATTTCTTTGGGTACGCTGATGTATTGGTTGACAAGGGGCTCGTTGTCGATGATCATATATTCATCTGGTGTTTCGGGGTTGGCGGATTTCTCGAGTCGGTCTGCTTGACGACCAAAGAGGTGCTGCCAGATATTTTGCTTTATGAAGTGGAGGAGGGCAATTATGCTTAGTGGTCGAGTCTGTGTACGCGCTGGTTCGCGAAAGAGGAGAAGATCGAGGAGCTTGAGACCGATAGAGTGGCCTTGAAGATTAAGTCTGCGCATAATCAGCTTCTGCGCCTGAAAACAGGGAGGATTGAACGTACCGCTGTTCAAGCTCCTGAATGCCCTTGACCCTTCTCTGCGCATACGTCACCATCTCGCCAAACAGATACGCAAAGCTCGCCTGGCTCAGCTCAGCCGTCTTGGTCCTATTCAATGGGCGACTGTAGATATTCTTTCCATTGCTGGGGTATCGCAGGCCAGGGTCTTTGTTGCCGCTTGGTGTAGGCGTTGGCGCCACGGTGTTGGGGGGTTGGAGGTTGCTCATGATGGGCTGTGAGACTGTCGCTGGAGCATTTCGCAGCTTCAGAATTACTTTGGCAGGATTCGTATAAGCTCGTAGGCGGGAGAAATCTAGCGTGGTTGTCGTGCTTCGAGGTTCGTTGTCGCACGTGTAAACGTGGGCTTGTCTGGAGGGTGAGGTAGAGGGAGGTGACATATGTGGAGACCTGAGGTGCTGACCGAGCTACACCGAGAGTTCACCTTGATAAGTCCATTATCACAATTGTACTGAAACATTCATCAACATCTACAAAAGCAAGAACTTTAATTAAAGAAAGTGAGGCATGGACTCATGAATTACTAATTATGCTCTAAGACTACGTGATCCGCCATCAGATTATAGCAAGAAGCAAAGTCCAGCAATTATCATCCTCATGCAACCCCAAAAATCACCCCCTTGGCAATGCATCTGTTGAAGTCCTTAGACTACTGGACAGTAACAACCTTGGATTTGAGCTCTTTCTGCTTAACAGTAGCCTCAATCCAACCAGAAGCATCCTCAAGCGCCTTTCGAGGACTCTTCTTGCGCTTGAGCAAGAACCCCTGAATCTCCGCAGGCGAGAACATACCCTCTGGGATAAGTTGTCCAAACTCCTGGGAGATCGTCTTGAGTTCATCGATCGACAGAGTGGTCTCTTTGCCTTTGTTATCCACGAGACTGTGAATACTGCCATTCTGTGGCTTGGGTGCGGTAGGTTTGGTCTTGGACATAGGGACTGGCTTGTTACGCGACATCTCGTACATTCGGTAAAAGAGCTCCGATGCCTGTGCGCTGGTTGCGTTCTTGAACCCAACTTGCACATCGACTCGTCCCGGTCGAATGAGAGCCTCGTCGAGGGACTCGGGCTTGTTGGTTGTCATGATGAGGATGCGACCTTCATGCGAAGCAACACCGTCGATGGCGTTGAGAAGTCCAGAAAGTGAAATACTTTCCACAGTCAAGATGTTATTAGTACCCCTGTTGCTGGTATTCTCTCTGTCTCTTCTGTTTCGTCTTCGCTTTCTGCGTCTCTTTCTGTCCTCTTCAGAGCTGTCGGTATCGCTATCGGAAGAGTCTTTGGCCTTTTTGGATTTCTTCTTTTCTTTCTTCTCCGCTTTTTCAGTCTTTTTGCCTTTGGCCTCGCCGGCCTTTTCTCCGGCACCGTCTTCATTCTCCTCTTCGTCTTCTTCATCGTTGGGACGACGAAGACCAGCAGTGTCGATGTCTTCCAAAAGGACAACACATCGGCGAGGAAGTCTGGTGAACAAAACAGCCAGATCCTCTTCGCTGACGGTAGGATCTTGAAGACTGATGACATAGATATCGATACCGAAAACTCCAGCCAATGCAAACGAAAAACTTGTCTTGCCAGTGCCAGGCGGTCCATGAAAGAGATAACCACGACGCAGGGGAATACCTCGAGAAGCATACCACTTAGGAGTTCCGGGGTGCAAATACTCGTTGATGTCTCGCAATACGTCGTGCTTCTCTTCATGCTCGAGAATCACAGTTCTCATTGGTCTGATAGGTCTCCGGGCAACTTGCTGCCACATGCTCCAAGCATCACGGCGACTTTCTTTTATTCTGGGGCGGTAGATAGTGGTCTTGTGGCGAGTATCGAGGAAATAGGCTGTTTTGGCATCTGCGAGAAGCTGCTTGATAGGGTCTACGAATCGTTAGATAAGTGCTGATTCAAGATCAGTGCCATCGGCTTACCAATAGACCTGCCGAAGCAAGATATTTTGAGCTCCTCAACATCCTTGGTCCCTCCCCAACCGTTGGTACTTTGCAGAGACTCTCTCTTACGGTTGACCCGAAAGTACGTCCTGTCGTGCCAAAACCCTGTCGTGCCCATGGCTGGGACATATCGTGGGTTCTAGGGGGTGTCAGTGACTGCAAAAGGCACGAGTACAAAAACTTACACATCTAGCTGCGTCGCTGGCAAAGTTGAGATACTTAGGCGAATCTTCACCGTCTTCGACAGTATTCGTGGCTAACACATCTGCTTGATCTTCTTCCTCGTCCCAAGCACTCTTAAAAACAGTCTGGGCTGTAAGATGACGATTAGTCGCAATGTCTTGCTGCTCCGACAGGAACTGCATGAGCGTAGAATAGATCTGGTCATTCTCGCTAACGTATATGGTACACCTGAAGTAGGTGTGAAGGAAGTTATCGGTCGTCGCATACACTTGATCGAAGAGTTTAGACAAGCCCCAGAGACAACCGAGCAGGGTGAGAAGGAGAGATGGGTCAAGACCCAACTGGGCGCCCACGAAGCGGTAGACGAATAGGAAGAGCTGGAGTAGAGGCGATGCTTGGCCTGCGGATACAAGAAAAGTGTCCATTATTCCAGGGAGCGATGAAGAAGAGTTTAGTGGTTGAGCGGTGCTGTTCATGGCTTGGAGAAAAGGAGGCCAGCCCATCTTGCTCATCTTTGTGATGTCCATGGTGTATGAATGAGTGAAGTTGTTCAGGCCGTGATAAGGCAGGTTCAGATGGTGTCAGGCTTGCAGAAGTTCAGTTCCTCCTGTTGGTGAAGATGTTTATGCCGATGCAAGTGAGCAACTGATCCAATCGAGGCCCTTTCTTGCTCCGACGAGTTAGATGCAAGACTGCGCTGGCAGGGTCACACAACTTCTTCCTCGGGGCCTCTTTTTATACCTGAAGTGAAGAAGAGAAGAAGGACATATGACCTGACCCTTGGGCCCGGCCTAGCTTTTGGTTGGTGTTGGTTGAGGTTCCTGTTGCTATGGATGAAGATCAGGCTGTGAGAGGTTCGAGAATCCCTTGTTATGCACTTTAGGCGCGTAGTATGCAGCTCAAATCCATAGAAGCAACCCTATATTTATATGGATGATAATGTAGGTTGGTTTCCTCCTGGTCCAAATCCTTCAGGAAGTGGTTAGGTCATGTTGGGTCATGTTACCAAGCAAAAAAGCACACTTGTTTTCTTTTTGCCCTACGTACATGACAATTAGTTTACGCACTTCCCATACGTACACACGTAATCTGCCTAGATTTCAGGCTCTACTAAGACTGTTTATATTCTTGTTTTCGTGAATACATGCACGGGGTTTGATTCACCCTAAAATAGACTATGGCACTCTGTGTAACAATCGAGTACTTTCCCGTACCCAAACCATAACCAAGTATGAGTCAAACAATTCTTGGCTATGGAAATAAGCAAATGAAAGTGTGTTCACTCTCGATGTGGAGTGGTTCCGATGGTTTTGTTGTGCATGAATTGCGTAGGTCGCTCATTGCCTATCTCTGCAGAGTGTGTGAGTGCCAATTCGTGTGAGTGGTTGGATTTCCATTTTTTGAGGCACCGCATACAAGAAGAGGCAAAACCAACAGGCAGCATCAACGCTACGAAAGATGGAGGTTGTTTTTGGCCTGCTTTTCGGGTCAGATTTGTCTTGTTTATGTTTGGGTCTTATGTTTGCTGTAAACAAAAAACATGCCAGCCTTTATCAAAATTGGGGAGACCTCACTCCGAATACGACGACTTACATGCTGTTCAGCCTTGCGTCGTGCATCTTCACCCTGGACCTGCAGACGAGAAGAGGGGTTTGAAAGGAATGGGCATAAGCTGGGATGGTCAAATGACCTCGGCTTTTCCTATTCTGTCTTTGCATACTGCCAGGCTTGTTCAATCTGGGATACATATCGTGAACCATTGCGCCCGAACAAGCTTGAGTGAGGCTCTGTTGCACTTTGTGAACTATCATAGCATTAGGACTTGGTTACATTTGGCCTTATGCCAGTTACATATGAATACGACTGGTGATCATGTTCGGAGAATTCTTTTCGAATTGATTGGTGCATGAGACACAGGCTCAGCCATGGTAGACAAGAACACTTGTGAATATTGATACAGGTGCGCTGATACGCCAAGTGCCCTGCGAAGTATTACGCAGTGATGCAAGACATGAAGTAGAGTGAAGAAGTGAACATGAGTGATCAAGACCAATCGCCCATGATGCAGTAGGATATTCACTATCAACACCATGCCGAACCTCAGTTAGCTGGTTCACGGGAACGATTCGCGCATTGCCCTCTTCCGATTCAAGTCTCCTACTAAACAATTTGAGGGAAATACGAAAAATGTCTATACTATGCCGACTATGCGAGCAGGCGTCCTCAGACCTGTATAAACCGGTCGATCCCCCACGAGGCCTGTTCTAGCTCAGATGAGGCTCAACGCCACTCCGCCCTAGCACATAGACACACGCTCAACCGTCTATCATCTCACCCAAAAACACGCGTCATATCACCGTACACCTACGCCGCAACAGACTGCTCCTCCAGCTTAGTCTCCGCCAACTTCTCCTGCACATCCTTGACACCAGCATCGTCACCAAACTTGAATCCCTTGACACTGACATCCGTTCCACCCGCGAGATAATCCTCGCTCTCACCAATCTCCTTGCCAGCTGCCTCCCACCGTCGGTACTTTTCGTCACGCTTCTGGCGGCACAGCTCGTTCAGCGCTGGCCAGTATGTCTCGTGGTCATACTCAAAGTCCATATCGCCGCCCCAGTCGAGATTCCACAGCTGCTCGGGAGGAACGTACTGCTTCATGTCTTCGTTGAACTTGAGCTTCTCGCGCGTCACGGGGTCAATGAAGGGGGTGATGATTTTGAAGAAACCCCATACGATCCACGGTACTGATATTGTCAGTTCTGGTCTTTGCTACAAGAAATACACAGTACTTACCGTTGATGATAAGAGCCTTGCCTAGCCTCTCAGGATAGTGGTTCTGCAGAATATGCAACACCTCTCGCGCAACAGACACGGGCACACTCGTGTTCTTGCGCTCCTTGCTGGGCTTGAAATTAATCATGAGGCTCAGCATCTCCACTCCAGGCGGCATGAGATCCGTCACCCGCTCGACCATGTAGAACAAATGATGCAGCTGTCGGGGACTAGTATCCGTGTTTTGCCTTGCCGGGTTGAGATACTGGCACGGACGACCCTGACGATCATAACCAATGATCATCTGCTTTCCGGTCTCCTGCTCAGGAGAGATGTACTCCGGCGTGAAACCCTCAAGACCGTACTCCCGACGCCATGCGAGAGTTGCCTTGAGCCGCTTGGCAGAGTCGTCGACTGACCACTTTGTAGCGCGGAGATAACGGAGGAGGCATTCGCGGGTGAGCCATGAGCGCTCGTGATCAGTGATAGGGCCTGATTTGTCCTCCTCGTCGGCTTTCTTCTCGCATTGGATCTCGGTGATACCCTTGACTTGCTCTAGCAGAGCCTCATACTTTGTCTTTTGCTCGTCTGTCAATTCTGGCCTTGGGAGAGGTTTGCTGTTGGGTCCTGGGCTGTCAATGGGTGTCTTTCGAGGACCAGCCGTGTTTTCTGTTGAGCTCGCCATTTTCAAGACTTTTCTTGAGGTCGAGCTTTGAAAGGGTGAAAGAGATGAGTTGAGTCTCACCGCTCGATCAACCAGAGTAATTAGTCAAGGCTGACGAGTCTATGATGAGCAAATCCGCCAAAAGATATCCGTAGGGACTCTAATCCAAGCCTCTTATCAGTCTCTGTTCACTAATAAGACCAATGGAACCAAGATTCAAGAAAGAATTCAAAGTCAATCTCTCACCTCAACTCAGAAGATAAATTGATGGCTTTATCCATTCACGAATTAGGTGACTTGGCAACGGGCTCAACAAGGAGCCGCACACGAGCCAGCCAATCACCTTCCAATCCCACAACGAATTAACCTCCGGGACCGGCTTCTGCTTGCTGCAGTTACAGGGGCTTCTCAGTAATTTCCAGGGGACTTCGGATGATGCGGGGCGTCTATCCTCCATCCATCGTGCGCAGTTGGCCTCCAACTTGGCACAAATGCAGGCTGACATGCATTTTGATGTATCCAGCCGTTCCAAAGCTCGTAATCGTATTCTTCCTATCAGCATTCTACCACTTTTATCTCAAGTTGGTTTGGCATTTTGTATCCAACTAACAAACATTGAACCGCCAAAGTGATGGATATAAGCGAGTTACCCTATGCTTGCCAATATTGGAAGGCAACAGGTTGATAATGATGCATTATGGCATGATTATTCTCCATTAACAGTAAATTGACTTTATAATCTCGATAGAGCTTCCGAAATGTAGATTTGAGATGACCGAACAAGGGCAGCTCACCGCTAAAGCTGATCATGTTTATCAGACTCCAATATGTTGAATTAACAACCAACATTTGTTCTCACACACTAAATCGTCCGACACCTCAATGTCTTATATTTTCCCTTATCTCGTCTTTCATCATCAGCTATTCCCCGTATCTCCTCCTCCTTGGGTGACCAAACGTCTATCATAAATGTCCACAATCCTCTCATGTGTCCATGTCAATGTCTAACGTACCTCCAGCTATCAACAAAGACAAGAAATGTAGTAAAAACAACTAGTCTATCGCCTGCGCACGCCCTTATCCGTGATACTCACTATCACATCCGCATTCCTTTAGAAATCTCCCCAACCTGCTTTTTACTCCGATAAATCATCAATCCAACTCGTTCATACGCATCTCGTGTCTTTTCTGTGCTGTGTTTTTAGGAATCAAGACGACTTTGCCGTCTGGGTATTGAGTAGATAACTAAGCGCGAACGGGACTGCGGTTGTCACGTCTCGCTGACTTCTCTCTAATGAGCCTCTTGCTCGTTTCTTCGTCAAAGCCGCAAGTATCCCTTAAGAACAAAAGTCTGTTTTCATGTTAGTTCAGCACCGTTGATGAAGCACGTTCAAACTCACTTGTCTTCGGACGTTTCTTTCTCCCGCATATCTTCGAAGCTCTGTTGACTTTCCATCCAAGCTGTTGCTCGACCTCTTGGATCGACCTTCTTGACCCAAAGGTTGAAAGTTCCAGTTACAGGACGGTGGTCACTCACTCGAACCTCATGCCGTCTGTAATCAAATTGTTCGACACGGCCTCGCCCCCTGTATAGTAGTCGGTCACACCAGGCAGGGCTTCGTCTCTTCTCGCTGGTGTCGTAGTTGTCAGTGCCAACGTCGTACTTATAAGTTGGCGCAAATGTGATGGGCATTTCTTCAAAAGCCCGAAGCTTGAATGCTGGATTTCGTCTTCGTGCCACCAAAAGCTGGTCTCGTTCGAGGAGTTTGCCCAGATTGTTCTGTTTGACTGCTGTAACAACAGTATCACGAGACATGGTATCAATTCGGTAGTTCAAGTCGCCATTGAGAATACACAGCTCATGATCCATGATCAGACTGCCATCACCGCCACCAACGAAGCTGTCAATGCGAGAAGCAGAATCTCGTTCAACAGCAAAAAGATTAGCTTCAAGAATGGCTGCAATGTCATTGTGTCGGGCGTTCGCTTGTGACTGTCCGGCAGCCAAATGGCAATTGACGAGGCAGATGGAGGTGTCATCAACTCGGAAGCGTACGGCAACACAGCCCTTGTTACCGTGCAAGCCACCCATACCTCGCTTGACCTCAGCGCCTTGGAGGCCCCTGATCCTATCTCGTAGGGTTGCTTTCACAAAGACACAGGTGAACAATCCAACCATAGGTGCTGTATGAAGGAGGTGATATAAATCGTCTGCTGGCATGTAGTCATCGAGGGTCTTCATCAAAAAGTCGCGCCAATCTCGGTACTGGTGGCTCATTCGTTCCTGGTCTGTTCCCGCTTCTTTTTTCTTGGGCTTCAAGAATCGTTTGGCCGTCAACTTCTTATCCTCCAAGTCCACAAGTTCCTGGAAACCAAACACAAGGATATCTGGCGAGCCACTAGACTGAACAAGATCTTGGAAGAATGTTGAATCGCCATCAGAATGTCGTAGACTCGAAGGTGTCGATGCTCCGGCATTCCAAGTAAAGAACAGGGCTCGTATTTCGTCGAAGTCGCAGTATTGAGTATCTTTCGACTTCATTGAATCTTCGAGGAAGTCATCCTCAAGCAAGCCATCCCATGCTTTAATCTTGTTATCAGCTCCCAATGAAATGATTTGCTGTCGGTCCAGGAAATATGAGCAAGAGGGGTCGGCGGCCATCTTGACAATGGGATTCTCATGCCCCTGCCACTCTTTGAGAATGACCCAAGGTGCCTCCTCCACGTCATACACACATATTTTACCGGTGTTGTACGCCGCCCAGATGTAGTTGCCTGCACTCGCCAATGCGTTGATCTTCCATGTGCTGATGTTCATCATCATCACACATGAATAGTCATTGGTATTGTAGACAGTCACCTTGCCATCCACATGACCAAAGAAGACCTTATCCGGATGTGACTTGACAAGAGTGCCAGAAGTAACCTCGCCGGCACTATCCGCTATCAGGGGACGAACGAGCACTTGAAATTGGGTTCGTCCATCGACTGTAGGCGCAAATACTCGAATCTCCTTGCCTGTCGCATGCCAAAGATAATCCCCGATAACCATGGAATGAGTGTGTCCTTTTGGAAGCTTGTAACTCTGAGTCGGATGTCCTGTGATGTTTGCAACTGCTTTCTCATCCGGTCCCCACACGAGTAGTGTTCCCGATTCATCCATAGTCCAGATTTCGTTCCAATGTCGGAATATTCGTACAACTTCGTTTCGACCATGGACATTTGGCTTGCTCGGTGTTATGGCATGCGTCGCTACCTCGACTTCCATGAGGTCTCCTGTATTGGTACCGATCCATATCCTCTTGCCTTCTTCTCGCGGGTCAGCAGCAGGTTTGAAGCTTACCGCTGTCGCCTTGACTCCCTCAGTATGCTGTAAGCTCATAATTTGCTCGCCGTCTATGAGACTCCACACTCTTGTCATGTAACCACTGGCGCAAATAAATTCACCACAAACGTCGAAACTTCTCGCATCATACTTTGTTGGAATCTCATAAGTTCCATGCTTGCTGAAGGGTGGTCGTCGATTGGTGTTTGAAGCCTCGGGATATGTCGTGACGTGATGGATAGGCTCAGCCTTTGGAGCAATTTTTGCGGCAACAACTGGAGTGGATTGTACAGACTTTGGAGGTGCGGCAGCAGCAATCGGGGCGGCAACGGTCGTCGGGGCGATACGGAACTCGGCTGGTGTTCGGTCAGATGCTCTATCTATCGTCATAGACCTGCCATGACCTCGTGAAGGAGCTGCAAGCTGTTGCTGAGGTTGCTGTGTCGTAGGGGTTGAAACAACTCGCTTAGGTGGTGAAGAAGTAGGCGCCGGATCGACGGCTTGCACTGCTGTCGTTGCAGTGGGGCGTTGTGGTCGTGGGGGAGGAGGCATGTTATTACTATTATTGTTTACTGGAGGAGGTCGAGGCGGGATGTCAAAGTTTGCAGGTCTTGCTGGTAGTGCTGGCCGAGGCTCGCCAGTTACCTGAGGAGTTATATGGCCTCTTGAGAACCCATTGGCCTCTTCACGATCCTTTCTCATAGTCGTGATCGAATGATGAACAGGCGGAGGATCGAAACCCACAACCACAGATTTTGGCCTGCTTGGTTCAATGTGCGATTGTGGCCTTGGTCGTGTTGGTAGTTTTGGAGGTGTCTCCTCCCCAGATCCCAAGCTACTTGGCGGACTGTTAAATGGTGAGTTTTCCTGGGAGATGCCACCCTTCCCAATGACTGTTGGCCCAGAAAGCGATGCGATCTTGGGAGGCGCAGGTATCAGTGCCTTTTCATTGCGAGGGGCTGGCGGCGGAGGAGGAACCTTGGGTTCTCGAGTCCTGATCAGCTCTCCAGAACGTCTAGGTGGAGGCGGTGACGGCGGCCTCGAACCGCCAGGGCGAGGAGACTTAGGAGCATTGAAAGATGGTGAAGTATTAAGTGATCGACTTGGAATCTTGAAGGATCGGCTACCGCCGGTTGGTGTTGGAGGTGTCGCGACAGCATCTGGGTTTACGAATGAAGGTTGGTCTCCAACTGCCAGTGCTGAGATTCGACCCTTCGGGGGCGATTGTGGTGGAAGAACTGTCACAGCTGGAAGCGTAGCCGACGCAGGTGGTTGTTGCAGCTGAACTGTTTGTGGTTTCGGGGTCGGAGCTGGTCGTGCGGACGTCGGCGGGGGAGGGGCATCGTGATTAACAGACAGTGCCGCTGGCTTAGGCTTTGGTCTCGCAGGGATTGCTGGGGTCGAAGGACTGGCCGGCGGTACTTCTTGTCCAGGTTTGAAATCACGAAGACGGTTCGGTTTGGGAGCTGGGGAGATAGGTCGCGAAGGAGGTCCGGTGGCAGCTGGAGCCGTAGTAGGCGGGACATCGACAGGTTTGCTGACGTTGGAGTTGGTCGAGTTGCCCATGTTCTCGAATCGGGCTCGTAATGAGGATACCGGCTTCTGTAGAACTGTTAGCATTGTGAATACTTAGGACAATGGAGGTTCATACAAGTGAAGAGCCATCAGGCCCTTCTCCGTTAGTTGGCTCCATGATAATAAAACAAATGCTTCCTCTCGACAGCGAGGGTCGAGGGTGACTCTACCCGCTTCACCCACGCCCAGTCGTCTCACTCATGAAGGCATCAACAGTCGAAAGTGGAAGCTGAATCCGGCGCGACAGGTCGTAGTAAGCCAGAGTCAAGCAAAGAGATTGTAATGAAAAGTCAGAATTCGAGACGGTAAGTTAAAGCTCCAAAAGTCGGCACTGGGCAGTGACAAGGAACGTTGGGGGTCGACGAAAGAGCGGGTGGGTGATGTTAATGTTGATGACAGGGGCCTTTGGCGAGAACCCAAAGAGTCTCGTATCGTCGATATCGTGGTGGAAGTGCGTGGAAAACTAGCGAGGGATGTTTTGGAGAAGTGTCTTGTTTTTTTCTCATTCAAAGTCCCCTATTCTCCTCGTGGCTTCGATGTCGATCTTGCTGCGAGTTGTCTTGCGTGGTCTCTCACAATTTCGAGCTGGCTGAGCCACCCTTATGTCATAAGTGGGTGCGTCTGGCGTTGTTCTTGGCACTGTAGAGACATGCGTTTTGCGAGAGGCTAATACTGTGCATATAGGTTCGTTTCATGAATGATGCACTGTAGAGCTACCAGGGTCAGTGATTTCCGCTAAGGCTTCAGGGGTGTATCAGCGGGGAAACCATCGAAGTTCAAGATGTCCACGCGGTCAGTAAATGGAATAAGGAACGTCATGATGTAAGGATAATCGCTAAGGAAGAACATTTTTGTAAATAGTTCAAGGTTATCCCGAGGCTTGGGATAAATTATATTGCCTAAGCTTTCGCTGAAATTGATATCATGCTAAAGGGTACCTTGGAAATTGTCCGATTTAGTCGTTGTGCCTGTTGATCGACTGTCATGAAACAGTTGCACATATTTATCTGTAACTTAGAAGAACTCTACAGATATTTGTTAGAGAAGGCCTAGGATACTCAAAACTCACCATAAGACTTCCCAACTACAGATTGTCGACTGGCCCCAAGGAATCAAGTGCCGATAGAGGCCAAAAATCACATATCATAAGGTTCAATTCAACTGGCCGCGTGCCATCAAAGCACAAATGAATTGATCCCTGTATAAGCTGCGCCTGTGACCTTTCTAACGGCAGTTTGTGGTTGCCGCAACGCCCCAAGGTGAAACTGTTCTAGCGGCGGGAGATGGCCAAGTCAAGCACTGAAAACCACCAGAGCTCTTCAACGGTACGTACCCAACTCTGGCGCCAAGCGACAAGGCCTGGGCCTCGAAAGGAACCTCTCGGTTCATCATGTCAGGCCATTCCACTTACACCTTGACAAAACCCTGCCTCTTACAATCTTTCAATCCTGCGTCCCGATTTTCGCTGTCAAAAATTTCAACATCACTCTGAACTGTCGATTATCGCCAAAATGAACACTGTGAGTTTCCAAGGAGACAAATCCGATTATTGCGCCGTTGATACTGACTGCTCTAGGTTAAATCTTTCTGGTTCGTACTTTTGCGCCTCCGATTTCCGCTCCCCCGAAATCTAGCAATTCGAAGCTGACAATGTTAACCATAGGCTGGGCTGGGGCTCTCTTTGCGTCGGTACATAACCTCACAATTCCTTCTTCCCTAGCACATCAATTGACCATGTCACAGCTGGTGGCGGTGCCTACTACTTTGCTAAGCAGCAGATCAACGCCGACCGACAGGCCAAGATGGAAGCCCACCGTAAGAAGAGACAGATGATCGAGAACTTGGAAACCACAGAGGGCAACGGAAGCCCTGCCCGCACCGATAGCACCGGCTCCCCAAGCCAAGAAGCAAGCAGCGACCCTGCCCCTACGAGACATGCGCCCGAGACCGAGAGCCAGCGAATTGGAGAGAAGAGCAAATACGAAAGTGCAAATGTATACCGAAGTCCAAAGGGAGATCGATTCTCTTAAGCCAACAACCCCGGAAAAGTGTATATGAGGAGAGGGCTCGGTATTGGAGCTGTGTATAACAATTACCTTAACGCATCGTCATTATGATTTACTAGAAAAAGGCAAAGGATTTCAGATTGCTTGGATATTTCGAATTGAGAAACTATCACATTGAATTTATTTCATCTGCAAAACGTACACAAATTTGCTCACCAATGCTGTCATATTCGGTGATAAGCTGGATGCAACACATCCTTACGGACAAGACCGGTTGGAGTGGAGCCTTGAACCTGGTTCCGACCTCGCTTGGAGCTTCTACGGAAAGAATCGCTCTTTTCTGTGTTGCTGCAACGTTAGTACACTCTCACTAAATCAGTATTACGAGAAATTGAATTGGGCATTTTTCTGAGATGGTACAGGTAAAGTGACGTTATTCGCGGCTCGTCATGGGCGTCATACTCGGATTACCGCCTGTGCAGCCAAGCCACGTGCTGAGAGACCCGGCAATTAGCCGCATTCGCACCCGTCGAAGGAGGCTCTAACTTCGCCTCAGCTCCACCATAGCTTCAATTATCAACTTCGTTCATTCAACATTTTATTGTCTTCGTAATAGAGTCTCTAGTGCCACTCAGAACAATGGCCACGCCAGAGCTGGCCATCGTAAAGGCTACCCTCTCTGCCACTCTCTTCCGCGCCGATCCAACATCCCTTAGCCGTCCTGAAGTCGATGCCTTCTTCCCGATCCTAACAGACGCCCTCGCCAAGTGCTCGCGCCCCAACGTCCAGGTCTGCTCCATCGCTTGAAAAGCTCTTCCCTCTGTACCCAAGCAGAAGTCACTAAATTTTGCGTGCTTTTTTTTGGTCAAACAGAAATGCAAGGTTTGGATCATCGATAAAATTGCGCCCTCTGCCGCGCGCACGACTGCCCTGGCAAAATACTTCAACGCCCTATCCAAGAGTCTACAAGACGACGGCTCACGGCCGAGCCTTAAGCGACGGAGACTGCATCTTCTGTATGTTTTAAATGACGTGCTGTATCACGCCGTCACGAGGAATGATGACTTTAAGTTTGCGACAGCTTGGGAACCCGTTTTGCCTGGGATGATCGCAAGCGCCGCCGCGTTCGACAATTGCCCGAAACATAAGCAAAAGATCGCGAATCTTATTCGCCTGTGGGAGAATCAGCAATACGTCAAGTCAAGTTTCGCCAAAAAGCTTGAAGATGCTCTCGCAAGTGGTGTCGCTCCTCAAACCGCCCAAGAAGCGCAAGCATCCAATGTTACTCTCAAGCTTGCAAAGGACGCGCCCTTTGCGCTCCCTTCCTTCCACGGCGACAGCACAGTACCGTGGTACGATCTACCCGCGACAACATGGCTACCTCACCTGACTCCAAACTCGACGAAACCAATGTTTCCTGACCAGATTCGGCCTATTCAACTCGCTGCTGGCCCTGCAGACAAGGTTCTCGTCAACGCTGTACAAGACCTCTTGGGAGAGGTTGAGCGCATGTTCTCGAAGGAGCAAAAGTGGAACGACGAACCCGGTAACGATCTAAATGAGTTAGGGGAACGAGTTGTTCTGGATGAAATCACTGGCGAGGTTATCGCAGGAGACACATACTACGGCTGGTCCCGTCAGTTTTGCGAGAAAATGAAGGAGAGAAAGAAAAAGGGCAGAAAGGGGTCAGACAGGGGTCGTTCGCGCTCCAGATCTCGCAGCTATTCACGCAGTCGATCACGAAGTTCTTCACGACCTACGCATAAGCGCCGACGAGATTCAAAAGACTCCAGGGGTCGAAGTCTTTCCCGCAGCCGAAGCCGTTCATATAGTCGTGATAACGATCGCAGCACAAAACGACCACGCAGTCCCAGCTACAGCCGAAGCCGGAGTCGGAGTCGAAGCCGTAAAGCACGATTTGAGCGCCCAGGGTACAGCAGATCACCATCGCGTTCACCTCCGCCCTTCCAAGGCAAGGACCCCCAAGACCGTCCATATCGCCCGCCTCCTTTTCCTCAGCAAGCACCCCCAGCGCCTTTCCCTCCTATTCCCCCACCAGGAGACTTCCCTGTCCCTCCGCCTCCTCCAGCAGGTTACCAAGGTCCTTGGCCGCCTCCGCCGCCTCCTCCACATATGGCACCAGGCTGGTTCCCCCCTAACCCAGCCATGATGGGCCAGATGATGGGTGGCTGGAATGTCCCACCGCCTCCACCTCCGCCGCACAACGGATATCAAGGGAGGGGGAGAGGAAACGCATATCGTGGTAGAGGGAGGGGTGGATATGATCGAGGTCGAGGATGGTAAGGTGTTCAATGAGACATTTGTAACGAGATACACTGAGGTACAACTACATGTCAATAATAGATCTCTGAATTTGATTCACATCTTTCACACACAACCTGATCCATGATTTACCGACGTCGTAATAGTAATGACTTTTATTTTAGTCTTGCTCATTCATCGTCTACATAAAACCAAGCAGACCCTCAATCCCTCTTCCCTCTTTACACACAGCAAAAGCACAAAAACACAACTCAAACCCGGGACCAGCGAAGAACCTACAGCTCCTCCATGCGCCCGGTTCCATGTCGCGGGAGGGTGAAAAAAGTGAGACAGCCAGAAGAAGAAGTAAAGAAGAAGAAAAGAACAGACAAAGTTGAGTATTCGCCCCAAAGAGTTACACGAGAAGCGTAGACATCCATGTTTTTTTAATGCTCGGTTCCCATCATGCCACGACAGGCAATATAGTATAAAAACACGCGTTCTTTTCTTGTCATCTCGAGAGCCAGAGAGAGAACTCAGTAGCATTGTAATATCTGCACGCTTTTGTCCTCCCCAGAACAATCCCCCCTGAATGTGGTCTAGCTGAGGCGCAAACCAAGAAAGAAGGTTGAAGAGTCAAAAGGCGAAATATAGCGACGGTGCTCACACTGGCCAGTCCCAATCCCAGTAAAAGTGACTGTATGTCGAGTACGCGTGTTCTTTAGTCCATTATTGAACCGCGAAAAACCAATCCCTTCTCATAATCATAATACCACCGCCAAACACGACTATGCAGCAATGATCGTTATCCGAATCCACCAGTGTCCCTCTGTATTCGACTTCGGAAAGGGGATTCGTCCCTTTCTTATCCAAGTTCGATGCGTTGAACAATGTTGGATAGCTGCTAACTTGGATTACCGACTTCGAGTAGATCCTACAGAGTTCTGTCGCTCGTGAAGATTGGGTCGGCCGTCTTGCAACTTAAGCGAATCGAGGCGCTTCGAATTATCCTCGGTGACTGGGTCGACTTCGTCTACACGAGGCATGGGATTGACATGGTTTTGTGCTGATGGGGCATCGGCGGTTCCGTTGCCATTGCTTTCCCTCTGTTGGTTGGCCTTCTCGCTTAAAGCTGCCCATTTACGCTCTCGAAGAGCTTCACGTGCTGCTGCGCTGTTCTGCTGTTCTGTATAGTCGTGCGAGCAGTCATCAAATAACTGTGGGTTAATCTCCATGAACAGCTTCATAGCATTGTAAACCATGCCGTGGATCGTTCTGTAACAGTTAGACTTGGTCCTTCAGAGCGTTCAACGTCACATACCTGTTCCAGTGGCCCTTTGAATTCTCGTAGAGAGGAGCAAACATAATGGGCAGAATGATTTCAACATTGTCGCTGACCAGATTGCAGAAGTACTCGTTGTTCCAGAAGTACAGGGCTCGCTCGGCAACCTGGAAGTGAGGGCTGGCGACAGACTTGGCAAGCTGGTGGAACAGAGGTTCTTGAACCTTCGCAAACTCTGCAGGATCCATGACCTCAAAGATATCTTCGACTTCGTTGAGGAACATGACCTCCTTTGTGCTGTTGACCTTGGGCCAGTAACGGAGTAATCCCAGAACCACCTGTGATGATTAGTATGACGTCTAAGAAACAACAAGTTTAACTTACATCTTCTGTAAGAGAAGCATCCTTCTCCAAGAATTGCACAATACAGTAGGCAAGCTGAGGGTGGTACATGCTCAGACTCTTGGGCTTGTGCAGCGGCAATAGCACTCGGGTCAAGAAGATCTTGTGCTCCTCCTTCAGAGGGAGAGCAAACCCGTTGATAATAGAGCCAAGAATCTCGAGCAACTCGGCAATACCGTTGAATCGCTCGGTTTCGTAGGTGAATTGGAAGAAGACATTGTTGATGGATCGTCGAATAAAGGATCGTAGGTTAAGGAATTTTCCGTAAATGCGATGGAGGGTGGTCTTCAAGAAGTCTCGCTCACGGGGGTCCTCTGAGTCAAAAAGCTCAAGAAGCTGGAGGACAAAGCTGTGGTCAATGTAGGCCTTGGCGATGTTGGTGTTGAAATCCTGACTCTCAATGAAGCGAAGGAAGAACTCATAAACGACCTGGATATGCGGCCAAGCGACCTCAAGAACGGGCTCGTCCTCTTCGGGATCGAAAGCTTCGCCTTGAGGGTTCATTGGAGGAGGGATCGGACGGAACAAGTTCTTGGCAAACATGTCGACAACCTTGGGGTACATGGGTTCCGTGATGACTTGTCGGTTGTTGGCGACATAATCCAGTAGCTCGTGCAAAGCTAGCCTCTTGATCTCCTTGGACTTCATGTCACCACTCGCATCGTTGAAGTCGAAAATGACGTTGCACTGATCAATCTTTTGCATGAAGAGTTCTTGTCGTCGGTTAGGGGGGACCTCGTGGAATCCAGGCAACTTCTCAAGCTCGCGGTGGGCGGAGATGTCGAATCGTGAAGAATGCTGTCTCTTTGGGGTTCTGAGTCCCTCGGGAATCGCATCGCGGTTATCTATTCCTCGATGGATCAAGAGCGACTTTTGTCCTGCTTTAGGAGGGGCCAAATCGTGTGGCATCGTCTCGGCGGCTCCGGGGGGAGGGATATGCTGTGGTAATTGTGATTAGTCGAAAGTTCGAGACTGAATGGTAGCGAGAAGTATAACTTACACCTGGTGTTGGGCTGATGACAACAGTTGGCGGAAGTCTCGAGTTGGCACTTCCACCGTTGGGGCTCGAAGCGCCTCC